TACACTGGCCGAGCTGCAGGCCACCACAGTAGGAAACGGGCCAAGATACATCCCTAGGACCTAAACCATTGACTAGTTGTAGTTCACTTCTACAGCATAACCAAAACCACATACTAAGGTATGTAAGCCTTGTGATAAAATCACCTACTGTAATAGCATTGTAAATGAACGGCTGACATTTTGGACTTGGTTGTCCGTTTGTGTTCAGATTTGCGGCATTGTATTCTACTAGTACAGACCTTGAATTTTACAAGCATATAAACCTATGCTTACATTTCAGATTTTCTTCTGACTCCTAGCAGGCCGTCCCCCTGAGGGGATAGTGTATCATCACGGCCACCTTTAACTAAGGCCGCGGCCAGCGAGAATTGGCTATGTCACGCCAAGCATCTACTTCGGGCCATTTCACCATTACGGTAGTACGGAACTAGTGGTCGCGGTTTAAATATACTGCATTTTTGCACCCTTACAATTGAGATGAAATTTTGAAATTTGGTAGAGCTAGCGAATACACCCTTTATACCAATGGTGTAGTTTTGAAAATTAAAATTTCGTTTATATAAATATTTTTTAAATTAACACATTAGAAAAAGTTTGGTTAGCGTAAAGTGAAATAGTTAGTCGCCTACTAAATTTGTTGTTTGTTGGTCAGAGAAGTTTCATCCGTGATAAATTTTTAGATAATTAAATATACTTTACTGTTTGTGTTTACTTTTCCTTTTTTCTATTTTTTTCTTAGTTTTGTTGAAATTTTGGGTTGAACAGAGCAAAAAATCTCAGTTTTATAGCGCGGCGCGGTGTGTAGATGCCCGCAAGCTGTAGTGTAGTATCGCATCATCGCAAAGCTAATTAATGTAGGCCTACTCAATTATTTTGAGCAGGTTAATATGCCTTTTGATTATCCTCAAGAATATTACTTTCTTAGCAAATATTGCTTTTATATACATTACCAAGATTATGTCTCATCATATCCCTATAATTTGCATTGTGAGCCCTATTATTTTCATTGTGTGCGCGATCTCTTCGAGGCATCTTGGAACAATTACAAATACTAATGAAACATACAATGACAACACAATATCTAACGCAAGTTATTTTCTTCTTTACATTTTATACAAATAACATTACAAATTTCATAACTTGAATTTACTGAAACATCACCATTTCAACTACAGATAACCCTATTTTCTTATGGATGTAAACAAAATTATATTGAGTGAAAATTTAAAAACGTACTTTTTCATGTCCCTGGCCTTTTACTTCGTAGCTACTGGATTTGTAGTTTATTATTATGTGTTTTAATATTTTTTGGGATGGGGGCAACATGTTACACACATTTATTTGGTTTAAAATAGGTTCTAGGTATTTTTTTCGTATTTTTAAAGTCTCGAAATTCACAACCATGACGTGTCCCTAGGGTACATTTTCCAACTTTCACGCTGTTTTTAGACTAATTATTCATGCAGAAATATATAAAGCCATATTTTTATGTCATCAATGGTTATTAAACTTACAAAAAAGGAGCATATTATAATTTTATTGTCATTGCAAACTGACTACCATGACATAATAAGTCTATCCCTCGATTTGGCGTCACGACCATTTGGGAAAATTTTTCAACTTTGGAGCACGACAGTGGCAAGCCTGGCGTTGATGGAGTCAGTTGGTTTTAGAGACTAGTTCGGGGTGTACGTCAGGATTGTAGTGCCGGTCGTTTCGAGTTGAAAGGAGGAATTACAAGATTAATACAGGAAAGGTTGTGTTTTTTGTAATTTTGGTGTGTCCATGACCGTACATAGTCATTCGATGAAGTAGACATGGTGTTAATTTTTGTTTATAAGATATTTCAATTGCTAGATTAACCTAGAAGTCCACTTTGTATCCTCGAACATGAGGTGCAGAGCTACCGCCAGAACAGAGCCAAATAACACGTAATTTCACGACCAAAGTTTCACGACCATCGCGGGTTTTTTCACGACCTATCCAGCCTTATGGATTATAGTGTGTTTGGTCGTGACAATAATTTTAATATAATTGTAATTTGAACAGTTTAGTTCAATTGAAACACATATTTTTATTATAACTAACAGTATAATTAAAGGATTGTTTAGAAAGATTTAGATTTTTTTATAAAATTCACGACCGTACCGCTTGTCCCTGACCATCACGTTTATGATTTCTGTCATAAAAATTTCAAAAATTAAAATATCGTCATATTTCAATGTTTTATACACAAAAGAAGCACGCCTCTATTCAAACATAACGATTTTTCGGGTCTCAGGTAAGTTTTTTCGGAGTTATACAAACTTAAAAAGATATTATTGGCTTTTTTCAATTTTTTTGAGTTTTTTTTTTTTTCTAGAAAGACCAAATATACTAAAAGCTCAGTGACCTTTTTAATGTATAATGGTCATAAAAGTAAATTAGTTTATAGCAAAACATAGTTATAAAAATAATATTAACTATTTTTAATATTCATTTAAACGTCTGTTATGGTCGTGACAGGATTTTGTGTTTTTCCACTAAAGATGCTCTTTAAAAAAAAAAAACTACGAAAGATATTGCGTTACCATGGACATTTTATGAAACTTCAAATGTTAATGAAATCAAAAAAATAATAAAAGTTTTGAAAAAAGGGGAAAAAAATTTGCAAAGTGTGTTTCCTGAAAATGTACGTTTTTAAATTTTTACTCTATTATGGCCATCTGTTTTGAAGTAAAAAAATGTAAACTTGAAAAAGTGCAGATGATTGACAACAGAATTCAGCAAAAACTATGAAATTTTAAAAGTCTATAGGACGAAGGACATTCACGGGACATCATCCAAACCCACAAAAGGTACATCTAGAGGATAAGAGCTTTAAATTGGATACCCAATATGCCTATAAAAATTAATATTTAGGGGTCGATTTGCTGTACACAAAAATAAAAAAAAATCTTTTAATAACATAGGTTACTTAGTTTAACTTACCTCTGTTTTATATCGCCTTGCCATCCAGTGCATAGCTTTGTAGGGGAACCTGTAGTTTTCTACCAAAAGTTGAAGGTAAGCACCCCATATTGGCCAGCGTAAAGGACCTGCCACAAAGTCAAGTTTTTAATTTGCCTAGTTTAAGACACTTGTATTTTCAAACCAAAACATATAATTATACAATATTATTCCTCTAACAGAACAGAGTTAATTTTTTTCATAATCCATAGCACATACAAGTACATCATATCTCAAAATTAAGAACTGTAGCCTAAAACTTATAATTTTCAACCATAAATAATATTGCATTGGATTTCTTTTCTAGTTTTGCAGGAAAATTACCTCATTATTTACTCCTAGGCCGAATTATAAATAAAACAGTGTCTCATAAAACACCAGATAAAAAAATGGAAAGTCAAATGTAAATTTAATACATTTTAACAACGATAATTCTTTCAATATGTTTTAGTACACAATTATCATAATGTAAGGAAACTATCAATTTTAAGGTTTAAAAAATTGTATCGTCTCAGAAGGCTACAAACATCACTGTCACATACAAAATGTAGAATATTGTACTTTTCAAACTTTAAACACTTCCACTAAAAGGCGATGTAAATTACATCTTAAGCACACCTCGAATGAAAAATAATACCTTACAAATATATCTTACCTGGAGGAAACTTTGGGTGAGGTTTATCTGTTAGATATCGATAGAATATGTAAAAAAGCAAGCAGAACAAAGCAAACATTAGTTCTTCCGTCATGATTGTCCAAGAGAAGCTGAGAAGTAAACACTACAACTTGGTCGAAGGTTATCTTGGTGGACAAAAACACAGATAAGTCAACACAGTTATCCTTCATATGATAAAATCTGGGTTTATTCATATTTAAATATCATTGTTATCAACAACAAAGAATTTCATATTGTTGGATTTCAGTAAGCTACTTGAAAAAGGCTCTTTTCTTTACATTTAGTAAGTTCTAAGTAATGGTAATACAGTAGAACTCCGGTTAACCGAAATAAAGGGGAGAGAGCCGTTTCGGATAAAAAAATTTTCGGTTAAACCATCATATGCTAAAAATAGCCAATGCATCACATAAGTGTGTAGGAAAAAAGAATTTAAGAGAATGTCTATTTAATTCAGTGTTTTATTTCAGCTACAAAAATATTACAAAATGGGATAGAAAATACTTTAAACCAGACAACTGAAGTTATTAAAGCATTTTACAGCCCTATAATGTTTTATTGAACCATTTTGGTTAACCCGGGTTTCGGTTAACAGGGGTTCTACTGTATTAATATAAGAGCATGTGTTTTTCTCCAAGTCAAACTTACATAGCTTACTAAAGAAGTCAGTTATGTTAAAGGAAATGATTTTGAATTGTAGAATTAATTGTAGATAGCACTGATAGCAGCTATTCGCCTTATTCTATAATTAGTAAAAAAGTCAGTAACTTGACCTTAAATTCAACAATGATAATTAATTCTTTCTCTTTTTTGGAAATTTGGATGGTTATTAATTAATAGATTCAGCAGAGCTAGTCTTTTTTTTTGTTCAATTATGTATTAAAATATCTTGTGATCAATACATGTTTTGGCTGTAAGAGTCAATAATTACTTTCATACACTAGGAAGCTATCACTGAATTCTCGGTCTTTAGGTGAGAGCCGCGCCAAGTCGGTATTTACACTATGTACAAAACCAGACAATTTGCCCATTCCATGATGAGGAATCCTCAGTGCCTCATCATAGAATGTACATAACGTCTGGTTTTTACATAGTATAAACACCAACTTGTAACGGCTCTTACTGGATCAATGATAGCTAGCTACCTAGTCCCCTAGAGATTGCTGATGGTGTTTTATCAGTCTCGTTTTGTACATAGTGTAAATACCAACTGGACATGGCTCTGACTAAAGACCAAGAATTCAGTGATGTCATCGGCCACCTAAGCTACGAATGAAAACCAGGTAGCTAAATAAGATGGAGAGAATAGAGGAAAAAATTACAGCCATAAATTTTCAGTATCAAGTCTTGTATAATTCTGCTAGTATTATTTAATGTCTAATCGAAAACAATCAATAACAACAATTATTTATATCTTAAACAGAAATACATCAAATTTAAGTAGTATCAGTCAGGAAATTGTTGTGCACAGTCAAAGTTGCCTTAAAATGCATAAAACGGTATTATTTTGCATGCACTATGCAAAAATTAGGGAACAATAATGGTGCTTAAAAAAATAATCATTATTATATATTTTTTTTTGGAAATTGAATAAACAATTCAGTCAATATAGCTCCAACGAAAATGAAAGTAAACAAATTTTAAATGAGAATTGCACAAAATTTACGAACAAGTTTCAAGAAGTCTGCTTGTATTTACAATAAGTACAACTTATATTGGTTAATATTTACATTTCTTGATTACCACAGATAAAAACTATCTAAACAATATTCAAGTGTATACATCACAATTGATCACAATCAAACTTTAATTTACAACAAATCGGCAGTTAGTTTTGAACTTTGACAACGAAGAGATTCTATTATATTCCGTAATACTTTTAAATAAAATATATTTTCAACAAAACTGTGAACTATAACAATTGGTGGCCTAGATTAAGTTAATGCTACGTAATACTGTATCCATTCACTTGAGTCGAGTCTTCGATTCCTTTCTCTGTGGCATTTTCATCTTGTGGATTCTCACTCTGCTCGGTGTCTTCTTGTTCCTTCTTCTTCTTCACAACATCCACCAGATGTTTGTACCTTAACATGCACTCCTCCTAAACACAAAAAGTTAAATTTAAATGGGAATATATTTTTGATTTAACACAAAACAAACAGATTAATATTTACAACAGTTGAAATAAGGAATTGGCCTGGAATTGGTTACCAACTGATCAATACAACATATTTTCAGTCAGTTGAAAGGTTCCTAACTTTTGTTATTTATCTATTCAAGTACCAAATTGGGTTTTAGTAATTATAGTTTGTACAAATTGTAATTTGTAAGTTTACCAAACTGACAAGGCAACACTATATATCAGAAAAACTTGGAACTATGTCACAATGTGGCAGTTAAAATCAAACTTTTTTTTTTCAAAAAGGCTACATCTCAACATGTGGAGTGATCAACCGGAAACAGGGGGCAGTGGGTGTAGTGGTAAGAGCGGAGGTAGAAATAGCATTTTGTCTTTTGGACGTCCTGTCAAACCATAGATAGTACATAGATGAAACGTAGGTTAAAACAAGAGATAATAGTTAAGATGTTTGGTTACTTCTTGATAGTCAAAGTCAAAGTCCTTTATTCAACCAGATTAACAATACATTGCATTGGCCAAGTCAAGAGATTACATTTTTATGAAATTAATTAACTACTAAATACATTATATACAAATTGTTTTCTTTTATGTTTAATAAGGTTAAAGACTACCAGGAAATTCCCGGACGCTGTAGCAGACCTTATTTATCAACATGGACTTAACTAATTTCCTGAATTTTCCGATGTCCTGTTCGGCTTTCAAAGGGAGAGGGAGGTCATTAAAAAGTTTTACTGCATTGAAGTGGAAATTTTTCTGAAAGAAAGTGGTTGAGTGTCGTGGTACTGAATGATTGAAATTGTTGCGGAGACGATAACTATGGATACTTGGAGAGCTATATGATGATTGGTTTTTCTTGATAAATGATAATATTTCTAAAATGTAAATGGAAGGGAAAGTTAGAACTTTATGTGATCTGAAGACATCTCTGCAGGATTGACGACGGTGAAGGGAAAAAACAGTTCGGAGAGCCTTTTTTTGAAGCCTGAATATGAACTGAGTCCTTTGGCTTTCACACCCCCAGACAGGTACAGCATATGTCAGATAAGGATAAACTAGTCCATAGTAGGCTGTCAAGAGGACCTCACACGAAACAGTATGTTTAAGAGTGCGGAGCATGAAAATCCCAACAGATATCTTGTTTGAAACGTGATCGATATGCTTGTGAAATTTGAGGTTCTCGTCTAGAATACATTTATGTACATCTGGTGATAGTTCATTTATGTGAGTTTTCTGCATAAAGACTTGTTTAAAGAATTCTAAATCTGTTTAATCATAAAGCTAAATACAACCACAACAGTTCTACTAACTTTAGTTTTTCCCGGAACACACTTGGCAATCTTCTCCCAGCGGTCGCTAGCAGCACCTTTAGGGAACTTAGCCAGAGCTGCCTCCAGCGCCTTCTGTTGCACCTGTGACCAGGTTGAGCCTGTCTCCTGCTCCTTCACCTTGCCACCTTTGGTCTTCACCTTTTTAGGCTCCTCAGGTGGCTCCTCTTCTCCACCACTATCTTCCCCGGTCGCCTTCTGCTGGTAAACACTGAGATTAGATAACAGTATAAACATTGTTGGGTTTCAAGTCATCATAGACGAAAAAATTAAATATAGACTGACAGCAGTGCTGCGGTTGGCATCCACTGCTAGAAGTGCCGTGTATTTCGCCGCACACGGCTGCAGTATCAAGCGCTAGCGAGTTACAGACTTGAACTCACAGTGCAAAAAACACAAAAGTGATTAAAACCCAACAAAGGAATATCAGAAAACTAGAACATTGTCACCTGAGCCAGTTTCTTGAGTGTCTCGTCATCCAGTTTGTGTGCCATGTGAGCAACCTCGTGAGGTGTCCTGTTCATGGCCTCTCCGATCTTCTCCCAACGCTCCGTGCTGCCTGCTGGATGTTTGTTGACCAGCCTCGCCAGCTCCAGAAGGTCGTCGTCTGTCCACAGGCCTCCGACTATGACTGGTGGGGCTGAAGGGCGTTTAGGCACAGCGTTCGGCACCGTTCCGTTAGTCTGCTCTTCACTCAGCTCAGGCAACACAAATGTCTTGCGTTTCCTCGGAGCTCTCTCCCGCACTACTTCCACTTCCTCCTCTGATTCTTCTCTGGATCAAGATAAAAGAATTGTTTGGAAACTAAATTCGAGTGAAAAATATCCCAATATTTTTAGTTGAAATACAGGGTGACGATTAAGCCTGGAACCTATTTTCAAATTTTTAAACCACAATAGAAAAAATACCAAAGTTCACACGTGCTTACTGGTGATAGCATCTACCTGATTACCGACCGGATATTTGGGGGTCCAAGGATTCAGACAAAATTCTTAAATAGCAGCATAGGTCAAGTTTGGTATCATATTAAAGGTCTCTGTTAGTAAAATACAATGCCACAAATCAGAACCAAAACGGACAACCCCGTTTCAACAAAATTTCTTTAATCTGCCATTTTGAATGGCTGCCATTTTTGACTGGGTTGTCTGTTTGAGTTCAGATTTGCAGCATTGAATTCTACTAAAAAGGACCTTTAATGTGATGTGCATATCGAACTATGCTTACGTTTATGATTTTCATCCGACTTCTAGCAGGCATGTCACAGTACAGGGTGTTTCAAAAAGAATCATCCGATTTCATAGGCTTATTGATTTGAACACTAATAATCATATGGATATGAGGTTAATTTTACATTGAAGAGTAACTAATACAGTTTTTTTAAGTACCACATACAGGTGCTCAATATGCCCCCCTTTAAGCACGGGCCACACTAGGCTGATAGCCAACCTCTGGTGATCAGCGGCTGACATTGGCACCAACTAGCAACTGTGGTGTCAGCTGTGAATTTTGTGGTCACATTAAGCTGACAGTAGCGGCTTTTTTCAATTCGCCACTGATGCCAGCCTAGTGTGACCCGTGCTTTAGATGCACAGCATATGTCTACGTGATAATCAAATTCGTCCCACACCTTAGATAGCATATCTTGAGTGATGGTTTCTATGGCTGCTCTAATTCGGTTCTCCAGTTCACCCAATGTTTTTGGAAGCGGAGGGATGTAAACCATGTCTTTTACAAAACCCCACAAAAAAATCACAAAAGGTAAGGTCTGGTGACCTAGATAATGCAGTGATGTAACGTGGAATCGTTAGGTCGAGTACGAGTGATCCATCTCTGAGGAAGCCTACCATTTAAAAACTCTCTCACATGAACTTCCAGTATGGTGGGGCACCGTCCTGCTGGTATATGAAGTCATTTGAATCTGTTTCTAACTGAGGGCAGAGATAGTTTTCTAGTATATCGGATAAGTTGTACCCGTAACAGTGTTCTCAGTAGAGAAAAAGGACCATACACTTTATTCCGTGAGATGGCACACATCCTACACACACATTAACACACACACATTGACACATTAACTTTTGGGGAATCTCGCTCATGCTGTACAATATGGTGTGGTTGTTCAGTCCCCCATATTCTCACATTGTGGCGGTTAACTTTCTCACTCAAATGGAAAGCTGCCTCGTCACTAAACATATGCGTGATACCAAATCTCGATCATCGTCGACTACCATCTGGCTTTGAATAAACTCACAAAACCGAACACATCGTTCTATGTCACCTTCATGCAAAGCTTGTAATATTTGAGTCCTGTACGGTTTCAAATGTAAACGTTGGCGCAAAACACGACAGACAGATATAAAGGAATGTTCAGTTCCCTACTAGCTGGGCGAGTGGATTGTTGCGGGCTACGGACGAAACTCTGGCGAATGCGCTCCACATTTTCATTGGACACACGGGGACGACCTGATGATTTGTCTTTACAGAGACAGCCTGTGTCACTAAATTGTGTATACAATCTTCTGATTCTCTGAGCTGTAGGAAGATCAACACCATATGTACGAAATTCACGTTGCACGGAAACCACAGACTTGCATCTAGCAAAGCGTATAACACAAAAAGCTTTCTGTTGTACACACGCCATTTTGACAACTACTGAGCTAGGCGTTGACAGAAGCTACTGCAACCTGGCGGAAACCACATGAAACTCAAGAACTTCCTCTTTCTAACAGTATATTGTTCGATCAAATTGGATTTATAGATAAGCAGCTATGATTTTTCAAAATTGGATGTTTTTTTTTAAATACCCTGTATACTAAATTGTGACCGTTTTAGTTCGGGTTTGTGGCATTGTATTTTACTAACGGAGACCTTAAATTTCATACCAAACTCGACCCATGCTGCTATTTATGAATTTTGTCTGACTCCTTGTGGACCATCCCCCAAAGGGACAGATGTGTGCGTTACTATTACCAGTAAGCATGTAAGATCTTTGGTATTTTTTCTATTGTGGTTTAAAAATTTAAAAAAGAGGTTCCAGACTTTGTCACCCTGTATGTCTGCATTATTATATACACATAGTTTTTAAGAAAGGATTGTTAAATATATTTTTTTATGTTAAACCTTATATCTACAAACTTACTTACACACTAGGGAAGAAAAGGAATGGATACTATTCAACCCAAGAAAAGAGTTCCATGCAGTTGATATCACACAAGTATTTCAGTTCTCTAGGTAGTTTGAAAAGATACTTAATTTAAGGTCGGTAAGGTACAATATTTTGTACCTCGGTTCTGGGTAAAAAATCGGTATGGTACGCGGCTACCGGTATTTTTGCGGTTTTCTTCTCAGAATTGTATCTAAACCATTATTTTTAATTTTAATACATTGACATTACTATGAAAATGGATAGTATCCTACATTCATGGTTTTCTAACAACAATGTACCACACATTATTAAAACCTTTTACTATTCAAAGGATTGTGTCAAGAAAAAAATACAGTTAAGATAAATGCTTTATCTATTTTACTCTGAGATACTCTAAATGGCCATGATAAAGTGGTTTTAAAATTTGGATAAGAATTTTTAGGCATAAACAAACATGTTTGAAGCATTAATTTGACAAGATAATTTCACACAACTGGTAAATTAATTCCAACCAACACATGTCTAGTTGTTAAACTTTTAACTTTTTAAACCTTTAAAAACATATCAAAGCATTCAGTATGAAGACTGTGTAGTTTGCCAGCTGTTCACATTAAACAGACGACAATGAAACGCTGGAGGTTATATTAAAGTAATGACAATATTAAAGTAAGACGTGATTTGAGATTGAGCAGGCTTGCATAATGAAAAGGATTATGCAAACAACAACACTTGTGGTGCTTGTGGTTCATAAAATAAGATTGTAGATTAGTTACAAGTTTAATATGAAGCAATAAATAGTTTTTTATGGCAGTAGACAACGGCCAGCGGCAAATTGAATATTCACGAAAATACAGACCGAGCGGGAGATAAAAATTAACAGCCATCAGTAATAAATTATTTGTGTTACAACATTTTTGTTTGGGTATCATCTGCCTGGATCTCTTTTCTTGGGTAAGTGAATTGAGTTGTGTATCCATTTCTTCCTAAAGGCTTTCCTACCCCATGAGCTCTTTCATCCAAAAGCTTAAAAACTTAGTCTTTACCAATGATTAAAATACATTTTTTGCCACACTACACTGTTTAAATGGACTTTCCACGCAAGGATTTAGTCTGGAATACAGCTGTTTGCCGCCTGTACATTAAAATGCGATTACATTTTGTAGGAATGTACTGTAATGAATTTGACCGGACATCAGCTGATTGTATAATAAGCATATTATTAGTTATTAGCGTAATACACCTTTCTTCCCTGTAATATTATTCCCTGTTCTTTTCTGTAATACATTACAGCTAGTTATAAATAAATCATCAATGAAGGTCTAGTGAAATGTAAAAATCATATCAATTGATGAACTTTATTTTTGTTCAGAAATGTCTTTATAATAATAGCATTGACTATTGGATTAGAGTCAACATGTTAAACATAAAACACAAAACTTATTTTGTAAAGTACCCTAAAAAATACACACTTATCCACATGATTGTTATTGAACTTACAAATCATGTTTATATACAATTTTACCTCACTCATAAATTTTCATTTTTAACATTAAACTTAATTCTTCAGATAAAATCACAAACTTTGATGATAAATATTTAACATCCTTATGGTAGCAGGTGGTTACAAACGGAAACATAACCTCTCAGAGAAGTTATTAAATTGGTTGGAACATATTACCGATCTTGACAATTTTTTATTTTTAGGGCAATACGGTAATGAAAAAAAAACCTCACGCTTTAAATTTTTTTTACCGGAAATAAGAGTCTGGTAAACCCCTATTTTCCGGACTAGTAACGTAATATATTATTTTTGAACTGCAACCCTAAAAAAAATTAGAATGACAACAAAGCTAGAAATCTCTCCGTTTTATAGCAACTGACCGATTATTTTTTTTAAAGTAGGCCTAACTTAAAAACAAAATCAAATGAAGAATATCGTTACAAAACAGTTGATTTAGATCTACACTCACGGTTGTTGAAGCTCCTCCAGTTTCCGAAGCTGCCGTTCGCGCCACCAGTCACACACAGAGTGATACAGTAGTGGCGGCCCTGACACAAACAGGAACCACAGCCACCGGGGAATCTGGAAGGGCAGCGTGTCCTTCACACTGTGGATCATACAAGCTGATTAATTGCTACTCTTTGTTTGCTCGGAAATGTTATAATTAGCTTCCAACCTTGTACAGCAGTTAAGAGTATTTTGCTAAAGATTCTCACCTTCACCCAAACCCAAAAAACAACTCCCACAAACCCCAATAAATGTCATTACCGTCAACGTCACATCTGGTTTACTAGCCTACCTTTTATTTCTGACCACGACAAATGACCATAAAATACATTAGATGTACTTCTTCGCAATCAAGACTTGGGCCATATTGATACAGGATATGTTTAGCATTAGGGCCGGGCATAGAGTAAAGTGCTAGCTAAGTTTACTATAACTACAACTCCTAATAACAATCACAAATTATTCCCTAACATCTTTAGGTATTGGAGTTGTTTTAATCCTAAAATTCAAATACCAATCAAAAAAATTTTTTTTAGAGGAATATGTTTTTATAATACCACTAATTCCAGCACAAAGAAACTACACAGTTTTAGGCTATATCAATTTTTATCAACATTTTTAAGGTTCATAAAATCATGTAAGCATAGTATAAAATATGTGTGTACCACTATAGATAATATTAATATTTTAATAAAAGGGTTAAGCTACGTTGAAAGGGAATAGTGAACTATCTAAAACAATTTTCAGAAAAAACTTAACCTGTTAATGTTTTTTGCATTTTAACAAGTCAGAAAATAAAATCAAGTTTGCTGGTTGAACAGTAAGCTGGCAGCCTCAAGAAAAGGTCTGAAGATTGAGATTGTACAACAGACAATAGTAGTAAAGAAACTAGCAATACACTAGGCACATAGGAGAGTTTTGAACATAATCATTTATTTGAATCAGATCTACATCACATCATTGAGAAGTGAATGTAAAGTGCATCAATCCTAAAAATAATTGTCAACCGTTTGACGTTTGATCAACAAATGTTCCTAAATTACCTTGGCTTCACTAGAACTGAGTCAAGCTCTTCAAGAAGAGATGATGTGGCTGCCTCTCCTTTCACTCTTTTCAATTTCTTAAGTTTCTTACTTTTTGAATTCACGTAATCCTCCTGAAATTAAAATGTTAATTACTATTTTGGAGGAAAACATTGTAGACTAACTAATTTTTGATGGTACAATAATTAAATCATCACAATTAATTTATATATAACAACAGTTTTTTTGCTTTTCAAATAGTCTGACCACAATTAAAGAATATAGACCTTGCCTAAAAAAACTGCAGAAACTTAAACTTTGAAAATATGTAGATCAATGAATTTTGCCACGAAACGTGAGTAAAATATATCAGAAAAATTTAACCGTAAAAATGTACCAGGATTGCCTTCAAATCAGAAAATATTAAAAATCCTACCATGGTATGAGTGAAAAGTCAAATAGCACATCAGCTAACACATTACATGACATTAGCTTATGGAAGCTAAAACAAAAAATAGATTCTGTACCCATCTCAAGCGACCAATATAGTACAACTGTATATTGTTTTGGTATTCATTAACCGTCTATAATTATTGCTACATAATTATTAAAACTAATTAGGCCTATTGTTTTCTGTAGGATTTTTTTTATTATTTTACAGTAGGCCTACTGTTTGTGTGTGTTTTTGTGATTTTCAAGCTTTGGCTTGTCTGATGAAATTGCTATGTTTTAGGTACTAACTACTTTTTCACCTGAGGACAGAATCATATTCTAGATCCCAAAAACTTTTTAAAAGTAATTTTGGCTGGAAAATGTATGTAACAGTCCATTAAAAAATAAAAATAGGTATCCCTACTTACAACGGTAAGTTTCTTTTCAAAATAGTTTGCCCAACCGTAAAGGTACTGGCCGATGGAGAAAATAACAAACAGAATAACAGACATCTCCAATAGTCCCATCTTGCGAACCCTCCTGTAGTAATAGATCGCTTGCTTCCAGTCTGGCAAACCGTTCTCCAGCACATTGTCATAGTACTTCCGTTTATTCTTGTCTTTTAATATGTCATGCACTGCTACTAGCTGAAAATCATGAAAGAAACATACATTATTTACTGCTGGATATATATTTATTTTTAAAATATTACTGGATATTTAGCAGGAATTTATCAGCTGATAAAGTAGTATTTTACAACTTAATACTATGCAAAGCCTTTAACAATATCTTTAATATTTTCCAAATTATTTTGAAATAACACAAATACACAAATAGGTGTAGCAATTAAAATAGATTAACATATAAATTAATGTATTTTGTAAAAAAAGTTGATCAAACAAGACAGTTTCCAGTGCAAACTAAAGGTCCGTATGCGAGTAAAAGCCGATCACAGGGACAACAAATTTAATTTTCAAATACTTGAATGATTGGAGCAAATGGTAATGAAGAAGAATAAGTAGGCCAGGTGTTATGGCTTGTCCAATTCTGTTTATATATATAAGTGTTTCATTTTAACCGGTAAGAACAGCTTAAATTTTCATCGCTTTTTTTTTAAGAGGATAACCACCTGTCGAAATTGAACTTCTGCATCAGGAGCATCGTTTTTGTCAGGATGCAAAACCAGTGACAACTTTCTAAACGCTTTCTTGATGGCTGAACTATCAGCATCCTGTAACAAACAAACAATGATTAACAAAACCCTGTAGAAACAGAAACCCACCACATTTTCATCATGAATCTGCTTAGATACCAACAAAGCACCAAACCTGTCTGGCACTGTGCAAAAAAAAAAAAATAACAGAAAAATAGGACTTTCTCAAAAATGGCCTGGATAATTATGATAATTTTTAAATTCAATGTCCTTTAAATTCTGAACAAAATGGTACAAACCCCATTGCTGTAAAAATTACAGTTTAAAAGTTTTTGTAACTTATGTTAAAAAAAACTTTTAACATAAAAAAATCTCACACAATAACAAAAATCGGATCTTAGCAAAAAAGCCGGTTTTGATTAAAATCAATGTTTTAAGATAGGTCCTTATAATTCCAAACAAAGTAGTGCAACACCCCATTGCTCTAATAATTACGGTTTAAAAGTTATTGCAGCTTCCCTATAAATATAGTTTCATAGTTACTCCCACCGCTTACCAATGAGGTTGTTGACAAGCTTATGGGAGAAAGTGTGTCAGATTGCTGATACTGTTTATCTTGAAAATTATGTCATGGTGACCAACAAACCCATTTAAGGCCCATGTCAAATGAAAAAAAAAATTCACATAGAGAAAAGCCCTTTAGTCTAATTTTTACTTTTTTTTTACCATTTCAGATTAATACCTTTTCATTCATAGTTGATTACTATAATTGTGCTAAATTTCATGCGGATCGCTTCAGCTGATCAGGATGAGTATTTGTAAAACAACAGAAGTAGTGTAGTGCAAGAGCTTTGCTCGCTCTGCTCTACCTAGGCCTACTGTAATTTTCTAAAGGAAAATTGGCTAAAAAAATTTACAAAAGACAGGTGTATTAGAGTCAAACTAATAAAATAGGTAACTTAACCTACAATCTGACAGTAGGTAGAATAACCAATATAGTTAATAAACTTACTCGTGGAACACTTAGGAGTTCGTAGAAATTTTTGCTAATGCCGACTTCTTCCACAACATCAAACACTTCAAGTTCATCTGCATCCCAGGCCAAGGCTGATGAGACAAGCCATATCATCAACAAGAATATTGAACCTTTCATTATTTTTTCAAATTGTCATACGTTAAATGCAAAGGTTTCCTGTAAAATCAATACATCTGTTAGAAAACTTCCCTTTCCCTAATAACAAAGTGATGTAAGTAAGCAAGTACAACTGTTAAAAGGAAACATCAGATCTGTGTACCTGCAAGAAATGTGTATAGGCCTAGTCCTAATAAGAGGAGTATTTGTACCTTGTTTCAGGGGGTGAGGAGAGAGTTCTCCTGCAAACAATTAGGTAAAAGTTTCCTCTCCATACACACAGCTTGATTTCATCAAAAACTTTCATCCAATACATTAATATATCGTAGGTTCTCTGCAGAACTGTTCCCGCCAGAACCTGGTGTATGTTCAGCTTTTTACATTTACTTGTTGAGATAAAAACAAGCACTTTGGAACTTTTGAGAGAAACGACTATTACATCCTGAAAATCGTGTTTGAACATTGCAAAAAGCAATAGGAATCAATGATTTTTGGGGCTTGAAAATTTTCATTTTTTACTTTTTATGTGTTTTTCTTATTATTTGGTCAATTTTAAACACTTTTTTGGCAAATGCCGTTTTTACCCAGAAAACCAGGTTTGAAAAATCTTAAAGAATAGTAAAGTGCCAAAAATTACCCATTTTTGGGTAAATCAAATTAAATACCTATTTCATTATCTAACTTAAACTTAGTTTAACCTAACTTAACCTAACGTGATGTAGTAGATGACTACAGCTGTTTCGTGCCGCTGGGGCACATCTTCAGGTTGAGCATTAAGATGATGAAGCTGTCATCCGTGGATGAGTTTGTCAAAATAAATAATTACACAAAATACACGGTACGAAAACATATAAAAACACGTATTTACAAACTTGGCCAAGTGACAAAAACGCGATACAGGCGCCGGTGAATGTTGCGTCATGACTGCTGGCGTGTGTCCAGCAAGTTTGTAAATACGTGTTTTTAAATGTTTTCGTACCGTGTATTTTGTGTAATTATTTATTTTGACGGATGACAGCCTCATCATCTTAACGTTCGACCTGAAGATGTGCCCCAGCGGCACGAAACAGCTGTAGTCATCTACTACATCACGGATTGTTTGACGCGAAAGGTAACTTAAACCATTTTATATTGCAATTTTCGATCCAGAGGCTAACCCATCATGAACTAATATAGAATGATGCCTTCTAGCAGATCTTGAATAAATTGACTTGCCTACAATGTTAAATATGTAGATCTGGCGGGAGGTAATGTGAAATATGACAAATATCTAAATCTAGGCAAGGATAGTTACAAATCAATTTATTCAAAAATTACAAAACAAAACTTGTTACAGTCTTTCATTTTAATGAATCGACAACACATATGTGATGTGCTTTTGTCATGACTCAATACACTGCTGTGTTGAGGTTGACGCCAGGAGATAGAGAAGAAACTCAACCCAGAGAGTAATAAAAACCTTAAAAACTCAACCTATACTTGTGGTAGCAAATCTGTGCAGTGTTTTAAAAGTCACTGCACGAAATTAAGTTACCGTATTGCTCAAAATTACTGGACTTTTTTGTAAGTAGATAACTAAAATATTTTCAGGCGCATAGATTTTACGGAAATGAGACTAAACCAGTACGATTCCCCGGAAATGTCGGAACCCCGGAAAATGGACGGAATGAGAACGAATTCCCCAGACATTGGCAAATCCTCCACCTTGAAAAGCAGTTGTGTTTTCGATAGATTATTGCCATCTAAACACCATCTAGGTTATAACTTGCAGACCAACACAGTCCCTAGTGAACAGCTGTTAAAAGGCTTGACTGTCAAGTGTCAAAACTATAATAAAGAAAGCTCCAATAAAGTTAATTCATTGTGAATGATGGACCTCACTAGAAGAAAAATATGATTAGGCCTATAATGAAAACGGACCAAATCATTCATATACCACAGTAATTACTTGGGAAATAAAAACTATGTTAAAAGAAGGAGATGGAGAACAATTGTAGAAAGTATGCCTAATGATAACATTAAAGGCTTCACTTACTGCACTTACCTACCTTTCAAAAAGTATAATTGTTAAATAAAACACTACCATGCAAGTAATAGATTGAGGAACTTTTTACTACTTAAACTTTAACAGAACATGGTAATTAGGGTTATGTATATTGTGTGTAGTTGTGTACGTCAAGTGTAAACATATGGTCGATTGATTGATTCGACTCTACTCCGACTGGTCTGGCTTTGGCAGATCCGTAGAGCACGATTTGTTTATCAGGATTAATTTTGCCAACAGTGTCATTTGGAGGCTTCTGATTGAAGGTATAATAATGAAGGTTTACTAATCGAAAAATTAGTTCTGTTCATTAAATAAAATTATAAATGCCTCAAATTCAATTTAATATGTTTTAAGTTATGAAATTAAACTGTCATAACCTAACCAAACTAACCAGACTTGCTGATAATGAAAAATCTAATGAATGTTTAATCGAAAAAACAGTTCTGTTCATAAAATAAAACTATAAATGGCTCAAATTCAATTTTATAATGTTTTAATTATAAATTTAAAATGTCATGACCTAACCAAACTTGCTGATAATGAAAAAAATCCTAGACAAAAAGTTAGTGCTGCCGGAATAATTCCAACCCGGCCCTCCCGCTTATGAGCCTAGCGCTGCAGCGCGGGCAGCGCAACACTACGTTCTGGCCCAGCACTCTATCAAGGCCACACTAGAAAAACTCTATCCACTATAATGCCACCGCCACCGAGGCCGATGACGCCTTGGATGACAGCAACGTGTCAGTATCGTTCCGGTAATGGTGTTCCCTCAGCAAATCAGAAGCCTACAAATGACACTGTTGGCAAAATTAGTCCTGAAATAAAAATTCAGCAACCGCAGATGGCAAGGCTGGCAGAACGTAGAGACTTTTTTTACGAACGGCCTTTTCATAGTCGAATTTCTACGCTGTACTTTATACTTATATTTTATACTTTATACTTTTCAATGAAATATTTTTATACAGTCAAAACTTTGACATATAATGATACAACACACAATGAACAATGTATTATATCGATAGTTACAATCGACAAGTTTCGCCTTCTGCGTATATTATGTTAAAAGTGTTAAGTTTAAAATACTATTTTTGCGAAGGGTTTATAATTTAACCCCCAAGAGGAATGGAGATGCAATCCACTCGAACATCAAAAAGCAACGCAGCCAAATTTAGGAAAGAAGATACAGGAGGGGAAAGGCTCCTAAAAGACCGAGCGCCGTACACCAATAGACCTTCCTTCCACCATGCCAATAGACGACAGGAAAAAGTTGTGGAATGGTACCGAAGTATGCCTAATAAACGTAAAATCAGATGGATAATTTCGAACTCAATGAAGACGTGAGAGAGGTATACATCTTAATGGAAGATCTTAAACATAAAACATGACAAGTTTTATAACCATTAGTCATTATAGTACTACGGGGCCCCCAAAATGGATTTAATCTCAGTTTCATTGGTCGCCAGGCGCAGACATGCCTTCAATTAACTTTTTATGGGATAGCATCATAGTTTTTCAATGACCTCATTTAAAACAAATTTCGGACTCAAAACGTATCAGAAGCACGAACCTTACGCAAAACAAACACAACGCTCGCTAGTTACTTAGTTTTTTTTGGGTTAAGTTGGTGGAGGGTGAAAAAAATTTAAAAAACGAGTCATCAGTCTTGGTGAATCAGGTCCAGGTGAAAAGGTACATTTTTTGTTCTGTTCTAAACTTAATCTATTCACGATCTGAGGACGCTGCAGATTGTAGTTCGTACTCTGCTGCTAGTGGAGCCACCAACTGTAGCGTGTAGCGCGCTACAATTTACAGCGCGACAATTTACGGCAAGTGGAGCCGCAGCCTTATAGCTGCAGTGACACATTCAGTATCTTGCTAGCATTTCGAAAAAGCCCGGCAAAATTGTATAGGTGAAATAGTGTAACTACATGGTAATTAAACCAAACCAGCCTTTATAAAAGCAAACTAGAAAAGAAGAAGAAGACAAAGAAGAAGAGCAATCATTCATTTCACTAACTTCACTTCCAACTTCCAACCAACAACCAATCCACCGACCGAATCACCGATCGAAGGATCGACCGGACCGATCATCACCGTGACCGTCACCGTCACCGTCGTAACACCGTTCTCGTTCTCGTTCTCGGTCCCTCCGATCCGATCATCTTTCTCTTTCATCTCTTCTCATCTTCATCGATCATCGTTTCGTTTCATCTTTCATCATCAGTCATCTTGTCTTCAAACTAGGCTGCTAAGAAGGAGCGAAGGAGGTTAAATTAAAATGGCTGATCCTAAGTATGCTAACCTTGTCGGCATTGTAAGTACTTTTAATTTAAATCATTTTAAGGTTTACCCTTCTTGATGTTAGTTAAAGTTTATTCTTTACACTTATATCATAAACCCTCCTCCCCACCCGACTAGGCCTAGGTCCTTACATTTAAAATCACTCGTAGGCCTAAGTAATGTGTCCTAAGTTAACTGTAGGCCCTAGTCCTAGGTCTTCAACACTGCACAAGATTGGTCTTAATTCAAGCCCTATATCAATAATTCAACCATTAATCAGAATCTGAAATCTTTATTCACCATTGATCATATTACCCTACATGAAATAGGCCCAGGCTTTGTCATACAATATAGGCTAAATCTATCATAATAATAAGGAAAAGAAAATCTAGGGTACAGTTTTTTAACTTGTTCAGTGCGGCAGGCAATCCAACAGGCGCTCGACAATGGCGGCGAGGCCTGGGCGAAGCCATGGCGTGGTACCGTAACAGCGAACGCAATTGGCATTCAAATATTTCAATCTGACGAATAACGATTGTACTACGTTAGCCCGAGATTGGACGTAGTTCCCTAAAACACCCAAAGGTAGCAGCACTGCCTGGATCAGTTGTCAGTGGCTTTGTAATATGGCTTGAAGAGAGAAAATCCCCGAAACCGGGACAAAAGGATTGTCAGATGGGATTTTACGGGAAATTTTAGTACCAACCTGAGGCACCAAAATAAAGCTCACATTCTAAGCTACAGGCTAGCAACAATTTTAACGTTCCCAGGCAATGGCTGAGCTCATACTGAACTAATGTAGTGGGGGTTGCGCAACTACATAATTGATGTAGGCCGCTCGTGGCGCGACTATATCAATTGATGTAGTCAGCATTGAACGTGTTAACTGGGCTACGCTAATATTGATTGAAACTATCAATTCGATTAGTAAACCTTCATGCGAGTTTCAGCAAGTTTGGTTGGTTAGGTTAAGTTATTATAGTTTAATTTTATAATAGGCCTGGTTATATTTTAAAATATTGATTATTAATCAATATTTTCAATTCGATAGTTTCAATCAATATTAGCGTAGACCATTTAAGAATCTACACACATAACAATCATAAACCTACCACTACACAATAACAACCAACACAATAACACCACTGACTGGTGGTAACTTATAATACCACTGACAATAACAACCTCATTTCTCGGTCAATTCAATCTACAAATTAATCTAGGATCACAGGACGGACTAAAAACTCAGTTAAACAATAAAACGGATTTGTTAATAGCCAATCATGAATTTTCTTTTGGATTATCCAACCATAAAAGTAACTTAGCGATTCAATCAATAACTTCAAAAACTTTTAACCAAACTCAAAACTTTCTACTTTCTAGCCTACCTGTCAACTGTGTAGCCTAAGAAACAATAACTTAACAATACAGTTGGATATCATAGTGATGCCTTTTAACCCGTTGTGGTAGGTACCGGTACCGTACTTACTATTGTTTTAATTTAGTGTCGGGTTGTGCATATCTGCCATATTTTCAAGTATTCAAGTTAAACAAAATATGATTGTGACGCCAAGAAGTCAGTTTCTACGTTTATTTAACCCTAGCAGTGGCCAACCACGCTCGTTCGCCAAGACGCCTAGAATGGCCACCAGCGTAACTTAATATCTAGTATGGGCCGAAATTTTTTTAACTGTGAAAAAACCGCTTATAAGTAATCAATTCTGATGTGAACAAAATATATACCATTCGAAAAATCACATTCTAAACTTTCATTTTATTATATGTGTAAACAACCCCTGTATAAAGTATATAACAATGTCTCGACGATTAAAAAAATCAAATGAATTTTTTTCGCGGTACGACTTTTGCAGCTGACACTTGTGAACTGTCAAAACACGACCTGTTTGGCATTACCCTGCTCGGGTAATTTTCGTCTTGGGATGTTGCGGTGGTACCACTGGATAGCCATTGATTTTATCTTCATTGTGGTATTGATATTTAGAACGAAATATTGATTGCACAACAGGTTCGATTTTATGATAACAGCTGTTTTCGAAATTTATAACAAATGGCCAACCAGCGTAATACGCTAGTACGGAAAATACAAATTACATAGGCCTACAGTGTAAGTCATTATAACTAGTCATATTTAATATGTCATTTTGAAGAGGAAGAAATATAGCTTGTGATAGTGGCAGCCCTGCGCTCAGGGTTATTTCCGGTTTCTCTCATGAAGACGACGAAAGTGTGTCACTACTGTCAAGGTCTCGTACACAAAATGCTTTGTATTCGCCATTGCGTCGTCATTGCGTGTTGTTGCCGGTGAGTTTTCGCTCTCGTGTTATCTGCCATTTATTACTAAATTCGTTATTATTTCGTATTGTTAGAGAAATGTGTGTGTATATATACGTAACAGTAGGCCTAATCTTCATGCATTTTATAATATTTACTGAATAGTGTGAAATTGTGTTTATAGAAGGTTGTTTTTATCTTGCGGTTGTATTTTGTGGTTTTCTGTTTATTATATCATTATGCCCCTAACACGTAAAAACAACAATTGTTACCCAACGTGTTACAGTATACATTTTTATGTAGGTGGGCTTAATTCAATACACTACAAGATGATTATGTTGGTTTGAAGTAAAAACATTTGGTACAAAAGTTTTATACTAAATACTATGATTTTTTTCCCACAAAATTGCTAAAATATAAAAACATTATTTTATTTATAAATAAAAAATGATTTTCACCATAAACTTGTGACTTTTTTTGGATTTCTTACTTCATTAGCTTTACAAACATGTATAATATTATTATTTTTAGTATACACATACTTTTAACACAAACTCACACTGTACGGTTTTCAATTTTTTCGGTTCTCCATTTGTTATTATAGTATATTTCACCTCAAAAACTTATAAAAAGAAAATATTTTCCTAACATGTTATATTTCTATGTAGAGAATTAGATTGTCTACAAAATGTATACAATGAATTTCCCATATAATATTTGTAGAAACATTTTTACCAAGAGGCTGCTTTTGAAATTTCAAAAAAAAAATTCTAATTTTTTATTTTCTCTACTTTACTAAAAAATACACTGGCTAAATCATTAGTATATTACTATTTCTAGATTCTCCGGTTCTTTCTGAACAAAATGAATATAAGATTGGCTAGGTTTACTTGTACTGTTGAATTTTTACAAATTTTCAAAAAAAGGTCTGCAAAATCGCCAAACTGGGTTGGTCATTCCCCACTTCTAACATTGGCCACTGCTAGGGTTGAAGTGGGACACAGTAGGCCTGTGAGAAATAAACTCAAATTTTTACTATGAAAATGGTTGTGCATACGGGATTGGTCCCAGAATATTTTTACCGCAACTTTCAGAGTTCATAGTTTTACCCCAAAAGTGTCTGAGAAAAAGGTGCTCAAAATAAGACAAACAAGAAAAAAAAATATTTTTTAAAATTTGATTGGTGCTCTACAAGTAAATAAATGCTTAAAGGTCTAGCAAATGTAAAGCAATAACAGTAATGTTAATTGCAATAATATACAACATGGTAGTGTCAGTGTGGAAGCAGTAACTGAGTGCTAATATGGTGTCAACAATAAATCAACAGAAACTAATTTTAATGCACAGTTAGCAATAATAGAAAAGTTATTAAAATTTACCTCGTAGAAATTGACTTCAAATAATAAAAACTGACACTGTTGTTCTTATGATAATCAGAATAGGAATAATCATTAGTAGGCCTATTTAACACTTACAGAGCCAGTTAACTTTATCAAACTTTACCTGGTTCTGAACAAAACCATTCACTGAGTTAGTCTAGATGACCACTAAAGTTATTCACCATTTTGCTTTTGATTTTTAAGGCCTACGATCAGCCTGATCTCTATGAAACAAAGGACTTGCCTGAAGCAGATCAGAATGCAGAAATATTTGAGGAGGTAAGTTGAGCTTTTTTGTGAAATTACTTAAAGCGTTGGACAGTGTTGTTTCAGTGCCTAGAATTTTTCTGTGATTCCGCTCATAATCACCTTGGAAAAAACTGGGGAATTCACCTGTGACTCCCTATAGGACTTTTGGAAAATTAAGCAGAGTAGGAACACAGTTCCCACACGTTCTCATCCCATTTCAACACCGGTGTTGAACAATTAGATTCGTTTTTAGACAAGGACCTAACTTAGTTTAATATCCTGGCATTTTTGGAATATTCCATGTTGCAATTAACTGCGCTCTTGCCTAGTTAACTTCTGCTTTAGATTTTAAGTGCTAGTGTTTACTGATAGTTATTCAGCACAAAAAGTCTAGTAGCGTATCTGCCAATGGGTAATCAATTAGACAGTAGTAAATCAGAGGACTTTAAATAGAATAATATCAATGCAGTATACCTACTGTGTTTAGAATAAAAAATTTTGATACTTTTTCAGGATTCCTATTGGAAACTCAATGTACTGTGTTTATAAGTCCTACCTAACATAACTGAACAATACATTTACTTTTCAACCGGAAAGTTTGTAGTATCTAAAGTCAATGGTATTGGTATGCCTGGTTCACAAATCTTAAATGGAATGTCTATTTACAGGTTTTAAAGCCAGGTACGTCTGGTTCACATAAACAAATGGTTTACTTGCAGTATCTAAACTTAATGGTACATTTGGTTCACGTAAATGAGAAATTTACTTCACATAAATGAGAAATCTACTTGCAGTATCCAAAGTCAATGATAGGTTGACTTCTAGTTCACCTAAATGGAATGTCTATTTGCAGTATCCAAACTCATTAGTACATTTGGTTCACGTAAATTACCGTAATTGTCTATTTGCAGTATTCTAAGTCTAAGTCAATGGTTAATTTGATTCGCATAAATGGAGTTCCTATTTGCAGCTTCTAAAGTCAATAGTACGTCTGGTTCACGTCAATTACTGTAATTGTCTACCTACAATATCCAAACTCAATGGTAGGCCTATATTTAGTTCACATAAATGGAATGGCTATTTGGAGTATTTAAAGTCAATGGCGCATCAGCCTAATTCCGGCGACCCTAATTATTGGTTATTTATTTTGTACTAAATTATGCTCAATGCTATTAATCCGATTGTTCTTCCCCATTTTCTCTGTGCTATTTTAGATGATTCCTTGACTAACATATGTTGTGACACTTGTTTACCTTTTTATTGTTATCTTGCAAATAATGTCATGGCGGCCAATTAACCCATAAATCCCATCATGTTAAATTTCTAAAAGTTCACGTAGGGAAAAGACTGTTGTCTGAGTTGTTCCATTTCAGAACTATACCTTACCATGGTTGGTTACTATGACCTTTGACTATTAATATTTAATAGTAGTATAAGAGCTGCACTTAGCTCTGCTCAACGATTGCAAAAAAATGCTTTACAAGTTTTTAAAATCTTAAAGAAGACTTAAAGGTTAGGTACTTCCATCGTTGGTATAAGGACCCCCCTTGCATTTTTATCCAATAACAAACTTACTCCCTAAATAATTAAAATACCCTAATTAAAATCCTCTCAAAAAACTTTGGTCACAAATTTGTATTGATTTTATACAGGAATCTGACAGCATAGAACGCCTGCACATTAGTGCAACTAATGCATTATCCAAGTTTAAAGGAAAACGTTTAGATGCAAGCCGAGTTGACTTTTCTGATAGGCTAGGAAAACAGTCTCGCACGGGATATGATGCAAGGTAAGATTAATATTTACCAGTCTTTTTATTTTAAGATAATGGCAACTTAAAGCAAATTTCCCAAATAAGGAATTAGTTATTACCGTAGGTCTCATGGTAAGACCTGGGCTCGGGACCGATTTACTTTTTTGGTTTTGAGGAAAAAAAAAACATTTTTTCAGATTCATATATAGCCTACATGTGTTTGTTAGTGCAATAACTCGGGGAAAAAATCATCCGATTTTGATGAAGTTTGTTACAAACGTGTAGACCTACTGATAAGTAAAGACTTTGCTGGTATTGTTGTCATCGGCCACTCATATGACAGTTGTTGTCATGGTTTGTATTTGTATTCTTAAAACAATGTCAGTGATTGTGTCTAACACAAAAAGCTTTTCGGCAGTTTTTTTTTTATTTTGGTCGTTGCAACATTACATTTTCCAGTGTTTTCACTGACCTGACCCCTTTCTTTCTTCCCCCTTTTTAACCCAAAATAATTGCATTGTGTTTGTGTTGCGTTGAATAAACATAAACTGCAGGAAAAAACCTGCCTGTATCACGATCACTAAATTGTTGTTTCTTAAGTAAGTAGACCTTGGTGCTGTTTGGCCCAAACCTTGATAGGGACTTAAATGGTAAGAATGTTGTGTCTTTATGTTTAGGCTTAAACTACAACATTTTGTAAATACTTTCAGATACGGAGATTGGGAACTAGCTGGTGATGGAGAAAAAGAGACCCCAATTCAAAAATATCAACGACTTCAGTGTGAAGTAAAAGAACTGTTGGATGAAGTAGCCAATTTGAAGGTTTGTGAACAAAATTATATTTTTGCAACAAGCTATAGTTTTTGTAAAAAAAATTCTTTATATCTAAATGATCGTGGTACTTAACCGACCACACCTGATAATAACCTAACCTAAGGGTGGAATATGTTTTAGGTTAGGTCAGGAAGATTTTGTTATTTAAACTAATTAAAATCTTATTGAAAGTCCATTTATCGGTGTGGTCTGTATAATACCAAGGTACCATGATCGAAATATGTTACTTTGGTTAAGACTCCTTTTTACAGAAAGTTAGTCATTTTTACCCCTTGTACTTTTTTCTCTTGTTTTGAACTGTTTTTTCCTTACTTGGGACTAAAGTTGTACATCTTGAGAGCAAGCACCAGGTTAAAGGCCTCGGGTGACATCCTTAGACATGCAGGATCATTGTTTCTTATAAGGTATTAAAGAGGGCCAACCCTCATAGTACATGTTGTCTTGAGTTAAGTGTGTATCATGTGTTGGGAGCTAAATATTTATTATGATGATAATATGTATACATTGTGTTGTATGTCTAGGAGACAGCCAAGGATGAAACCAACAAGCAGTCATGTATTGTGGTAGGTAGACATGCACAAGATCTGGTACAACAACTGACAGAGATGAGGCTAGAGGAACAGCTGGGAGTTGAACTGGTGGCTAGTCTGTCTGATCCTCAAGGAGCTCAAATCAAGTAATTATTTGTATATTTTGTACTAATATACATTTACTTATTTTTTAGATAATAATGTTGGCACTTCAATGTCTAATATGGCCACTGCCTTTTGTCACTCAAGTAGTTTTGTGTGATAAATGATCTAAGCTGAGGCCGACAGTAATGAGGTAGAGCCGACTGCTTTCCGCGAGAACGGGCTGCAGAGCGATTTGCCCCCACATTGTCTTAAGGTTTTTGTTTATAATGTATGTAAACTTCTCCCACGTTTAGTTTTGCTCTTCATCAATCTTAACAAAGTTTTGAGTACAAAATAATAAATTTCTTAAATATGTTTAAAACTTTGTAGTTGGGCTGCCTACTAATTACACATGTCAGGGAAATCACTGATTTCCAAAGGCATTCTAAGTCTCATGTTTGGCAGGTGGCATAAAAATAAAATAACATTTTATTTATTTCCTGTAAAATAAATTACAATGAAGGTAAGTTCTAATCTAAGTAACTGCATAACTAAACAATAAACAAATTTAATCCCACATGGGAGAATCCGTGCATGGGAGTGAGTCGTATTACATTGTAATAAAGAAATGAGAAACTTTGAAAATATAGCAAAAACAAAGGAACTTCAAATTACTGACATGATTCCACAGCGCTAGCCTTTGTCATTACATTTTATGACAACAATTAAGTAATTAAACATTTATTTATAAAGTAACAAGTAGGAATTAAGTCTTGTTGGATAACCGTACTTCCCTAGATAACTAAACCATTAGTTGATTAAAGAGTTGGGTTAACGTGCAATATTTGTTTTTCTTAACCAATGGCAAATGCACCAGTTATTTTTTGAGATTGTGGCACCAGTTTTATGTTCAAAACACTGTTGGTTCACATAGGCCTCCACACGGAAGTCAACTAGAAAGTAAATTGGCTCATCTTGGAGGCCGACAGTAATAAAAGAAGTTTCCTGGATTGCTCTGAGAAGTGTTACTTGGCAGTTACATAACTTCTTTACAGCTGATAAACTTTGAAGTAATTGAAAACTTAAAATTTTACACATAGCATAATTTTAAATGGCCTTGTTATTGGATGGAATCAATTTACCTTTAACATTTCACATATAGCAAACAAAGTAGTTACTTTTGTAGTAGTAAAATGTTATAAAGGGACGCAGTAAATAAATAAATGGGTTGCTGAGTGGTAATAGTGCTAATGTTCAAAATGGAAGGTTGCTCTTCCTTAGTGGAATCTTTTCTAAGCCTATGTTTCTTTGTCATTATTCCTTTTTAACAAGACCAGGATTATCTTAATACTAATGTACCTGTTGCTCGAATTTGAGCAATTGCAAAGTATTACAGGCGTTATTTTAAAATGAATAACAGTAAACAATTTTTGGTGTTCTATGACTTTCCTACAGTATGTTTCCATAGTTTGCAAATCGGCTCTTTCAATGATTGCTCAAGAAATGCAGCACAGTGTTAATTCAGTTTTCTTTTTTTTTTAGTAATATCAAATTGTCCACGCTTTCTCGTTTTTTCCATTGTAATATTTATGTTAACCCAAATTCAAGTAGTAAATATTTCATTCCAACCAAGTCAGTAAATGTTTAAGTAGCACACGTTTCCTTAAATTGCAACCAAAATATTAACAGAAATTAAATTATCCAGCTGATCATAATGTAAACACAAATGTTTTTCATAAGGATAACATTGGAACTTTAAAAGCCACTGAGGCAGAGCCCAAGAAACTTTTTCAAAAATGTAACGTCAGTTTGCAAATCTACACACCTAGACGAACATTTTGGTATTCAACATGTGGGGTTAAATCTTAAAACAAATACATTTGATTGCAGGTAGGATTGTTTTGCTTAGGAATAACATTTTTATATTCATAAGATCAGGGTTACTGCGCTCAGTTCAAACACACAAAAACATTAAGTATCTATTTCAAATATAGCCTATGGAAATATTAAAAGCCACCTACAGATCCTTTTGAAATAGCTTCACAATTCAACATTTTCTGAACATTTTTGTTTGGGATGTCCTTTATCATTATTAGCTGAGAAGATCTTGCCTGCTTAAAGATTCTGTTAAACAATAAGATTTGAAGCAGTTATTGTTGTCAACAACCTACACAGTGATTTGTTACAGAAAGTTGCTGTCTCAGTTGGAGCAGTTCCAGGCCAAGCGTGGTGGGGGGGACCACAGTAAGGGGGAGGGGGTGGGGTCAGAGGTCAAGTTCCAGATGATGCTGCGACCTGGCCATGCACAATTGGCGCAGACAGCTCGGCTAGCAGACCTAGAGCAACGTCTGGCCAGGGTGGAGCAGGCTGTGGGGAACACACCTGCCAAGCTGGTGAGTTCCATCTTTGTAATTTAAATCTTAGTAAGCTACCGAATCTCCCGCGGCGTGCAAGATAAGGTCTGTGATACTTTTTTGATTACAAGAAACATATCGGAAACATATCGGATGCCGATATTCATCTCCAGGTGACTGATGATGGTTATGGTATGACCCTAAAGCAATGAGTGAGAGTAAAGCGTGAAATGGGTTATAGAGTGCAAAAATAGCCATGAAAAACTTTTCCCCTTGTGGTCTTTTGTTATAATTCTGTATACCCGCCATTAACAAAATTCCTGCCTAAATGCACATTTTCTTGCCATTTTAAACTCCCTAGCCCGTTTCCACACTTTCCCCTCTACCATTGCATTAGGGTCATAAACATCAGTCATCTGGTGATGAACGTTAGCATCCGATATGTTTCTTGGGTCAAAAACGTATCACTGACCTTTAATCGCACGTGGCGGGAGATTCAATAGTTAAAAACATTTTAAAACACACAGCGAAGTGTACATGTTAGCTACAGAACTACAAATGGTGACATTCTGTTCAATGATACAAGTAAGTGGCGAGGGCGAGGAGAATCGTTGCGGCGTACTTGCGAACTATATAGCTATACAATTGTTTTTACAGCATCAGTCTGATTGTAGTAGACACTAGCTGTGTGCCCGTTCTACGCACGGGGATCTTATAGTAGTCAGTTGAAACCTTCTTATATTAAGATTAAGAACAGCAGTTAGTTTGCATATTTGCAGATATGCTGGCAAAACTATTATATATAAACCTTCGCAAATACAGTATCTGACAGTTCAAGCCAAAATAAATGCTTCGCAATTAAATGTCACCCGGATCGTTATGGTCCATATGTCCAATGATTAAACTAAAAAATGTTTTATAGATCCATGAAGCGTAGCCCTAAAGTAGGCCTATAATTGAAAGTTACTTTCCACATCGGTTAACTTAAACGTATTTAAAGTACTACCTCAACCTCACCATTTAACACTTTATTCCGGTTGACATTTTCAGTATCAAAGGTGCTCTTGTCCATTCCGTGAAACACTGAGAAATAAGGACATTAATGCGTTACCAACAGACATACACACAAAAATCCAAAAAAAGGCCACGAACTATTGATACATAAACAATATAAAGGCGTAAACAATTCATGATGGTTTGCCCAACAAATGTTTTACTCAAATAGGTTATCATTTTCTTAGCATACCGGGTAAGCTAAGATTTGGAATCCAGACAGAAAAAGCAACACTTATACAGAGTTAAGACATCACTTAAATTGAATACGGACGGCTCTAATAAATAAGGTGCAACACCAACAATAACTAATTTGTAAACTACAGCAGGGTTGCCACCAGCCATGAAAACCTTGAAAAGCTTGAATTATGCATGAATTCTTGTGACCATGAAAAAAAGGCATGGATTATGCATGAATTTCTCCATTGGACCATGAATTTTAAAGACTAATTAATTATTCAATTAGTACAATTAAATTGGCCAAATATTTTTTTTTTCATATTTAAAAACGGTTCAGAGAAACCAACACCAAGAGACTGACTACACTATCCGTGCGTAGAACGGGACCACAGCTAGTCTAAAAAAAGAATTTTAACACAGAGTATTAAAGGTCAACAAATGAATCTTTTATAACATTTTTTATAGCTTTTGCCTTTGTGTTTTATCTTATTTAAACTATTATTGATTTATGTTGCCATGGATATTAAAAATTATAAATCCATTTAAACTTTGCAAACCGTTATCTCAACTGCAGACTTTGTTAAAAGAATTGACTATATATATGTACCTGGTATAAACTAACTTGACATTTTTTTAACGTGATCAACCTGTAAGACACGTAATTGGAAGATATGGAATTTGAAGACATGGAGATGGAAGATATGGAATTTGAAGACATGGAGTTGGAAGATATAGAATTTGAAGACATGGAGTTGGAAGATATGGAATTTGAAGACATGGAGATGGAAGATATGGAATTTGAAGACATGGAGTTGGAAGGTATGGAATTTGAAGACATGGAGCTGGAAGATGTGTAATAGAAGACATGCAGTTGGAAGATGTAGAATAGAAGACATGGAGTTGGAAGATATGGAATTTGAATACATGGATTTGGAGGATATGGAATTTGAAGACATGGAGTTGGAAGATGTGGAATAGAAGACATGGTGTTGGAAGGTGTGGAATAGAAGACATGGAGTTGGAAGATATGGAATTTGAAGACATGAAGTTGGAAGGTGTAGAATAGAAGACATGGAGTTGGAAGGTGTGGACTAGAAGACATGGAGTTGGAAGATGTGGCATAGAAGACATGGAGTTGGAAGATATGGAATTTGAAGATATGGAATTTGAAGACATGGAGTTGGAAGGTGTAGAATAGAAGACATGGAGTTGGAAGATATGGAATTTGAAGACATGAAGTTGGAAGGTGTAGAATAGAAGACATGGAGTTGGAAGGTGTGGACTAGAAGACATGGAGTTGGAAGATGTGGCATAGAAGACATGGAGTTGGAAGATATGGAATTTGAAGACATGGAGTTGGAAGATGTGGAATAGAAGACATGGAGTTGGAAGATATGGAATAGAAGACATTAAAAAAAATTACAAATAAAAAAAAAATTAATCACCACATTATTTTATGGAGTAAATAAATGCGTTACTCATAATGATATTATGTTATGTCTCTGTACGTTGTTTAGCTCATTTTTCAATTCCTAGAAATATTTTAGAATCAGGTAGGCCAGTTTATCAATGTTTCTGGAAAACTATTCCTAACTCAAAATATTCCTGTTTGGGAGTTGTTTTCCTTCAAACACTGGAAAAGGTTACATAGGGTTGCCACCATAGTGGGATGAAAAAATCTATGCAAGATTCATGGTTTTCATGGGCAGTTAAAAAAAAATCATGGTCGGTGCACTCATTTTTGCTGACTTAAGAAATTGTTAAAGAGGCAGTTTCTTTGCGTGTTACTATTGAATAACCTTTCCATACATGAAATTCAACTATTTTAGAGTAATTCATAAATATACATTCAAAACAAAGATGAAAACAAAATGGGTCCAGCTATTCTATATGACACATAGGAGAAGAATTGTAAAATATCTATATATAAGAATAGGTCTAATTCAGTCTTTCCACCGGAATAAAACAAAGATCCCGCACACCTGGCCAAAAAGTCCTTTTTTATCCCTCCACATGAATGTCATAAAATATCCTTTATGTTTACTGGTTTATCTTATTACTCAACGTACTAAGATATGATTGGTTTATCCACAAAGCTATTAAAATCAGGCGTCTTGTTTTATTGCACACCCCGTTTCAATTCCGAGCATGGTCTAAAACTTCTGTTTTTGTGATTGCCATGTCCCTTTATACATACGCGGAAGTTGGCCTACTAATGATTTTTCAAACCATATTAAGTCTTCAGAAAGACTCAGCTCACATCAGCATCTAACCTCGAATGACTTGGAATGAACTAACTAAGCAATATTGTTTCTGATCGTTGAACATGTTAAATAATCATTTCCAGACAGTATTCTCTTGGTGTTGGTTTCTCTTAACTGTTTTTAAATATGAAAAAAAATTATTTGGCCAATTTAATTGTACTAATTGGATAATTAATCCTGATCTTTAAAATTCATGGTCCAATAGAGAAATTCATGCATAATCCATGCCTTTTTTCATGGTCACAAGAATTCATGCATAATTCAAGCTTTTCAAGGTTTTCATGGCTGGTGGCAACCCTGTACAGTGATGTGTTGGTACCTACGTAAAATGATTCTAACAGCTACCAACGGTTCTAAGGAAAAGAACCAGTACCTACGTAAGAACCTACCTAAGAACTATAGTACATTCGACCAATTAAATACATTAATATCTAGTCCCGAGGTTATTGATCTCTTGCTTTTGGATTTTCTCGTAAAAAGTTATAGCGTAAACTTATTGGTGTCAGTTTGAAAAAAAAACAACCTTACCCAAACAACTTTTTGTTATTTAATAGATTACCCATTCTCTAAACAATGATTAGTATATCTATTAACATTAGAAGGAAATGTGACGAAAATCACACAATGTTGGGGTTTTGGTCATGTGTAATTATATTTCTTAAGTAGGTAGGCCATGTATTCTATGGAAAAGTACCGGTATCAAGGATCGTCGTCAAAAAGGTTGTTATGAATAAATATGTAGGCTTACGTACCCAAGATATGAGCTATGGGCCTATTGGCTGTATGTCCAGCGATTGCATCACACGGTGAGTAGAAACAGAAAGTGACACATTGGAAAAGCGAGTTTAGCACTTCCTCTGTTAAACCTCTGTTACAATTACCCACTGCAGTTGTGAATTTTTACTTTACACTTTACACAACCGCCATTGAAGCGCCATCAATGAGTGGAAACCTTTTTTGTAAGCTATTGGCGACGATCATTTCAGTGTCCCAGCCCTATACAACACTGATTCAAGGTCTTCTTTCTGGTTGTCAAAACTCAAGAAACATTTTATACTCAAAGAATTTCTGGTTCCGATTTGGACAATGTCTAGTTATTTAATTTAATTTACGGTTACACTATTAGACTATATTATTGCACTTGCGATTAATTAAATCAGTTATGTAAGAAAAACGTTTTTAATCTCACTTGGTTGGGATTTGCTTTCAAAACGTGATTCGAAATGGTTGGGCTTTGTTAAATGGTGATGTGCGCATGTTTTTAAGCGGTTTTGCAATGTGCGTGAGTGTGTGCACCCTTTTTGTTTGTATTGCATATCAAATATATTCAATTTGATTAACTAATGCTAAATTTACCCTAAAAAAGTCTTGGAAAAAATTGAAGTTACTCGGGAAATATGCGGGAATTCGGCCGAGCCTATTTGCTGGACACCCTGTAATCTAACTCATTTTATACTTGTTGCTTTTATTCTATACTAGTACTCAATGTATATTTTGACAATTTACCTGCCTGCGTGCAGAAGCACTCCTTAAGCATTATGTGATGTATTTTAATAAATAAATATATGCAAAATTGGCTCTTTCTCATAAAACTACCAACGTATTTAATAATTAATAAGCCATTCAACCTAATATTCATGTTAAACACTTACAATCATTATTCATTCAAAGGATCCCAGATTGTAGGTTCCCACAATAATCTTGTGTTGATAATGTTCGGGGAATTTGTATGTTGAAAATCTGTAATAATCCTGATATTTTATTGTCACAGTCTAGGTTGGGATTGGGAGAGGGTAGTTTGATGACCACAACGCAGCAATTGGCTGGTAGAGCTGCGTTGTTGGATGCTGCGGCCTTGGATGCTGCAGAGACTCGACTGTCCAGCTTGTTGACCAAACTGGACCAAGTAGCAGAGAAAACTGCAGCAATCACCGGCTCATCTGACCCCGATAGAGATAAGAAGGTAAGAGATTTATTCTAATTGATAAGATTGTTATACACCTAGTTTGTTCAATAAAAACGTTTACAACATTGAGTATGTTCAATAACTGTGCATAAAAAAAAAATTAAATCCAATAAAAGGTTAAATTGGTGTAGTCTACTAAAAAAATATCTTAGTATTTCTGATTGTGTCCTAAACTTAAAAGAGTATAATAAATAAAGTATGTCTTCTAACACAATCCGATATATCTACTCTTTTTACTGTAACATTTACAAATACAAGACGGTAATTTTATAAATTAATTATAACACCAACATGTAAAATGCTAATCAAGAAGTTTTTCTAAACTTAGTAAAAATTACTATTTTCATCTCATATCCTTGCATTTATACTAATAACTGTAAGGTGCTGTCCATCTGTAAAAAGCTTAGTTTTATGTGGAATGAAAGTAAGGCCATTAAGTACCGTACACACATTCTACTGAAGTTTGGTTTTATTTGTTAAATCTATACAAATTTTTTTATCCTGCAGCTTACTCTAAACCTCAATCTTAATGCAACTTAGTAGTGGCTTTCACTGGGATCTAGGGTGAGGCAATAAAAGCGTTCCAATTTTTAAATTTTACAAATTCAATACGGTTTGCCCTTGACATATAAATAGCACATAAAAACACAGCTTATCTCATGCCATTCTAACTTGATGGTCCCTCCTTTTTTTTAGATCTTTTTAGTTGCTTGAAAATTCCATCCAATACTTCGGTCCAGCATTTATTTAGGAATCGATTTAATTTCCTAGACAATTGCTTTAGTTCAAGCAAATCTCTGGTGTAATTTTTAAAACCTAACTCTTTATAGGGAGAACCCCCCAAAGAAAAGAGCCACTGTAAAGCTTCCAATAATGAAAGCTTCCTGACAGTTTTGCGACTTCCACTGATTTTTTTTGGGTTTAAGTTGTTATCCTAGATAATTTTACCAAGTTCCCCATCGTTTCCGATCTTGAACAGTGCCAGGTCGACCAAGGATGGAATGTGGTCCAAACAATCTCTGGTTGTTTGCACAATACTCAAAATTTAAATCATTTTAAATAATTATTTTTAAATAGGTTTCCACAGCAAAATCAAAGTGTTATTAAGCCCATAGCACAATGTTTACCCAAATGACATAGTTTAATTATCCTGAATTTAAAATTTGTGACAAGTGTTATAATCGTGTGGGAAACTGTAAGTTAAATACCGATATTCTTTCAGAAATGTTGTTTTTCAGATCAACGAGCTTTACGAACTAGCTAAGAAGGCAGAGTATCTGTCTCTAACTCTTCCTCAGACCTTGGACAGGTTAATAGCTCTACAGAATCTTCATCAACAAGGTATGCAGTCAGACTAAACTCATGACGAGATTCAGTACCTACTAAGTACTAACATGTACTGAGTTGACAACATTTTTTTCTTATTATTAAATATGACAATTACATTTGGAAGGGGTTAGAGTTCAGATAAATTTAACTGAGAAAATTAATCAAGGGGCTCATAGATAAACAATAAAAGTCTTGTAACATAACACTGGGTAGGTATAGGATTCATTTTCCAGTAAGCTAGCTAAGCTCTATTTTGTTTCCTTAAAAAAATAAATCAGCGAGATGGTTTTCCCTTAAGTTACCCCTTAGCTGACTTTGTTGGCTACTGACTTTGGATAGTCTTTTAGCGAATTTCCCATATAGGGAATAAGCTATTTATGTTTGATTATGTTTTAATTCACATATAAACTAAAATAACAAAAAAAAGGAACAGAATACTGAGAATGTATTCATATTTAATACTCCTTTGACCCATCCAAACAACTTGCTTGTTTATCTGCCGTCTGCTCATATTGAAGTTTACTCACATTGTGAACTGTAAATCCATTATGCAATCTACCTTGACTCATTAGTTTTACCTTTGACTGTTAATATGTCAATGGTTTTACTGTTTGATTTGAGAAAAACTACTTGACTACCCTAGTGATTTGAAAGTAATTGATAATTATAGGCTGTTCCAAACCAAATTTGTACAGAGTAAAATGCTGTACCAAAGCAAGGGCAGTAATTAGGTAACTGTACCTACTTTTTCGGTGCACCGCAAACGCTAATTCTAGCTGATTTCCATCCCTATACGACAATAAGTCTCTTCAAAGTAGCTAAAAACAATGTGAAGAAAATTCAATGCTCCAGCTAAATATCAATCGCAATCTGTGATGAGGTTTATCTGAGTAGGGGATTAAAACCTATTGAAATCTGTTCCCTCTATTGGGATATGTATGCAGAAAAATGTTTAGACCTAACAAATGTCCAATAATGTCTTAGATACTTCGCAGGAGACCGTACACATGTGCGCAACTGTTCCTCAGTTTCCATTGAGACAGTGTTTCAGTTAGAGAAACTGTGCGTGCTGATCGACATATGTTTAAAACTGCCAGGGTTTATATTCATTCATATCCTTAATAATCTTAGAGACATCCCCTATCAGTTCAGTCACACCGTGATTCAGATGCACGATATCCTCAACTTTGGTCACTGCATCAAAGGGATTTAATGACCGAAAGCAGCTTACACAGTCCAAGACGTTGTCAAAAGTATTTACTATATCCTCTGACCCCCTTACACGCATTTTCCACACCAACCACTTTAATTTGCGAGATAGGCCAAAACTCAGATGTAGACAAGGCTAAGTACTATTTGGAGTACCAGGGGTCACAGTAGTAACTAGTAAGTAAGTAACCACTTTACTTCATACACGTCCATCACTGGCAATGGACTTCAATGCGTAATGACATAGGCCACAGAAGTCTATTCACAGAACTCCTATACTTGGTGAGGGCGTGGAATTTTCTTCACATCGTTTATGGCTACCATGATGAGACTTACTGTTACAAAGGGTGGGAACAGCTAGAATACTAGTGGATTAAATAACGGACACCGTGCTGGTTTCAGATTTGAGTTTGCCCGCTATGTCCCAAAAGTAGCTCGATGGAGACCCCTCTCGGACAACCGTGTTATCTAAAGTTTCTTTTGAAACCGATTTCTTACAAGAAAATAATGACAATATTATTTTAAGTAGCCATTAATCTTATTATTTTAAAGCATTAAATATTATTCCCATTGCAGGAGGAGAGTTTGCTAAGTCACTAAGTGAGATGGAATCTGTCCAAGTCCAGTTAGCAGCCAAAATGAGGTAAGTTTAAGTACAATGAATACTTCAGTAGACTTCTTATCTAACTGCAATATCTATAGTCTCTTTTGATCTGTTTTTCTTTTCGGGTCTTGTCGAAAATGATGACTAAATTACAGTGTGATTACAGTTATTATTTAGTACCTTGTAAATAAATGCTAGCTCATGAGTAGTGATGGGTCGGTACCACTTTTTCAAAGTCGGTACCAGTACCCGTTCCTAGCCAAAATCGGTTCTCAGTTCCGGTACCATCGGTACCTTATTTTAAATTTTTAGGATAGCCTACTTAATTTTGTATTTTTAAAACAAAATACCCATATTTAAATTTTACAGTATTTTGCATTAGTAAAGGTTGGTCACACAAAACAGGATTAAGAAAATAAAACTTATTTGTACAAAAAAAAAAAAAAAAAACACAGCCTAAATAACCAAACACATTCAAGTAAAAATAATAATGTAGCAGAAGTGTTAAAAAATCTTTGATGAAATTGGTGATGTGTCAATACAAAAATTTATCGAATCTCGATACCGATACCTTAAAAAACAATTCTCAATACCAATATCATTTTTTAAATAGTTTTGACAAGTTTTCTAAATGGATTGGTTGTGGGCCTACTGCACAAACCCCTGTCTATATTTCTTTCTATTAAGTATTTTTGAGGTGGACTAATAGGGTGTTTTTAAAGTCAAAAAAATGTATGCAGCAATGAAACATTCTAATTTCTAACTACCCAATTTTCAAGTTTAATCTCTTCTTATCATATCAAATAACTGTGAAATTTACTGTTTAACCAGGGCTAATTCAGAACTGCTGGGGAGTGTGGAGGAAGGACTCAAGACCAACTTTACAACCATCAAGACCGACTTGGAAAGCTTAGATTCGAGGATTAAAGGGCTCTCCAGCAAGAAATAACATTTACCTTCAGTGAACGCATCGAGCATGCCCGAGCATCTAGCATTGTTACTGTGATGTTTATTTTGTAATTTGAAAGTTTATTTATGATCTGTTGCTTTTGTATTGTAAAAGTGCTTTGTCACCATGTTTTTTTTTTGTAAATTTTTTAGATATATATTACAACTTTGAACAAAATCTTTTCCCACAAAATTTGAAATGTTTACCTATCTTTGTATGAAAGTTTTTTTAAAAACTTTTATACTTGAAGTACTGTATTATTGAGTACGGTAGTTAGTTGAAGAAGTTTGTATGTATTGATATTTGAAGTATTTATTTTGAAAAAAGTGGAGCCAAAGCCGAATTTGTTTTTGTGTGTTATAAGAGTTGTTGTATTTTTTAACCCTCCGAGTGTTAAGCGTGCAAAAGCGACGCACAACACACCCGCTGTGGTAGGCTCTGGGACTGACTGAATCAGATTGAACTGGATCGAGATTGGTATTGTTGTTTTCGGCAGATTCTAAGCCTTCTCCTGATGTCTGTTTCTAGGCGCTTTTCATTTTAGTTCCGATCATATTGTAGCAGACAGATGACGTGCGTATTTGTAAACAACTTGGTTGACATCACATCGGAGACTGATGTGTTTTATTACGTTTATCATTGTTTTAGTGTTAAAAATAAAAAGTGGTGATATACGTGGTGCATTATAAGAAGATTTAAGTGATTTTGAATGGCTTGTTGATGATCCTGAAGAAGTAGGTAGTGATATTGATGTAAATTATCCGTCAGATTCCTAGCTATGCATTCTTAGCTAACGCTAAATGTACAAAATCAGTTTTTCACCCATAACTTATTTATTTGCAAATTTACTTCCTTATATTATATTTTTGGAATCCTCATAAAATTTAGAACAAAGTGGCTATTTAAAAATATTTGTAGACCTAAAATTATAAAAGTTTATTGAGCGCAAACATAAATTTTTTCATTTATTTTATAATTTTTGATTAATGTTAACCCGACAAAAATTGTTGACAATTTATTTTGTAATGTTTTATATATTACATTGAAGCCCATAATTTTCCAAACAAAATGATATATAAAACCTAATACTTTAGAGTGTTTTTAAGTTTCTAAGATACATTTGAATAAAACCCTGCGGTTGCGCAATAAATAGGCCAACATTAATACTATTACTATGGACACTTGGAGGGTTAAAGAAGCAGAAGGAAGACAAAAATAACAAATTTATGAATGAAATATATTGTTTAATGAGCAGAGATTGTAGTAAAGTGTATGAGGTCAAGGTCATATATTTGTGTGTATTTTAAATTTATGCTATGGGGCACTTAATTGTTGAACAATTCATGACGTAATGTGAGCTTTTCACCCAACTGTACCTGTAGCAAAACTTCTCCATTCAATTATTCATAAAACAGTGCCATTTTTGGTTGCCGGGATTTGGGAATTGGGTGTCTAAAGTATGAGGAGGTACCAAACAAGTTTAGGATTCTCAACACTTTGTTAGTGATCCCATTGTTTAAAACTGGTCAATGAAAATTTGCTTAACATTAGCCAAATAGGAGGAGATGTTACAGTAGAACCCCTTTTATCTGTTGGATGCTGGATAACTTAAGGGTCGTACCAGTGGTAAAGTAAATCGGTCCCGGGTCTGGGTCTTACCATGAGACTTACGGTAATAGCTTATTCCCTAAATGGAAAATTTGTTAAAAGGCTAATTTTGTGCAAAAGTCAGATATTGAGGGTTCTACTGCATGTTAAGAAGAGTTATTCTGACAAATCTGTTTGGTGCCTTCTTGTAAATATTAAACACTAAAAGTTATTGCACAATCACAGGTGTATGAAATTATATTAACTGCACTAATATATTGATTTGCTTTGAAACAATACGATGACAATGTAATGTACATACTCTCAATTTTCTTAGAATAACGGAAATTATATTTAAAGCCATAAAATGAAATGTAATTTTACTTTATGAATTATTTTGATCCAAAAGGGAAAACCATAAGTACAGTATTTGTACTAATAAAAATTAGTGCAAGTCTTAATTAATAACAATTAGTTGTCAGTACTCACAATCCTTGCATTAATTTTTTCACCTAAGCAGTTTGGTTTTTTTAACCACTTTGATCATAAATTCTGCACAATTACTGTACCATTTTCGGTAATCAACTCAGCACTGTGTAAGTGTATTTAATATCTCAAGCCACGTTGACACGAAGCCAGTTGGCGGGTAGGTCATACACTAGAGACGAGTAACCTGCCTGCCTACTCGCCTCGTGTAAACGCTGCTTAAGACTATCAAATTTAAACAAGCCACAGTTCAATTTCCATATAAGCCTCGGTTAATATTTAAATTTTTATGTTATCTATAATGTATTTAATACTAATTGATATGTTTTGTGTAATAAAACATTTGATTAAACAATATTTATTAAGTATCTACCTATATAAGTTGTTTAAGAATAAAATATGTTTACCAACTTCTTTAGAAACCACAAAATTCCAATTTACTCCATAATTGTACAACAAAGCTTATTTAAATAGGCCTACTGAATATAAAATTAATATTTATTGTCTTTGTTGTTTAATGTTTATGTACCTAAGTAATTTAATTTTGAAATCATTGTAAGCAGAAAAATAAATTTGTAAGCTACCAGACCAGTTTTGTATACTAAAATATATTAATAACTCTGAAGTATTTTTCACTTTTCCATGCTTCATCCAATATTTATTTACAAAATGACTAATATTATAGCTTTAGTAATGTTTTTACCGCTCTAGTGTCCAATAACATCCAATCTTCGTGTATCGGCTTGCCAGTCATTGTCATGGCATCTTCCTATCAGCTTAGAGTTAATTTAGTTTATAAGTTGCTCACGAGGCAGGCATCAAAACAAGAACATTTAATGTCAGGGTGTCCACAGAAAATTTGTCATTAATTTCCATGACTTTCCATGACTATCCATGACCATTTACCATCGATTTCCATGACTCACGAACTTTACTCAAATTATAATATAACAAACACACACAAATAAAACTGCCTAGATTTTGCAGAAACTACTGAAATATGTATTAACAGACAACAATGGAGTACAATGGTACAACAATGAACTAATACAAACTCAAAAATCATAGAATAATACAACTGTAATAAATTGAATTGTCGAAAATTGTTGAAAAATCCAGAAAAATGCTACAGTAGTCGGAGTTACGGCGGACTAGAGCATTGAATAGTTCCCTCAAATCATCCATCATGGGGAATTTCCATGACTTTCCATGACCTTTTGCCTATTTCCATGACTTTCAATGACCAGAATTGTTTTCCATGACTTTCCATGACTATCCCTGACTTTCCAGAATGTGGACACCCTGAATGTATTCTAAAAAATAATTGGCCTGTTTTCATGTTGGCCAGTGCCACTGGTCAACCAATGTGCTGTGCCGCTGTGCAAAGATTGCAACTGGAAAGTGGAATAATTAATAATGCAACCTGATATTATATTTCATCCCTGCGGTGTAAAGTAACTTTTTCACAAAAGCCCAAGTCCAACAACTAACACTTTACCTGGGTCGGAAAATTAGTGAGAATAGAAGAAATTTTGCCTTGTGTTTTTTGTCTGTACTTTTTGTCCCACTATATCATTCTTTAAGTTAAATAACTCACAAAATGTAAAATCCCCAGTTGTAGTTGGTAGACCATCTCACCAGATTGCACCACGTTTTGTGGCTTCAAATCTTTACATTACTTGGGGAGTCTATTGTGTATAGTCAATGTTTCTATCTAGTTTGGCTGTTAAATACAAACCGCTATTACTGTTATTTAGATGTATTAGCTGTTGTGTCAACACAATAATAAATTCAATTTAATCAACTTTTTAACATTTAAATTAGTCCACGAATGAATGAATGGGTATTTACTGTAAGAGAATGTACGGTATAACAAGAATACAAACACAAATAATACGATAGTATGATTATTAACATTCAAAGCGCCCAGGCCCTTTGTGAAAATGTGCCCGAAGTGGTCAGGTCAAATTGGCTTTTACAGAGACACTTTTTTTAAATAAAAAAAAAAAACAGATATATTGAACAATGATAGGCCAATCAATGTACGTATTCATTTTATTCGCAAAACCAAAAAGAGTAAATACTATTTATTTAAGGAATATTTGTCGGAAAATTGTTTTAAAAAATTCAAAAATTGCATTTGCAAATAGACATTATGTCAAACTCAGTTTGCGGAAGAAAAAAATGTACAGCTTGAGTCCAGCAGATTAATTTTGCCCAAAAGATAGAGAATGAACTATTTTAGCCCTATGATTTATTTATATTAACAAAACAATAGCTTCTTTCCTGTAGGGGAAATTTGTTAAAAACAGCAGTTTTTGCTGCAGCATTAAGTTTTTTTTTCAAACAAAGGTTTTAATGTGCAAAATAAGCCAAATATGTATACAACATTTATTTTCCTCAGAGTTATGAAACTCCTTACACATCCACACTTAGGTACTAGTCCTTGGGATTTGGTTGGCAAAAATAACAACTTTTGGAAAACTGAACTTAATTTAATATTTTACACAAAGATCAGCACAGGATTTCACCTCGCTTGCTGCAAGAAGGTAGACTGATTTGTTGCACAGCCTGGGCAAGTGTGTAGAGTATCGTGAATGAACATATCACACTCCAGACAGAACACTCTACTGCATGTCTCACATTGGTAGACCTACACATACGAACGCAAACAATGAGGATACAAGATACCTAAATCAGTTTGTCAATAGTATATTTCACTTCTAGTAACTAAACTAACCAGTTTCTTCAGTAAGCAAATACTAGTGTTAAACTTCTCTTCAACGGAACTATAGTCTAGTGAATGTTACTTTTCACAATGGTGCATAACTTTTGAAGAAATCAGAATATTCTTGAGTTATATGGGTGCTTTATACAAAATTCATCGACCTATTTATCCACCGGGTGAGCCTGCATGTAATCCTAACACAATTCCTACTAATGATTTCTGATAATTTATAATAGCCTTGGTTTTGAGGATAGCTGTGAAGATAGCAAAGTTACTTAAATAGGAAAGATTTATTTTAAAAGACAGCCAAGTGGCTGAGTAGGATTTTCTTTGCAGGTGAGAGTTTAGACAGCTTACCTGACAGAGTCCAGCCGCTAATACATACACAATATAAAGTCAGAAAACATAACATTGATACTTCTTCAGAGAGAGATGTCAAAGTATTGTGAGCTGTTATGTGTAGACTGTGGTCAGACGCTCGTCTCAGCTTTGCATAGTTACTTGTGTTTGTTGTAACAAAATTAACTATTACCCATTTAATTAAGCCTGCGTTCTTAACAACAACCCTTATCCACACAAGGTACTCACATATTTATCCCTGTCGCTGAACTTGTGCCGACAAGCGTAGCAGTGAGGCTCGCTAGAGTTGGCAGCGTTCTCTTGTCTAAAGGCGGTGACGGGGAACAGATGGTGGTAGGAGCGAGCGAGATGCGGAGCTGAGACGAGCGTAAGGCCGCAGACTCGACATTCTGTAGGTAGCTCGCAATACTTGCTGCGGCACTGCGGGCAGCAGTAGCCTCCACTCTTGAGCTTACTAGCGTCCGACACACTGTCTATGTGGCTGTAACAAACACATTCTCATGTATTTGGAACAAGTGATCACAATACTTAGAGAAGAACAGAGTTATATAGTGAAGGTAGAGGTGGAGTAGTTGAGGACAGCTTTTAAAAGAGAGAGTGAAGACAACACTGGGCTAATATGGTTTGGACATTATGGTGAGGCCTAGTCAACGCTCAGACCGAGTAATAACCTAAACAAAAGAAGACATGTACACTTTGTGGCTTGCAAGCAAAATATCCTGAAGAGAGTCAACAATTGTCTTTTGTTAGTGAGTGACAAGTAAGGATACTTAATGAGCAAAGCCTATGTGAGCCTGACTAAAAAAGCACAGCTCCATGGTCTACTTCTTTCTTTAATCCTGACATAAGGACGGGTCAGAGGCCATCTCCAAAACAAAATGTCCTTAAATACTTAAACTTATTTGACCAAAAATGAACTTCAAACAAAGTACATACCACATGCACATGCTGAGTGATGTGGTACGGCCGTCAGTGGTGTCGTGGTGGGGGAAGCCCATCTTGATGAGGCTGGCCTCCTGACTGTTAGCCACTGAGGCCGGTGGAGGTTCTACATGTGTAAACAGCAAGTCTCGGAAGTGTCTATCATCCAGCACTACTCCGTAAACTCCACCAGTATCCTTACACAGAGCCGTGCAGATCCGTACCTCCGCTGCCAGCCCGATCACTGATACTCGGATGTTTTGTGACTTCAGCATCTAAGGAGAGATATCCGAAGCTTAGGTTTGCAATTTAAACATCTGTGGATAGAGGAGAACCTCAGTAAGCTTTGTGTATTGAGCATCTCCAGAGATTATAACTGCTTGCAGATTACTGGAGCTTATGTTGGGTTAGGTTTGTGCATTGAGAATTTTGTAGAAAGATAACTCTTAAGAGAGCAACGAGCATCTTCAGAAAGGATAACCATCTGCAAAGAGATAACCAAAACTGAGATGTTATACTAGATTAAAACATGAGTAGTTTGATCCTTCACCTGGTTGAGAGTTACGTTTTTAGTGGCCAAACCTCCCAAATTCAGTTTGTTAGCTGTAGAGAATTCCGCACATTATGAAGTTGTCTCCAAGTAATTTCCAATGCAGTTTTGGTTAGGTCAGTCATTCAAGCTTAGTTAAACTCATATTTGCGATTGAATGGTTGCATGTGGCACTCACCTCTTCTGAAAAGCTAGACAGTTTTTTGGCATGTGTAACCCTGCCTTCTCTGTTATCCTGAAACTAGTCTAAAATAAAGGTTTGGGGACGGGTATTTGAAAAAACAACATCCTGATATTTTTAAAATCTGTATAGGCCCTATATAACAATATAACTTCCGAGCAGCTTTTTCTTAGTACAGTAACACAATCTCAAAAAATAGCAATGCCATTTGATCTTACCTACAAACAGGAACAGAAAGCCCTAGAAATTTTAATTTTATCCAGGGTTTTATAGCATCCGCCAATTGTCCTCTATTGGAAACTATGTGATGATTGCAATGGATTCTTTATCACCAGAGGGTAAAGTGATACACTTTAATAGTTATGTTTGGCTGTTGTAGCAAATTGTTAACATTGTGTAAGTTCATCTCACCATGATGGTCTGGGTGATGTCCCCGGGGTCGCAGGTAGTCAGACTGCCCAGGATGATGAGTATCTCGCGACTTGCATGGGACGGCAACATCTTCAGGGAAGACGCAGCCAACTCCAGCGCGTTCTGCAGCGATGGCTCTCCAACACATTGCGATGGTAGGCTGAACTGGCTCTACAAATCAATAAGAAATACAATACACCAAATTGTATAAACTTACTCATAGGTTTTATTTAAAGTAAAGCCAAGTTATTTAGGAATTGTTTAAGGCAATAAAGTTCAACTTGTATACTTGAGGAAATTAGAGTCCAAAGGCTAAAATAAAAACGGTAACAGGTCCCACACAAAACATACACAACACATCATGTGTGTTTTAGAGGACATTTAACGGATATTTTGTCCTAATATGGGACTCCTTCAGAGAAAAGAGGGGTAAGAAAGATTAAGAGTAGATGTTAACAGTTTGTAAGACTAAAAAAACAGTAAAATTAGTTTTTAAAAAGATAATTATAGCATTAGGTAAATTTTTTGTGGGAGGGGGCTGACGGTCTCTTTCAACACTACATTTCCCCCGATCAAATAGGATTTATTCACCTAATTGGGACTTTATAGAAAAGGTGTTTTAAAAATATATTTTGTAGTCTATTTAACTTACTAGCCTACAGAGATAAAGTTGTTACTGTTTTACCAACCTGTATGACAGACAAATGTTTTCGAGCGTTTCCAGCCAGTTCTGACACTTTGTCTGCTCGCTTGTTCCTGGTTGATATAACACCCAGCTGGCTAATGGGATTTTGGTCGAAGAACTCTTCAATGAATCCTTCAAGGAGCTGGAAAATATTGTTTTGTTCACAAAATTAACAACTTTGACAGGAAGAGCTAAATGACGTGGCAAAACTACTTTACTCATTGTTAAGGTTAAACAATGGTTAAAAGGAAATAAAAAAATCTTAAAATTGATCTTAGGGTGTTCCTTACTATAAATACTAGGTGGCGTTCGCAGAGGCATCCACAAAATTGAGCGGAGTCATCAAGGGTTCATATTATATTGTTTTTGTCTTACTGCAGTAAAAACAGTATTTTTTCATGCATGCGCTGCGGGTCTAAAGTAGCATTTTTAATATTTAGGGAGTAAAAATCGTTTTTAGCCTCTATGGAGTAAAAATCAGCTGTTGTCAACTCAGTTGTAAATTTCGATTGTAACCGATTGCATGTATCGAAAATATGTATCGATTTGTGCTTCGTAATCATTTTTAACATATTACAGTCTACAGTCTCTTCCCGTAGCATTTTAGCATTGCAGATACATTAATCCATTCCCAAACTCAACACTGCTCACATTTACTACTTCCTTCACCACACCCTACGTCGTGGACCTGTTTCCCTCTTTTCCCATAGCATTTTAGGATTGCAGATACATTAATGTAATTGCCAAAGACAGTTCTCACACTCTGCGCTGTTAGCCTTACTACTTCCTTCACCATTTACTACGTCATTGGCCTGATTCCTTCCTTTCTCATAGCATTTAAGTATTACAAATTCACTTATCCATCTGCTCAAACGGTTCCCCCACTCTGCACTGCCAGCCTTTACTACTTCCTTCACCACTTACGTCGTGGACCTGTATTCATCGCTTTCCATAGCATTTTAGTATTTTAGATACGTTAATCTAATTGCAACAAACATCCCCACTGTCCGTACTGCTAGACTTTACTACTTCTTTCACAATTTCCTCCCTTCTCATAGCATTTCAGCATTGCAGATACATTAAAACTGCTACAAACGGTTTCCAGTTCCCACACTCCACACTGCTCACCTTACTACTTCTTTCACCTGTTCCTACGTCGCGGATCTGTTTCCCTCTCTTCCCATAGCATTTTAAGATTGCAGATACCTGAATCTAATCGTCATAAACAGATCCCACACTCCGAACAGCTCGCCTTTAATACTTCCTTCTTCCTTCGCCACTTCCCACATCGCGGACCTGTTTTCCTCCCTTCCCATAGCATTTTAGGATTGCAGATACCCTTATCTTATCGTCATAAACAGTTCCCACACTCCGGACAGCTCGCTTTGACTACTTCCTTCACCACTTTCTACGTCACTGGCCTGTTTCCCTCCCTTTCCCATAGCATTTTTGATTGCCCATACCCTAATCTAATCGTCATAATAGTTCCAACACTCCGGACAGCTCGCCTTGACTACTTCCTTCACCACTTCCTACGTCGCGGACCTGTTTCCCTCCCTTCCCATTGCACTTAAAGATTGCAGATACCTTAATCTAATCGTCATAAACAGTTCCCGACCTCCGGACTACTTGCCTTGACTACTTCCTTCACCACTTCCTACGTCGCGGACCTGTTTTCCTCCCTTCCCATAGCATTTTAGGATTGCAGATACCCTAATCTAATCGTCATTAACAGTTTCCACACTCCAGACTGTTCACCTTTACTACTTCCTTGACCTCTTCATACGTCACGAACCTCAAGCTAGTGTCGTCATTTGATTATAGTACCTGGGGACCGAGCTTTGCTCGGGGAAAATCATTCGTTCACTCTGAAAGCACCGTAGTATTGGAGATACATAAATCCACACATCTACATCCTACACAATTTCCTACGTCATGGACCTGTTTCCCTCCATTCCATTGCATTTAAAGATTGCAGATACCTTAATCTAATCGTCATAAAAAGTTCCCACACTCCGGACTACTCGCCTCGACTACTTCCTTCACCACTTCCTACGTCGCGGACCTGTTTCCCTCCCTTCCCATAGCATTTTAGGATTGCAAATATCTTTATCTAATCGTCATAAACAGTTCCCACACTCCGGACAGCTCACCTTGACTACTTCCTTCATCACTTCCTACGTCGCGGACCTGTTTTCCTCCCTTCCCGTAGCATTTTAGGTTTGCTGATACCTTAATCTAATTGTCATAAACATTTCCAACACTCCGGACAACTCGCCTAGACTACTTCCTTCACCACTTCCTACGTCGCGGACCTATTTTCCTCCCTTTTTATAGCATTTTAGGATTGCAAATACCTTAATCTAATCATCATAAACAGTTCCCACGCTCCAGACAGCTCGCCTTGACTACTTCCTTCACCACTTCTTACGTCACGGACCTGTTTCCCTCCCTTTCCATAGCATTTTAGGATTGCCCATACCCTTATCTAATCGCCATAAACAGTTCCCTCACTCCTGACAGCTCGCCTTGACTACTTCCTTCACCACTTCTTACGTCGCGGACCACTTTCCCTCCCTTCCCATAGCATTTTAGGATTGCCTATACCCTTAGCTTATCGTCATAAACAGTTCCCACACTCCGGACAGCTCGCTTTGACTACTTCCTTCACCACTTCCTACGTCACGGGCCTGTTTCCCTCCCTTTCCCATAGCATTTTTGATTGCCCATACCCTTATCTAATCGTCATAATAGTTCCAACACTCCGGACAGCTCGCCTTGACTACTTCCTTCACCACTTCCTACGTCGCGGACCTGTTTCCCTCCCTTCCCATTGCACTTAAAGATTGCAGATACCTTAATATAATCGTCATAAACAGTTCCCGCACTCCGGACTACTCGCCTTGACTACTTCCTTCACCACTTCCTACGTCGCGGACCTGTTTTCCTCCCTTCCCATAGCATTTTAGGATTGCAGATACCCTAATCTTATCGTCATAAACAGTCCCCACACTCCGGACTGCTCGTATTTACTACTTCCTTCATATCACTTCCTACGTCACGGACCTGTTTCCCTCTATTCCCATAGCATTTTATGATTGCCTTTACTACTTCCTTCACTACTTCCTACGTCACGGACCTGTTTCCTTCCCTTCCCATAGCATTTTAGGATTGCAGATACCTTAATGTATTCGTCATAAACAGATCCTAGACTTCGCACTGCTACCCTTGACTACAATGTATCGAGTAATCTTAAGTATAATCTTTGCTCAATATTAACAAGTGATGTTTTTCCTTTTGTACTGTATTTGTAATTTCCTAGTATACCGTACTGTGGGTAGTTGGCTTATTATGAACACATGCTAAAAATTCAAATCTTTTGTTTACTTTTTACTTGTTATTTAATTCAGCCAACATGGTTACCTAGCAACCCATAAGACTAATGTTAAGAAAATGTGATTTTCAGTTTCATTTTTCTACGGATTCCTGAGAGACTTTTTTAACGCCATATAGATGTTGGCACTCACCGATATGGTCTTTATCACCATGCAAAATTTGAAAACGATTGATTCAGCCGTCTAGGAGGAGTTTGCGTATTACGAAATGCATAAAAGTCGACGTATAAGAGCTTCGCTCGCTTCGCTCGCTCCGCTCAATAATCATGTATTAGATGTTCTTCAGCAAACCATGACAATTCAGTTTAATAGGTTACAAATAGTTAGAAATAGTTAGTTAGTAGGATATCCAAAGAATACTTGTCTAGAGCACTTATAACTTTAAATATTTGTATTTTTTATCAGAATGGCAATAATATCAGTTTTACCATAATCAGGCTTGGAAGATAATTTGTAGACTGAATTAACCTATTTTTAGGGATGGACGGGTCCCGAAATTTCGGGAATTTTTCGGGAAAAAAATATTCCCGATTATCGGGACGGGATTACATTTGACTCGGGAATTTTTCGGGACGGGATTTGGTCCGATCGTCGGCGATTTTTCCGCTTCGCGAGTGCCGATAACGCCGTTATTGCGAGCGATAGGTCCGCGAACGCAGGAGACGAAGTCATACCGACGATCGCGCCGTGACCGCGGAGTCCTACCGACGATCGCGCCGTGACCGCGAGTCATACTGATGATCGCGCCGTGACCGCGAGTCATGACGACGATCGCGCCGTGACCGCGGAGTCATGCTGACGATCGAGCCGTGATCGCGAGTCATACCGACGATCGCGCCGTGACCGCAAGTCATACCGACGATCATGCCGTGACCGCGAGTCATGACGACGATCGCGCCGTGACCGCGGAGTCATGCTGACGATCGAGCCGTGATCGCGAGTCATACCGACGATCGTGCCGTGACCGCGAGTCATACCGACGATAACCCCGTGACCGCGGAGTCATACCGACGATCGCGCCGTGACCGCGAGTCAAACCGACGATCGCGCTGTGACCGCGAGTCATACCGACGATCGCGCCGTGACCACGAGTCATGACGACGATCATGCCGTGACCGCGAGTCATGACGACGATCGCGCCGTGACCGCGGAGTCATGCTGACGATCGAGCCGTGATCGCGAGTCATACCGACGATCGTGCCGTGACCGCGAGTCATACCGACGATAACCCCGTGACCGCGGAGTCATACCGACGATCGCGCCGTGACCGCGAGTCAAACCGACGATCGCGCTGTGACCGCGAGTCATACCGACGATCGCGCCGTGACCGCGAGTCATGACGACGATCGCGCCGTGACCGCGGAGTCATGCTGACGATCGAGCCGTGATCGCGAGTCATACCGACGATCGTGCCGTGACCGCGAGTCATACCGACGATAACCCCGTGACCGCGGAGTCATACCGACGATCGCGCCGTGACCGCGAGTCAAACCGACGATCGCGCTGTGACCGCGAGTCATACCGACGATCGCGCCGTGACCACGAGTCATGACGACGATCGCGCCGTGACCGCGGAGTCCTACCGACGATCGCGCCGTGACCGCGAGTCATGACGACGATCGCGTCGTGACCGCGAGTCATACCGACGATCACCCCGTGACCCGCGAGTCACAAGTTACTATAGGTACCTGTAAATTGTTACCCATTTTTTGGTTTTTATAGATCAGTGCCACAAATGGTAAAAATTGATTTTGTATGTCTTTTTTTGGTAACTGCAATACAGTACTTAATTTTTATGCACAGAAAAAAATCCCGTCCCGTCCCGTCCCGAAAATCGGGAAGGAAATAAAAATCCCGTCCCGTCCCGTCCCGAACTAAAAATTCAATCCCGTCCATCCCTACCTATTTTAAAAGCAGACGTTTAAATAGCCAACCTTGTTTGTGCAGAGCTGCCTCGTAGGTTTTAGATCTTGATCGAGCATGGCTTCAGAAGAGTCAATGATGAGATACAGATGTCTCATCATGCCCAGCTTGGTATGGCCTTTCCGCTCCGCCTGTCTCTTGCGTTTGGCCTTCTGTATAATGTCGGCCACCGACGCTTCCAACAATCCCTCATCATCCTCTTGTAACGCCTCCCTACATCAAAGGAACGTGCATCATTTATAACACTTTTCAATTAATTATTTCAAACTACGTTACTTGTGTCATAATTTTTTATTTGTTTGGTACTGGTTTGACCATTTTACTAGAATAAAAGAAAGGGACACCTTGTTGTTAACTGTTGATTTTCTTAATTGTTATGTCAATTATAAATATTTATTAGAGTATGTATTGTTTACAGATTGTTATGGATGTATGTTGTTATTTATTGTTGTATTGATGTGGATGTGAAATCTGATATGTTAGCCTATAGCGGCAGTCTGGTAAATTTACCAAGCACTTCGGGGTTCCTTCCATAGCACTTTTAATATGAATTTCTTCAGTAGGCTCTGAACAAAGCCTATTTATTGTGTAATAAATATTGGAAAGGTTTAAAAACATAGCCTGTTTAAAAAAAAGTTACAAATTTTGATAGGATAAAATGTGTTAAATGGTTTTTATTAAACAGTGATATTATTGTATGTACAAGTATGGTTGTGTGTTTTACTCACCCTGTTGTTTTTTTACTGGTAGTCTGGCTAAAAGTATTGTTTACGACTCACATGGGAAGGTAACAGTACTTGGGTGGAATCCTAGGCCTCGCAACTTTATTTACGCTCATACTGTAAACCCCTATATCCTAGCCTTGCAGCTAACTTAGTATATAACATTTTTTAGCCTGAGTCTAATGTTAATAAATAAGTCACCTAATATAGATGGACTGTCTAAAAACAAAGAGTATGAGAATAAATAAATAGGCTAGTAGGTAGGCCTAATAATAATGTAATGGTAACAAATAGCCTGATGTTGAGTTAGTTTAAACTTAATGATGTCAGTAACTTACGTTCTATAATGACGTAGGCCTACTTAGCTAAAAACTAACCAGGTTTTCTCATATCCAGTCTCCCATCGATATTCTTTTCCATCTTCATCCTCAGCCATTTTACCTGAAAAATAGCTTGTTATAACAAAACATAATTAAGTTAGGTAAGGTGAATTTCCAAGCTATTGAATTTGTTTAAGTTACCGAATAAGATAGGACTGTTTTTCGGCACTAGCTCAGGTATTTTCCTAGCTGCTAAATTTAGCAAGGACCGTAAGTTACCCTTGGGAAGCTGCGAAACAGGTGACTACACCAGGAGCAGTGTCAGCCCCGTATTCTGCAGTAGCATAGATGTGCCCCTAGATCTAAGTTTAGACTAGGGCCTATTTACTTATTTTGCAGTAAAGATTTACAGTTTTTACGACTGTTTTTCGGCAATAAACTTAGCTCAACGCACAAGGGTGAGAGATACAGTAATTTTACTAGCTGCTGAATTTAGCAAGGTCTGTAAGTTACCCTCGGGAAGCTAAAAAAAAGGCAAATTACTCCAGGAGAGTGTCAGTCCTATAAGGCCTATTCTGCAGCAGCATAGATGATGTGCTCCAAGATTAAGTTAAAGGCGGGGACACACTTGTCATACACCCTTCCGATCCGACTCCGATCATACTGTGGTACGACTGTCGGAGAGGGGAATGGTACTAAACTTTGAACGTGGATGTCTACACCTCTCCGACACGCGTCACGTCATACTCCGGTACTACTCCGATTTTGACTCCGATCACGCACCGACACTGCAGTCTATTTGTTTGTCAGATGCAGGATGGGTTGTTTCTTAAAAATCACCTTTATTTTTAAGTTTTAAGAATAATGGTTTAAGATAAATATATGCCGATGCTTGATATGAAATCTGTGCGTGCATACCTTCAATTTGAGACCTCGATCATGAAAATCGGACGGGTAGAAGAGCCAAACGAACTCGAGAGAGAAAACCCAATGTGCTTAATGTATAAGATGGGCACTTAAAAAAAATGAACCCAAATTCTTCGTTTTCCACACTGCCCTCCAGAGATGTCTGACTTTCTTCCTCTTCATCTAGACAAACCGCCATCATGGCTGAATCCCGAAGTCCAAAGTTTTTGAACATGTTTACCACCTTCTGCACGTAGTTTATAAATCAGACTTTGGCAAGTGTTGTTCGACCGGTGGAGGAAATCGGAGATGCGTCGGAATCGTATATGACATGTGTGTTCACCCCCTCCGATCCCGCACCGATCCTTCTGGAATCCCACAAATCGGATCGTAGTAGGATCGGAAGAGTGTATGACAAGTGTGTCCCCGTTAAGTAATTAGGCCTTAGTTATATTGCAAATTTACTTAGAGTAGGCCTAGTGCTATGGTAACTGAAGGTTGTAGGCCTAAGTAACAATAAAACACTAAGTTAGACCACTAAAGGCTGATTAAAAAATTTATCAGGCTTGACATCCAACTGATTTTATTTGGATAAGATTTAAAGGCAAAACTTTGATAAGCCTATACGACTCAATCGTATTATCGAACATAAAAGTATTGATTCAATTGATAATCAAACCTAGCCTATAAAAAAAAACTTCTAGGCATTTATTGGTTGTAACAATCGAACCCACCTATCTAGCCTATTCAAAGAAAATAGGCTACTTACACTAAATTCCAAGGTAGGCTTGAAAATTAAAACAACAATTAGGCTATTCCTGTCTTGCCTGTATGTAATTGTTCACAATTAATTGCTTAAGTTAGCCCACAACACGAACACGAAACGAACACAACTGGTTATCAGCATTTAACTTAAAATGAGATTGGTAGCGGAGACAAACTTTTTATATCTAAATAGGCCTAAGTCATTATCTTCATAATTGATGAATGAAGTTGCCAGTAAACATTACAAAATGTTATCAACTGTGAGGTGCAGTGCAGACAAGAACCGACCGAAGAACCAGACAAGTTTTGGGTTATTATTTTTTGTTGTTGTTTGTGTAGTCGTACGTGTGTAAATAAATGTACAACAAAATGTCTGTAGAATTGGCCTAGGCTAGCAGCCAGCCCCAGCCAATGGCCAATCAGAATCAGATACCAAAATTTATGTTGGCAGGTGTGCCAAAAGAATTTCTTTGAAAGTTAAATAGCAGTATTTTTAAAACTTCAGTTAATCGGTAAAAATGCAATATTAAATGATTTTATTGATGGGATTACTTTTATCAAGTAAATCCTCTTTTTACAACAGCGACTTTAAATAGCCAAATACTTGGAATATATATCTGTTGTTTGGAATGAGCATGCTCAGTAATGGTTTGTTCTATTGCGAAGTTCAACCTGACTCCTTCTTTGAATACACATCACGGAAGTGTTGAAGTGTTGCAGCTGCATGCGGTGTCATAATAAATATTATTCTTAAAGATATTTTTGAAATAATTTTAAAATAAATTTGCTATAGGTAAGTATTTTAATGCAAATGCAACTTGTACGAATGTAAGTACACAATAATCTTAGATTGAAATTTGAATATCATCTTTAATCTACAATTTCATCATGTCGAGGAAACAAAAAAAATCGATGAATGATAGCTTGAGTGCATGACTACTATTTTATTTCGCGAAGAAATAATACAGTACCTGTATTTTTTAAATTACTGGTTGGTTTATTTCCTATATCTTTTGCCAACTTCCAATTTATCGAAAATACTTTCCCTGCGTTCACTATAAGTTTTTATTATTACCCACTTTACCCTGACACCCTGACGTTGGATAGTGGAGAAACCTGGTGGCGATTCCCAGCATCACTTCGTTGTCGCCATTTGAGAAATTTGTGCGTCGATCTTGTACGTTGGCAAGTCAGTATTCCCGCTTTTTCCTAAATGCATTACATTATGCCGTGCGGAAATGAATAGCTTAAAGCTCTGTGCTATTATTTAACTATTGTGTTATACGGTGGTGTTATTTGTTAAGATTAGTTGCAGTACCTCGATATTTTTCAATCTTAGGTGAGTTATAATTTCAAAAAAGTTGCATGAGATTGTCTAGCTTCACCCCACTGAAGCTTCTCGGTTGCCGCCTAAATTTGTTGCATCAATATCAATATTGATGGGTTAGTGTAGGCCTAGGCCTACCTTTGTTAGTCAAACTGATATTTTGGACTTCTGATAAGTTACTACATTTTTATCTATAAGTTACTGCTTGCTATTGAGTCATAAATATGATTGCATTATTAAATGCTGATCATCATTCATTGAACAGACTGTAGCCGATAGCGTCTCAACTAAGAAGTTGGGTTAGGACTAGCCTATTTCTGATTTAAATTATAGGACTTTTGAACCATTGTTCATTCTAATCTCTTCTAAGTTACGGATTAATAATTAGGGGTAATTATTTAGTAAGTTAAGTATAACTTAGGTGCCCCCAAACGAAATTTTAATTTTGATGTCTAACCTTAAGTTAAGTATACTTTTTTACCACCTGAATGCAAATAATACCATTATTTTTCACCGCTGATGAATATTTCTCAAGATAGCCTATCACTGTAAACATATACTTATAACATTAAGTACAAGAAACAAGGACATTTAACTTAAGTTACTAGTGGAATGAACTGTGGATGAAGTAAATAAGCCAACAGCTGATTGTTTTCAGTCATTATAGTCAAGCTAATGGAAGTGACAACTTAATTAGCTAAAGGTACGTTTTGCTTGGAGCGACAGAATACAATGAATAGGCCTACAATGAATTTATTTGGCCAATCAACAACAACATTGTTACAGGCTATGTCAATGTACAAGCTTAAAATAAAATAAATATCATGAGAAATCAAACCAACCAAAAATCGATCAAAACCAACCATGTGAAAAAAAATATGTTCAAGACCATGCACAAAAAGATACAAAGCAAAACAAATGCAGTTCATCAAAATGCATGCACTATGCAAAAACAGCAAACAGGTTGTTTAGAGGAAAACTTAGGCTACTTAACTTAAGTTAGGTACGATGCGACTCGACTGTCATCGAGCGGCAGTCGCGGGGTGGTAGATTGTTTTGCTTGGAGCGACAGATGCGACTCGACTGTCGTCGAGCGGCAGTCGCGGGGTGGTAGATTGTTTTGCTTGGAGCGACAACTTCTTCTTGGCGTCACCGAGACTTGGTACCATCAATGCACCTAACCTCAAAAGTGCGCACTAAGTAGCCTAAAGATTCACTAAACTTAAATAAATTTGATAAATTCACTTAACCTAACTCAGTAAAACTTAACAATTATTTTAGTATTCTTTATGTGTAGGTAAGTTAGTTATTTGTTATGAGAAACATTCCAAAACTGCCATGCCACAAGCCAAAATGAAATAGCCTAAAATTACTCAATTTCTCCGTAAATTGCAGTAACTTACACTAGCCTAACTTGAATTGGAAATCAGTGTTACAAACGTAACCTCCTCACAGGGTTTGTTGATTTTGTTGATTGTACTTATTGTAAATGAAAAAAATAGGTACCAATTAATTACATTTTATAATTACTCCATTAATATTTGAACAGCCTCTTCATACCACATTAGGTAGGCTACCCTACTGTAATAATTGGCATTTTATATATTAACTATGACGCGCCTAACTTTTAAGCCAATTTGATCATTAGCCATTTAACCTATATAGGCTAAAGAAAAATATTTTTTGAATCCCCTAAACGAAAATGTAATTAGAAATCTTTTAAAGTCGATAATCTAAATAATCTACTAATCTATTGGGTAACTTGTAATAGGCCTAGGCCTAGTCTAACATAATATTAAACTAACCAGATCTTCCGACTTCACCAGCTATTGCCTGCCAGACGTTGTCCTTTATTCTTTGGTCTTTGTAGGAGATATGTTTCAAATCATAAAACGCGGGGTGTTTTGCCACTTCTAATATATGGTCGTCTTCCTCACCACTAAAATTTAACCTAATCCCAGACGTTGTCCGGGTAGCCCACGACGCCATATAGCGAAAATAAAAGGTCGTTGAACTTGTCAAAATGTTGTACGTACTATATAACAATCTTAAATGTAACTGTCACTGAGCGACTGTCGCTCCTGACTGGTCTTGGAGCAGTACCCAGCGGCTGCGCGGCTGTCGCTCCAAGCAAAACGTACCTTTACTCGGATTTTGCTATTTGAAAATCAAGGCCAATAAGTTAACACATTTAACTTTAGTTAATGTACCAAATTTATTATTGTTACCGTACCGGTAGTAGTATTTTATTCTTAACTTATTACCGGTAATGATTTATATTTCGCCATTCAGAAATTACATATTAAAATGGTGCTATTTTAACAACACCTAACCAAACCAAAACTCTAGAACAATAGCAAACTCCTTTTGATGTCAGAAAAGCCATGTCAGGGTGGTTGGCAGTGCTTTAACTTCTATGTGAATTTGTGACTATATTTTGTTGTTATTTGGTCTCCAACATGGCAACCCGTAAGACACATGTTAATTTTTAAAATTTTTTAATTAACCTTTTGTGTTTATTTTTGAGGCTATTTTAATTTAAATAAAGGGATTCTGCACATCTACAGGCAAATATTACTAAATGGTATGCACATAGATTTTCCCTGCGATGCACAGGAGCTGAGAAAAACGGGTTTCAATAGCATGCTTGTCTATTAATATAGAATTTAGCCCCGATGTTAAACCTCAATAAGAAATGTTGAATTCCCATTTTTGGTCCAATTAACATAAATATTCTCAAAATAGAAATAAAACCTTCACATAGGACCGATAACCTTTCTTTTGGTACAACCCGCGTGTAATTCTGTCCAGTAGGCCTAAGTTTGTATAGTCAGGCTAGTGTCACAAGTTTTTTTACAAAAGTTTTTTTCATACATAAGATTAAATAAAGGAATAGTACGGTAACCTTTTCAGGCACATGGGAAATATACTGTAGAGTTAATTACTTTTCTTACCTTTACCTTTATTACACAACCTGCATGTAAATCGGTCCAATAGAACTCCAGATCTCACTTTTAACACATTCGATGCGGCGGGTCCACCGGTGGACCCCGCGCGTCTCAGCTGAGGAGCAGGGGGTCCACGGGTGGGGGAGCGCGCATTGCATTGTTTGCCGGATCAGTGTGGTTCAGCCATTGTCGGGGAACGTTGTAATCTTTACCAGCCTGTAGCTTATAATGCGAGCTTTATTCTGGTGTAGGTTGGTACAAAAATTGCCCGTAAAATCCCGTCTGGCAATGCTTTTGTCCCGTTTTCGGGGATTTTCTCAGTTCGAGCCGTATTACAAAGACTCTGGTTATTGATCCAGGCAGTGCTGATACCTTTGGGTGTTTCAGTGAACTACGTCCACTTTCGGAGTAACGCAGAACAATCACCACTGCTCTTTTGTGATTCGTCTTACTGAGATATTTCAATACCAATAGCGATCGCTGATTCAGTTAGCGCGTCGGGGCTCCGCCCGGGCCTCGCCGCCATTGGCGAAAAATTTTACCCAATGTTAAATTGTCAATAGAGATTTTAATTTCAGTTTTTGATAACATTTAGATGAGTAATATCTGAAATCAAAGAAAAATTGGCAAATAGGCCTACACAGACAATTGCCTTTCATTTGGTACCAACCGCGTGTGAATCTGCCAACAAGCTTCTAGTATGGTCAGGGTGGCTGTCTAAGCTTAACATTTTGGCCCCATGTTAAATCTTCATAAGAAAAGTTTAATTTATATTTTTGACCCAATTAACATGGATATTTTCAAAATACAAATATAACCTGCGCATAGGACCGATAACCTTTCTTTTCGTACTACCCGCGTGTAACTCGGTTCAGTAGTATGGTCAGGCTAGCTGTCATAAGCTTTAAATTTTAGCCCTCATGTTAAATCTCCACGAGAACATTTTATTTGTATATTCGTTCCTAGAGGTCGCCCCGGGTTATAAAACTCAACCAAGAATATGTAATGAACAGACTTCTCTATTTTCACCCCACACTGTTTTAATAAGACATGTGTAAATTGTTTGGATTTTCTGTTTGTATTTTATTTTGTTGTTATTTTGTCACCAGCATAGTAACCTATGAGGCCCGCGTTAATTTTTTTAAAATTTCAAATTTTCGTGCTTATTTTTGAGCCTATTTTAATATAGGCCTAACGAACTTCAACCAGGACGTGATGAAGTTAAACGGGGCAAAGCCCGCGGGTACAGCTAGTGTTTCAAAGATAATTGGTTTAAAGAATTTCTGGGGTCACTCGGGCAAATACCGCCCTTATTCTCTACTGGGTGTTTCTACGTCCTAGGGCTGTGGTGGTGGTTAGGAAGGGAGAGTGAGGCTTCATTCTCTCCCCCCACTGTTGCCTTTCTACTTGCATACAAATATTTGCTGATCAGTCAAGTTTATAACAGTGTAATACGTACTGCAATATTGTGTAAAAGGGATATTTAGGCCACCATGTAGGATTCTAATTAAGTTTATGGGTTTAAATTATTGGTCACTATTTCGGGAGGGTATTTTATTCTGTCAGATACTATAAAACCAGTAGCCTAATTAGCCAATTATAAGCAGTTCCGGGTTTAATGGATTCCAAAGCTTAAATGCCTAATAATTTATATGTGAGTCATTGAATCAACAGTGGCGTTAGGAAGGCCTGGCAGTGCATGTTTGTGATTGGACGTGAGGGTCGGTTTTAAGTTATTCCTCTGTGCCTTGGATAGACTAGAGGCTATCGTTACAGAATGTTGTCCTAAGCTTTGATTTTATGTAAGTACTAGCTGTACCCGCAGGCTTTGCCCCGTTTAACTTCATAAGTATTAATAATAAATTAAAAATGACTATCTCCACTAAGCCTGTGGTTATATTGGCTCTATTCATGAATAAAATCTGCTCAATTGGTCAAGTCGTCGTCCTGTCCTAATGTGGTTTTATGTCAATTTGTTTTATGTTAATTTTCAAGATGAGCTCGTTCGCATGGCTCAATCACGTCCTGATTGAAGTTCGTTTGCTACGCTTACTCATCTTTAGGTTGGAGCTCATTCGCTACGCTAACTCGCCTCCAGGTTGAAGTTTGTTCGCTATGCTCACTCACCTTTTGGTTGCAAGCTATTGTCATTAATGTAAAAAAATAATAGTGCTGCACCCTTTTGGTAAACCTATTAACTCTCTAATGCTATTGAACATCACAGAATCAAATTGTTTAGTTGAACCAGCTGTTAAGATTCTTTAATTCCATTTAAATATGAGTACTCATGAGGTTAACATGGGAAAATCCAGAGCCACTGGGGCGGAGCCCGAAAGTCCGATTAAAATAAAAACTACTTAGTTTTCCTATTTAATACCCAAAGAATCGGTGTACCGAATTTCAGCCTCCTCTAGGTAAATGGGAAGTGGGAGAATTAGTGATGAGTGAGTCCGTGAGGGCTTTGCCTTTTATATTTATTTACCGTATGCAAGTAGGCCTATTTGATAACATTTCAATGCCAGTGTTCATGTTTGAACTGACGTGAGCTTGTGATTTATCATTTTTACAGTGTTAACTTACGTAAAACTTATAGCCTATGGCTTTAAATTGTACATTTTCACAGTCCATGGACCTTAAGGCTGTTTGTTAAATGTGTCCGATATTAAAGCATAACTTTAGAATCCTAAGTAAAAATGCAATGAAATCTAATTTGAAGTATCGTACAGCTCGTGACAACTAAGCTGGAGCTTGGCCTAGCGCCGGTAGGGAAAAGACCGAACTGCAAACATTTCCGCTGCCTCACAGGGTTAACTCCCCTTGTACTATAAACTTGAGCACCTTCATATGGGTGGCGAGGACAGTTGATGCAACCCGCATGACGAGACAATGTTTTTGAACTAGCTACTAGTAGCGATCGGCCAAGTTAGATGTCCAGCTTAGATGTCACGAGCTGTACCTATAGCATATTATAAATATTGGCCCCTTATTTTCATCCCTCTTCTAGTTTGGCTTCCTTTATTAAAATCCTTCTCTTTTTAACAAATTTACCATATAGGTCTAGGGAATAAGCTATTACCGTAGGTCTCATGGTAAGACCTAGACCCGGGACCGTTTTACTTTTTTGTTTAAATGTCTCCAAGGGCTAAAAATACCCTTCGCTCAAATCATAACTGTGTGTCCGTTATTGCGATTACTCAAGCAAAAATGATCAGATAATTTTTCACAAACGTGTAAACCTACGCTTATTTGAACAAATTTGCGAACCAGCATGATCGGAGCTGATGGGAACCGGGGTTTATGGGTTAAAAATTGGTTTTTCCCAATTTTGAACCGTTTAACACCAGATTTCATAATTTCTTTCCAAACCATTTGGTAGGGCTTAACCCTCCAAGTGTCCATAGTTTAGGCCTTAATGTCCACCTATTTTTGGCGCATTTGCAAGGTTTTATAAAAACGGATCTGAGAAGCTTAAAACAATGTTAATTCTAATGTTCTATATACCATTTTGTTTGGAAAATCACGGGCTTCAATATTATATATAAAACATAAGGAACATTTAAAAAAAAAAAAAATTTTTTAGGTAAAAAAAATATAATTTCGAAAATTTAAAAAAAAAAAATAAGTTCGCGCCTAATGAAATTGTATAAATTATAGGCCTATAAATATTTGAAAATAGCCACTTTGTTCTAAATTTTATGAGGATTACAAATATATAATAATATAAGGAAGTATATTTGCAAATAAATAAGTTATGGGCAAAAAACTGATTTCAGTACATAGCGTTTAGCTAAGAATGCATAGCCTAACCATAGCTAGGAATCTGGCTGATAATTTACATCAATATCACTACCTACTTCTTCAGGATCATCAACCAGCACTTCAAAACCACTTAAATCTTCTTATAATGCACCACGTATATCACTACTTTTGATTTTTAACACTAAAACAATGATAAACGTAATAAAACACATCAGTCATCGGTCCGGGGGAACCTAGCTGTTTACAAATACACGCACGTCAGCTGTCTGCTACAATATTTTCAGAACTAAAATGAATAGCGCTTAGAGACAGACATCTGGAGACAGCTTAGAATGTAACGGAAAGAACGATACCTAACTCGATCCAGTTCAATCCGATTCAGTCAGTTATAGAGCCTTCGCCGTAAACGATGTCTGCTTGTCGAAAAATCGGCAAGTAACACTATACAAAGTGTGGTGCTTGCCGAATTTTCGTCAAGTAACACTGGGAGGGTTAAAAAATAAATAATTTTGAATATTGAAGTGTTGTTAATTTATGCCTAACGGTAACGGGGTTAATTCAAAGCGAAGTAGTCTTAGTTCTAGTACTCCTGAAGTTTTTGTGACCAGGCTGATCCAAAAAAGCTACACCGGTACCTCTATGCTAGTGGAGCGTGCTTGCCTATTTTTTTTTTGTTTATGTTAGGCTAACTCTACATTTTAATCTTAAGAGATAAATGTAAGTGTTAGGCCCTAGCTCAAAAGCCAAAAAACTGCATTTTGATCCCAACACAATGGTTGTTTTTTGACCCATTGGAGATAATTCATTTATACATTTTTAGTTTACGGCCAACATAACCTGCCTTAAGCCATATAGGTACCACACTAACACAACTTGTTGGATTTTCAATTGTTGCACACTTAAAAAACATAATATTGCCACAACAGTCACTTAACGTCACTTCTGGTTTGATGATGGTTAAAAGTCAGTAATTGAGAAGGCGAAAACTGTATTAAAAAGTACACCATCAGCCGGTCGGTGTGAGAAAAAACATCCAAATGTTTTTACAAAATTGGTAAACATTGATCTTTATTACCTATGTGGATTGCATTGTTTTGCTATTAAGTTATTTAGATTTGCTATATTAGACTGTGAGTTCAGGAAAATACATGTCTTATTAATTGTCACTCACTCAGTATGAATTTAACTTTTTTCTTCTGATTGTAATAATAATGGAATCAGGGCCTAGATGTAATTTTAAGATGTATCAAACAGTGTTTGTGGTTTCAGATGGATCCAAATGATGCTGTGCCTTCAGGCACATTTTCTGAAGAAGAAAAGCTGCCAGAAGGTATGGATGAAGATTCCAGTTGGTTTACCAAGAATCTTGGTGATGAAAGTGACAATACTGAAGGGATGAGTTCCCAAATCAACCAAGATGAGCTTAGCCAGGGAAATGACGATAATACAAAACCAACAGAAGAAGCTATGGAGACTGACTCACCATCTGAACTTCTTTCTGAAATAACAGAAAAAAGTAAAAAGAAAGAATTGACTGAATTGAAGGACATTGAAATAAACAGCAAGAAACATGATATTAGTAATGAATTAAAAGAAATGTTTGAGGAGAAAAGTAGTGATGCTGAGGAACTACAAGAGACTTCCTTGACCAAACATTCGCTTGACACGGACATCACGAAAGAGGACAAACTGAAAGACATTGTGCCTGATGATATATTGGGAAAAGACGATTCATTTGATGAACTTGACAATGATGCATTGCACCAAGAGCTTGAAGCTCATTTAACCTACGACAAAAGCGAACAACTCTCTGAGTTAAACAGCGAAAGTTCTATATCTCATCCACAAGAAGGTGAACATGACAGTCAAAAAGAAGCCGAATCAGGTCCAGAGATGACCAAACTTGATGAGTTGAGTTTTGAAGGCAAGACAGAGTTGTTAAATGATATAACAGAAAATATTGGCACTAAAGAAATAGATGAAATCATGCAAGAAAGTAACCCCGTCGAGGAGGAAGATAATGGTAACAAAACAATTTCAGAGGATAAGGAGATTTCAAAAGATTTAATTAGCGAATTGAAAGAAGATTTAGATAATCAAATAGAAAATGTAACAGATGAAACCAGTGCTAAATCAGAACAAACAGAAGAAAATACAGAGAATGAAAACATTGGAAACATCGTAGATAAAGAAAATATTGAATTGAATCAAGAAAACATGATGGTAGAATTTGCTCATGGTAGCGGTAATCAAGTTTTGATCCAGATAAACACAGACAAGTCTGAAACAAATGAAGAAGATTCGGGGAAATCAGAAGGCATTGTGATGGAGACTTCTGACGGACAAACTTTGGTATTTTCTTCCTCCGATGCAGCGGAGCCTGATGATGTGTCCCAGGTTGAGGGGGGAGCGGAGTTCCTGCAAGCTGTTACTGGCAAGCTGGAAGATGTTCTAGCAACAGAGCCTGAAAAAGAACCAGACCTTCCTTCTACAACAGCCACCCAGTCCCCGACCAAAGCTACTCCTGTTGACAAGAAAGAAGTTCCATCCAAGGTAAGTTTTCAACTACTGAGAAAACATTCAACCATCAATTTGTATTGTTTTGTTTTGATCAACTATTACAATTAAATGAGGTTGGTTTGTTTGTACAGTACAATCTCTTTATGTTTAAACTTATTTGAGGAAATGCATTTATAATTCATATTAGGCCTAAATAAGTAATTTTTGCCACTATTAAAGTGCTATATAATGTATACATTTTAAAGAATAAACAAATTGGTATAAATATTAGCACATGGCACACTGATGGTGTTGTGCCAACAAGTTTGCTTTCCCAGCCATACATTTAATGCCTGACTGTAGCGCTGCATGTCTCGTGGTGAGTCAATGTCATTAATTTATTGTGATGTGTAAATATTTCCTTAGTGTTTTTCTCCGTAACAAATGAAAATATTGTGAGTATAGGCTATTTTTAACTTTTGTTGTTTTTTGCTGTGCCATTTCTCCTGCTAACATGAATTTTTGTTATGTCGGATCAGTCTCAGTGTATAGTTAATAAGGTTGTGCTGTACTTCAAATAATTGGCCTATAACTCCAAGTGTTATTTATGTACTATTTAATAATTTTTATTAGCATTAACAGTTATTACTCTATTTTAATTTGTTGGTTGTAATTGTTTTACAAGATAAAATATCATATTAATTATATACAATTTATACTGATACCAACCATTTTAATTTCCAGGACTCCCCTAGATGCTGCGTTCCAACATGTAAAAGTGGTAAAACGGGATTAAAAACCACCTATAGATTCTTTAAACCTCCAGTAAATAAAATATTGTACAAAAAGTGGGAATATGTATTTAAACAGGCAAAACAAGAATTGACTCCGGAATTACAAATTTGTGAGCTTCATTTTCGAACGGGGCTAATTTATAAAAGGGGTATAGACAAATTTGGAAAAGTATTATGGGCCTTGAGAGATGGAGCTTTACCAAAGCTTACTGCCTCTTCCGGACTGTTGCGATTGGGCGGAGTTCCTCCTTCAACAACTGTACAAGTGCCAAAGAAACCAGAGTCGCTGATTAAGCCAGCGACATCCCCAACAAAGTCTGTCAGTCCTTCAGCTGCAGGTAAGAATACATATAAGATTATTTTTGGTAACCAGGGCTTTCTTTTATATTCTTTGTGTTTGTTTTCAACTAAATTACATTTATTCAAACCAATAACAATTTATGTAACTATAAATAGGCCTTTAAATAAACCTAATTTACTAAACCACATTAATTAATAAAATTTAATTTATTTACTTTTGGTATTTTAGTTATTGTTTTATTTAACTAAACAACAAATTATGAATAAAAATATTTTATTTCTTAATTTAAGTTATATTTTGCACGATGAACTAAATGTGTAATCCTAATTCTTTTACCCTGTGATATTTTCAACTTAAAAAGCTAGTAGCAAGTACATTTTTGTAACGATCTGTAATAATACAACTGCACTGGCATATTCCCTTGTTCTTCATTACATCTATTTGTTCAAAAAACTGCATTTTTTATATTGTAAACCTTCTGGAACTATTCTCACTGCCATGGCCAATTTTACCCAAGCTGGTACTTTGCCTCACCAACACATTGTATTAACTCGTAGATAATACAAATAAATACGGATATTTTTGTATTTAGTCCTCAATCATGTTAACTCTATGGACTTGTATAAAGACCTTTTCGAGTTTATTTTAAGTTTTGCATTTGGTTAAATATTGTGAGTTCACCCAGCAACATCAGATAGTTTAAGTTTGAATAATTCCGTTTCAAAAACATTTTAAATACCATTAGCGTAAAATTCCAATTAAAAACCAATCGAGAAAGACGGTATGAAATAAAAACTAACTCATTGAAATAATATTTTTAGACTACCGCATCTCAAATGGTCACAATGAAGATAAAAAAAAATAGCCCCCAGTTCAATTTCTGAGGAGAATAGCATGTCTATAATCCTCTGTCTTTCCGTGTTGTATTTTAAGTTAATAAGTTTAGCAATTTTATTTCAATTTCATATTTTTTTTAATTGTTTGATTCATTCCTCCTTGTAGCGATCTTGTTTGTTCATATTTTTTTTTCATTTATTGCTTGCATGCATTCTCATCATCTGTACTAAAGAAGGAAACCGGTCTACTCTGCTATTACACAATCTTTATTCATTGGACATATTCATTTGACTAAGTAAACTTAGTCTGCTGGACTAATTTAGAAAGGTTTTCTATAAACAAAAGAAAAAATACAATCTGTCACTTGCATCATTCCATTCGCTATGTCCACACTTGTGCGATTTTCTATTTGATTTTTTTTTCAACTTTCGTTTTGATTTGCGTCTTAACACAAGCAGGTGAAGCATGCTGTGTGACTGTCCACACATTTCCACTATAACGTGTTCCTCGCAGAATGGCCAAGTTGTGTAAAAGACATAGGCCTATTGGTGTGCAGTATTATGATTTATAAGTCTGATTATGAGTCGTGACGCTTTGGCAGTTGCTGAAATTAATGTTGCTTAAATATCAAAAGTGTGCAAACGCAAGAATCTTTTCAATATTAGGCTAAGTAAGAAGTTTGGAGCTTATAATGCAAAATGCTTAATGAAAATGCTCCTATAGTCTTCAATAAAATCAAGAGTTTCCTTATTGTCTGACGCCATCACTACACAATGCAATAAACAAGTTAAAACAACCCAAAACAATCCTAAGCAGCATGGTGAAACGCAAGAATAACCAAAGTTAGATTCTGCTTGCTTTGCGACATACAACTCAGAAGCTTCTTGGGTTTCTTGGAAGAAAGCAGGCTTCTCCGCATGCGTCACACGCTCTAAAGCAAGCGCTGTGCAGCATGTGTCAAGAGCACATAAAATCGCACAAATGTGGACATAGCTACTCTCCCTTTCACTCAATGATAACTTATAACTTTTGATCAAATAACCACCTTACCACCAACAAAATAAACCGCCATTTTGAACAGTTTGGTACTGTCAGATTGATGTTTTCAAAGAACACAACACTGCTTCATTGACAGATTTTTGATAATTTTAATCAAAATCAAATGTAGGTAATTATAAACTGTACGATTTACACACAATAATTATAAAGAAAAAATTTACTTAATAAATGCATGTATTTAATGATTTAATTTTATTAAAATTAAACGTCTAGAACACTATATCTGTCTTAATTAATTTAGGCATAATTTTTGACAACCTTAATAATAAATTGAATCAGCATTATATCAACCAACTTATCAAGAAAGAGTTGAACCAACACAGGTAAGGTAGTTAAATAGCCATTTAAGATCATGTCAACCACTTGGTTAACAATACCACATTATACTAGGTATTCTTTGGTCCTGATTTTAGTGAGAGTTGGATCAACTGTAGGCCTATGTATAATTTTTTGTTGTACTAGCATGCTCTTTACAGGTTGATATTTATTGAAACCATCCAGCATCAAAATATATTTTCATATTGTGTGTGATAAATTGTAAATAAAGTTTTGTTTTTAAAGTGTTCTTTTCTTGTTTCCTTATAACCCGCAGGTTGCATTAATATTATTTATATAAGCCCTAAAAACAATAAATTATTATTTGCATTTTGTATTATTATACATAATTATTTTTAAAGGGGGGGCGGGAGAGAATATTTTAAAAATATAAACAACACACAGCTTGTTTCATTCATAAGTTTTATGAGTGGGAAATATCTAAAAGTCCAGACTTGTTACATTACTGTAGGCCTACAGTATAAATTTAAGTGTAGCTTTTAGAGGTTAATTCTATAATGTCATGTAGCCTACAAATCAGAAATATAATAAAATTATTTTATTCGGCCAAATTAACAATAATACAATTTGCATTAGCCATGTCAATACAAATTACTAAACTATACATTTACCAATGTACTATATTATTTTTTAAGTTACACTAAAAAAGTATAAAATATAGAACAAGTTGAGGAGGGTTTTGTGCTTACGCTTTCTTGCAGTCTTGTAAACATGACTGGTCCAAATATTTTTGCCTATACAGTAGGCCTACTTTTCAGTAAGGATTTATATAGGTTTTCATTGTATTATAACTAAAGGCTACAGTGATAAATGAAAGTGGATATTTAAATATTTTTCATATTTAACAGTGCTAATAATTAACCCAAGACGTACCAACTACTTAAATGAAAAACAAAACCCTCCACACATTTAAAATCGTTGATCAGGCTAGTGGCATAGTCATCATATATGGTTTGCAGCCATCATTTCCAGTCCAGACAGAATGTCAAACAGAACAGTTAGATCCTTTTGTGAAATATTGGATTATAGATGGAATCGCTACCAAGTTTAAAACGGCCAAAGCAAATTTTTATTGTCACTATATTTTTGGATCTGTCGAATAAAGTTGGTGAATTCGATATTTGTATCGATATTTTGACGAATAAAATATAGGCCTACTGTACATCCGTCCATAACTAGATGGACAAAATGAACCTTTTTGTTTGATAAAATGCATGCACTTTTGATATGTAAAACCGTGCAGTCAATTTAATATTTTAGAATTCTTAGAAGAACTAATATGGCTACAAGAGCGTAAAGACAGCTTAGATTTTTAGGTCGTAGAAGTAGAAAGGCGCTGATTTGACCAATGACGTTGCAAGCAGCAAGGTCGATACTAGCTTTGCAGTTGCCAACCGTTACTGGCTTCCTCATGTTACCAAAAATAATAACTGCAGAATTGTACACACATATCAATAAACTTGTTAGTAACGCCTGATACTTTTTAGCGAATTCCCCATATATATATAAGCTATTTATTTTAAAAGTCGATTGATATTATTGTGTAACCACTACGTAATGCTTCTCTATTGAAGTGTGTGTGACAAGCCTACAGGCTGTTCGCTAGAGGAGCAAATACCGTTTGGATTCCTCTATAGCATGTCCACCGACGAAAGACTGTCTGGCAGAGTTGTTACAGTCTGTTCGCTGAAAGAGTGCCACTCTTATCGTTATTGCTTAACTTGACTACAGCGTGTTCATTAAAGGATAACCACGAATTGAAGTTAGTCTTAACTCTGTTCGCTGAAGTATGAGCCAAATGTTAATTTCGATCTTGTTGTTTCGTCTTGACTTTTTTGTACATGAATAAATTTTCTCTCAATGATTTTTAGCAAAATAAATCAAAAACTTTATTGGTAATTATTATTTATGATGCAAATATGCATATTTTACTTTTCCAACTATTAAGCTATTAATTACACCATTGCTATCTCAGAAAATATTAAATGGGGAACTTCTATTTTCTAATGACAACAAAATTATATGAATTCCACTTTTTCAAAAACTGTCGTCATTTTCCAATATGGCGGATAACTTAAAAATTTCTTACGGAACATCTATTATTTTATGATGATGATAAAACTTAAATGCAATTTAAAAATATTTCCATTCCTTAAATTTTTTCTCTAAAGCTACTCGTTTGGGAGTTGTAGCATGTTAAATTTTGGATAAAGCTGCTATTTTCGTACATTCTGCATCCTGTAGCTCATATTTAGAGAGGAAATGCAAAGAATAAATTAGTCTTAAAAGTTGCATCTGCATTCTAAAAAGATTATAAAATACTGGGAGATTCATCATTTCAAAGTAAACCGCCACTTTGGCGGCCATTTTGTAAAAAGTCAAATTCATCATTTTAATGCTCTTTTTAGAATGTAAATGCAATTTCAAAACAAATTTTTTCTTAGCATTTCCTCTCTAAACTTAATTGTTAAGGAGCTACAGGATGTAGAATGTACAAAAAATACCCTTTTCAAAATGTAACACTCTATAACTCCTAAACAAGTAGCTTTAGAGAAAACATAAAAAAATAAAAACATTTTCAATTGCATTTAAATTCTAAAATCACCATAAAATACAAGGTGTCCCATGAGAACATTTTAAGTTAGTATATTGGAAAATGAAATCCGTGTTGAAAAATTGGAATTATTTTTTTTACGTAATAAAAAAAAAATAATTGAATTTCTCCATTTAATATTTTCTCTAAATCTAATAGTTTCTGAGATGGCAATGGTGGCACCGTTAAGTTGTTCATCCTGTATATATACCCTAATGCTTTATACTTAAATGTACTGTATATTATATTCACTAGAAATTCAGTGGAAACATGAATGGTTGAGTTTTTTAAATGCATATATTATGCAATTTACCTAAAACATTTTTCATAGGTGTTTATGTTATATTGTAATACTTTTTAGAAATGCCTCTTGTATCTTAATTTTCTTCTTTTCTCCAGATTATGTTTTAGGCCTAATAATGTTGAAGGCCAGTAGGCCTAATAATGTTTTAGGCCAGGCCTAATAATCTTTTAAATCTAAATGTTACCAAATATGATTAAAAGGTCAACTTTAGACCTTCGGCAAGTAGTATTTCAAAACAATTTTGGTTGAAGGTTGTTTTAAGTAGGTAGGTGTTAATGATTTAAAAACTTTAACTTCCTTAACAAATCTAGGCTGAAATTCAAATAGTTAATCTGTGTTTTACATGCTATTTTATAAGCACTCTAATGATTGTATGTAAAAATAACTGGCATATTAAAAATTGTTACTTAGTTTTAATCTTTTGTTAGTCTACCTGATTTTTTGTGGGATTGACTCACCTATTTTGTTGTAGCACTAGCAGGAAAATCTGCAAGTCCAGGCACTTCTGCAGCAGGAATCATAGGAACACCTAAAGTTTTAGGAAAGAAAATTCTTCAGAAACCTGTGAAAACAGTAGCCACCAAGGTGTCAAATGAAGTCACTGACATTGGATTCCTCTACAAAAATCCTGAGTTGGTTAAAGGTAAAAAACTAAGTACGTATTGTTCGTGTTTCATTAATTTTGTTCAGTAAAGTACCTATCAAGTAACACCAGTTTAAAGTTTGAATACTCAAAAAAATCTTGACAGTGCCATTGTATTCCTACAATGGTTTTAAAAACTTAGTTTGGTATCGTAATTATTTCAAAATGTTGGATATATTGGTTAATTCAGGCTTTAAATCACCTCAATTCTGTGTCCTCCCAAGAAAAAAATTTACTACAGCGTGTTCATTAAACGATAACGATAGGTTGAAGTTAGTCTTAACTCTGTTTGCTTAAGTATGGACCAAATTTTAATTTCAATAAAATTTCAATCTACGGTTTTTTCAAAATATGGCTATTAAAAATATTAAACATAATTGCAATACTGGTACTGTACGTACGACACCATACTTAAAGCGAAGGATTGTAGGCCTACTTAGACTTACCTTTTTGTTTTGGTCTTTTTATTCACACCTATTCATAGTTTACCTTATAACTTTCATATCTGGATTAACCAAAAAGATGAGTTCACTGACTATAAAACAATTTTGTTAAAATTGTAAGGATTTTAGGCTACTCTGAGCAATTTTAATAGAACATTGAATTATTAGTTTTAGCTTATTGAATTGAAAATGGAACTTTGGTTTCCCACTTCGACATTTCACTACAAATGCAATATACAAATCATAAAAACAAACAAACTTAGTATTTTCGATCGTCACTATCTATGACTACTATACTCTTATGTTTGATAATCATATCACACAATACTGTCACATAATTATAGAACAATAATCAGGCATTAAAGAACCTTTTTAAAAATCAATTTTTACCCTACGTAGTACAGAGAGCGGCAAAATTATCTAACGGTTTTCTTTGCCATGCTGTCGAGCGTGTGAGTGGAAGATGGTGGTGGGAATAGGGGTGTTACAAAGCCAACGTGCAGACATTTTTAGTAGCCATGGAGCTGTGGAGAGCTGAGCATCATGTAATTGTTTTTAAAAGTGGCAATTCCTGTGTAGCTGTCAGTATCTAAGGCCTAGCTCTGTAAAGACCCGCTGCCAAACATATGACCCGAAATGTGTAAATATTGTACAGTCTTGAAGACATGTGCAGAGCTGCAGCTTATTTACGTGCAGGCTGCTGAGGACTAGCTTCCACAGCTTTTTTCACTCTCTCGACGTTCTCTGGCGTCCGGGCTGACCTTGGACAACCTGTTGACTTTTTTTCAATGTTTAACTAGTAGCTCTGAAGTTATCCACAAATAGCAAAATGGTGTTTCGAGTTGGGACTTTTCCCCTTGGACCACCATTGAAACGTCAACGGAACTGCCACTGAAAAGGAATTGCCACAGAAAAAAAAACAAACAAAAAGAAAAACACTTCCACTACAAATGCATGGTGCTCAGATGTCCACAGCTCCATGGCTAATGAAAATGTCCCCACTTAGGCTTTTGAACGTCCTTATTCCCAAAACCCTCCACCACTGACTCGCTTGACAGGGCGGCAAAGAATACTGTCAGATTATTTTGCCGCTACCTGTAGAAGCTATCTATTTTTAGGAAAAAATATCAGCGCCAAGTTCCAACAGGAATTATATGTTGCATTATTGTGTAAGTAGCTAGCTATTTATAATTTAAGAGTTAAGAATCTCATAAAATATTATGGATCTTGCTGACTTATATGGCATATGTTACCAAAATACGTTTTGTGTTGCAGTTGCACAAGATGATTTGGCCAACCTCGATGTACTTGTCTGCGGAGAGTGTCATGCTGTATTTCATATCCTCGAGCTTTTCCAGGCCCACAAGTTGGCTGCTAACTGTAAGGGCGAGTCCAACTTCAAAGGCAACCCGGCTGTAAGTTTGGTTTTAGTCATAATTTTCATAAGATTGATGTGCATTTTTTACTTTTTCTATGTATTTGAACAAACTTAGGTTTTAAAGATTACTCGAAGCAATAAACTGTAGTGGAAACAAATATGAAATTCAGATTAACTTAATTGGAATTTTCAAATTATATATAAACTAGATACAAACTGTAATTCGCCATTTTTCATCTGCAGTCATCGAGTGATTTTTTTTCATAGCTTCATTTATACACACATTGGATTTTTACCCAAAAACTTTATTTTATGATTTGTGATATTTTTGCATGTTTTTGGTGTCGGTAATATGGCTGGGTTTGGTAGAATGCATTACAAATCTCAAAGCTAGGGCAGTTGTCCTTCAATAATCCGACACTCACATGCTGCCAGTAGTTTTATCGGCAGTCACAAAACAAGTCCGCAGCAACACGAATCTGAGCCTCCCCCAGACTCTGAGTCTGAGCTCCCTCAGACTGTACTGTGTGTACTGTTATTGTGTTTCCTAATTCTAATAATTTTCATCTATTAAAGCTGCATTAAATATGAATCTTGATAAAATAAGTAAAAAAAGTTCTTTATAAATCCTTATGATCTGACATTTTCGCTAATCTGATACCCTCATGGCCCCTTACCAGTTGTATTATAGAGGAATAACTGTAGTTCCATGCATGACTCTAAGATTGCAGCACTTGTCAGCTATATCTTTTTGACTTTTTGTTGTTTTGCATTTTGTACTGGTGCATAAGTGAACATTTTGACTAAGTTTATATCTTGGTGTCGATTTAGCAGCCTTTTAATCGAAAAGGGCTGGTTTGTTAAGTTCTTGTCATGTTTACAATTGTACATAATGTGACATGATACACAAATAATTATAGTTAGAATTTGATATTAGTTTTTTATTTTGTAGGAACCAAAACCTCAAGTTTGGGCTTTCTTGTTGTGGAAGAGTGCACAAGCCAAAGTTTCAGGCAAGTATTTCATATTTTGATAAACATATTGCGCTTTAAGAAGATTACTTGAATACTTGATGTCTTAATCTTGGATCGACATTACATTAAGAAGACATGACAAAAAATGGCAAAATTATGAACATTTCTCACGGCCGTGTAGACATCATCGTTGTCTACCGCCGCACGGAAACGTCATCTCCTGTGGTCTCGGAAATGTCATCGTCGTCATCCGCAATCACGGCAAAATCATGAACATATCCCGCAGCTGTGTAGACATCATGGTCGACTCCCTCGGTCACGGAATCGTCATCGTCGTCTCCCGCAGTCACAGAAACGTCATCGTCGTAGTCCGTGTTTGCGGCAAAATTATGAACATTTCCTATGGCTGTGTAGACATCATCATTGACTCCCGCGGTAATGGAAACATCAACTTCGTCTCTCGTGGTCTCGTAAACTTCATCATCGTCGTCTGCGATGCGTCAAAAGTATAATTATTTCCCGCGGCCGTGTAGACATTATCATTGACTCCCGCGGCCACAGAAATGTCATCATCGTCGTCTGCGATGATCGCGCCAAAACCATGAAAATTCCCGACTTTGCTATCATAATAAAGACTAAATCCCGACTTTTCAAGACCATTTTGAAATTTAATTAATTCCCGACTTTTCCGTTTTCCCTGACTACTAGACATCCTGTCAATGCTTGTACCATGTGACCAATCTGGCAACATTGCCCGCTATCTGACAACATGGCGGCAAGCGATAAGCCTCTATCCTCCTAATGTTTTAGTGTTCTACTTCTACTAGAGTTGTTGTTAGTTGTACACGTCATTCGTTGTGAAATGCAAAGGCACACTATTTTAGACTACTTTAGACGCCATCTTTTTAACTAACTGTGCCCAGCTGTCCTTGAATAAATGGATCTCGTTAAATAACCAGCTGATTAATTGCCTAAGTAGTTTTCTAAGTAGTACCTATTTCTGTAGATGTGGAGAGCTCTTGGAGGCTGTACCAGCGCTGGTGCAAGATGGATGAGAAGATCCGCAACGTGTGGATTGCCGCTGGAAGGTCACTACAGGAGGGCAACGCCATTGCTTCTCTCAAACTGACTGACACTTCTCCTATCAAGACATACGTAAGTCTCTAGATAAGTCTCAGGTTGACTCATTCACTTTCACTGTATAGTACAGGTCTGATGGGAGACAAAACGTGTTATCAACATCACTGTAAACATCATGTTTATTGGGTTCATGTCTCTCGTGAAGAGTGTTATCGTTTAGTAATTCACCGGTTTTAATGACCAGTATCATTGAATCCACTAGTTGATATCCATGGCTTATAGACGATTTATTATTAATATTATTCATATTACATGGTGAACATATAATGGACTATTTGTACTTTAGGTTATTACAATGGCTGCAATTCATATTTAGTTCCATTGACAAATCATTCTTGCAGTTTTGGATAACTTGGACTAGTAGATCTAAAAATAAAAAAAATATATATTTTCTTGATAATTGATTTCTCAAGCTCATCCAGTGTTAATTTATAATCTTCCACTTATTAACCACCAAAGCCATTTAAATAAATATTTAGGTAAATGTTAAGATGGAACAAAAATTCCCTTCTTTTTTACAATTCTGTGTGCGTCCTCTTTTGCTGTAGCAATTCTTTCCAAGTCATGATTTATCATTGAGTTAAATTTTTCTGCTTTTGACTTTGCATGGTACTTCTTCCCAAAAAGTTAGTTTCAGTCTTCCACAGATTATAACATGGTAAAACATTTTGTTGCAGCCTAAACCAGGAAGGCCAGCTTTGAAGAAGGACTCTGATGATGGTAAGTTATTCAGATATTTTGTGTGTTCTTCATTATACTGCAGACCAATATTAGCGTTGGAACAGTAGTAAACTAATTTATTAGTCATTTTATGACAATTGTAAGTAATACATATCTAGGGTTAGCATGAAATAAATTAAAAAGTCGTGTGAGGTAAAAATATTGTAACATAATAAATTTGTAAAAAAATATTGTAACATAACATAATAAATTTGTAAAAAAAATAGTACATTTCCTACTCATTCATAGAATACCTAAACATTAGTTTTCAATAGCTATTTGTGTATTAAGAGCGCAATAACTGTTTGTGCTTGAGCTTATAATACATACAAGATTTTTTTTTTCTACCACCATAATTAACTTATATTAACACACAGATTAACTTTTTAAGGAAATTGACAGGAAAGCAGGCTTACCTTTAAATAAGTCCATAGAGACACATAAAACATCACAAAATTAAAAGTAGAAATTTTTGTGGTCACTGACCACTTTTTCAACCACTTTATGTGTCTCTATGGACTTATTTAAAGGTAAGCCTGCTTTCCTGTCAATTTCCTTAATAATTCCTGGCAAATGCCCTATCTTTTTATAAGATAAGATTAACTTTTTAGATGTAAAATGTCATTTTGGTTATGTTTGATTTTTTAAAGGTTAGGCCTATGTTATTTCTTACCAATTGCTAACTAACATACCGGATCCACAGCTGTGGCTGTTCTAGGAACCACAATTGGGAAATCAGCTGATTTAGTGAGCGGAAATGCATCATTACCGCTCTACTGCGGCAATGGGCTATTTAGCATACTGTTTACAGATATGGTCATGTGATGATTTCCATGCGGTGGTAGGAAAAAGTCTTTGTGATCAATTTGTTTTAAATTTCTTGACAAATCTGCTGAATCTGTTGCTTCTTTCAGAGGAGCATGCTCGGAAAATTGTCAAACGGAAACCTGGAAGACCACCAGGGTCTGGAGCTTTGTCTGCCTCAGGTAACCAAATTAAATTATTTGTTGTTGCTTTACTTACATCAATATACAGTGGCGTAGCAACCGTGGAGCAAGTGAAGCAGTTGCTCCAGGGCGGAAGGCACTGGAGGCCGATACTTATTGGAGAAAATTAACATTTTTGTTGTTGCTATATATTAAAACAAAAAATTAAAATTGAACTTTCTCTGATAATGTCTCTCATATTTAAAAACAAATATTTTTTTACCATTATTATTAATTATAAATTTAACTGTCGTGAACAATTGTAATATTTGTACACTTTTTTTGCAATTTTTGTAACTTGCTCCCTGTAGATTAAGATGTACGTCACAATATCACTTCAACAAATATGGAATGTTGAATTATGCCATAGGATGTATTTGGTTGGCTTGTAGTTACAGAGCCCGCAGTTGGAGATATTGGAGGTGGTGGAGATCTTGGGTCTGCGACGGAGCCTATGGATGTAGGAACTGACGGCTCTCCAGACATCACCACCGGCGATATGGTGGGTATTAATGCTTCAGGAGGATTGAGTGTGTTAATGCTCAGAATAAATATCATGTTAAACCAGGGCTTATGTTCATGGGATTGGTGGGATAGCTTTACACGTTTTCTTTTCACCTGAAAAGATGTAAAGCCAGCATACCTGAAGAGAGAGTTTAGGGGCTTACAGATCACAAGAAACGACAAATCAAATTGTCTTTGATTCATATTTGTGTATCAGAAACGTAGAATGGTGCCAAAAAACTATATCCAAAACTTAACCTAAAAAACAAATCTCTTTAAAAAATAAAACATTAATTTGACATACATTCTTCTAAAGTATATATATGCAGGTAGACAGCGAGAGTGAAACTTTTTTGAATTCAAACAAATTATTAACTTGTTAGGCAGGTGCAGGTTATTGTTTAATTTACCTCCAGCATAAGTAGTTTGTTTTCATACAAGACTATTCTATAGGCAGGCGCTGCAATATTACATTGATTTCCAGTACTGCATAAGTTAAGTGGCATCCTTCCAATAGACATACATCTGATAAAGTTGGCCTGCAGTGCATAATACAGTGGAACCTAGATAACTAGTCTCCCTTGATATAACAAGTGTATTTTTCAAATCCCCTTGAATTTATTTTACCTCTAAACACATGTTATTCCAAACCTCAATAAGAAGTCAACCTTGATAACCAGGTTTATTTTACCCACGAGAGTCTTGTTAACAAGGTTCTACTGTATCTTCGTCAATATATTCATAATGTATAGGCTAATTATTTCAATGTTTTTGAATTTTTCTTCGACAGTGTTCCTCCATGTATTATCTAATGATTCGCAATAATGAGGTATTGCACATTCGACAAGAGACATCTTGAAAGCAGACACTTCCCTCCTCGCTTTAGTTTGCATTGTTATTGTAATAACTATGTTGTTTGACAGGAAGTGGACCAGACATTGGACAGTATCAACAGAAGAACTCCTGAGATGATAACGTCCGAGGTGGAGATCAAACAAGAAGTAAGTTGATCTTTTATAATTGGGGTGTGTTGCTAGCGTAGTGTGTAGATGTGAAGATAACAGATACAATCACAGGATATTCAAAACATAAGGAACAGGAACGGTTCAGTAGCAATCCGTTTGAGCTTTGCACTCTCTTTGGAATAAATCATAACTAACTGTTTTGGAGCTTACCTCAAGAGTCCTTGGAGCTCAAAAGTAGGAAGAAAATTTATAATCCCACAGTGCGCTAGAAAAAACTAGATATTTAAAAAACAAATCACTTTGGTATTTGAAAAAAATATTTTGATATTGTAAACTCTTCAGTGGCTGTTTGTAATTAACAAAATTAACATTTTCAATTCAATTGTCAATTATCAATTGCTCTTATGGCGGGCAAATACATGATAACCGTTAGCCTCCATGGACATGGACTCCATTGGAAAATAATTACTAAACTACAAAGACAATTTCTGATCTCAAGTTGCACTAAATATTTTATTTACAATTACTTTGGTTTTTGAAGAAATATTTTTGGATGATAAATAAACAGCTGTTTGAAATAGTCCAAGATGGCCGCTAGTCTCCAAGGACTCTTAAGCTATAGGACCCCATTGCCCGAAGACAGAAAAAGATAAGGCTCTCAGTGGAGGATAATTTTATCCGTGGGCTATTGAAGAACTTCCTCTCCTCTACTACTAGTAAAAACATCTTTTTTGAGTTAAAAATTACTTTTTTGGATTGTTAAAATCTTTTGAGACTACTTTATTCTAACTCACTTTTCAAAACTTACCACAATCCTTAAACACTGAGTAATTATGCAAATACGGTTTTGTTGTCAATATACATAATATAACTAATTTTTGTTATGTTCATTGTAATTCTTTTACAATTGATTTATTCAATGAAAAAGAAGAATATTTATTGCCCTTTAAACATTTTCATGTTGATTTGAAACATTTAAAAATATTAATTTTAATTTTAGGTTGTAAGTGATGACGAACACGATGAAAACAAGGAGAATTCCAGGAAAAATGTTAAGGTAAGTGTTTCGTATTCTCGAACCAATTTAATCAATTTGGAATGTTTAGGGAAGATTTATTTAATAACTAACATCAATTGATTATAGGTCTATTCGATGGGGGTTGTATCAGTTTTATATTTATTATTTGATGGGTTGTACTTTCCTCCTTACTCAGTCTTAAACAAATTCTCGTTAGGTTTAGGATTAGGCCTATCTTTTTCAGGATAGGCTACTGTCATCCCATAAAAAAATCCAAGCTAAAAATTTATGATTGATTGTTAAAATCTATTATTACTTCCAGTTTTCTTACAAAAAAGTAGTTCCAGTTTTGGAATGGTTTGGTTTGGTTCCTAATATAGTAGCAATATTAGTAGTACTTTGGTGAAATTTAATGTAGCCAAGCCAGCAATGAATAAGAATAAGAATCTTTATTACCGTTTCGTTTAAACATTGTACAGTGCAATAGGGTTTATCATTTGCTACATAATAAATTAATTGCTACACAATATTAAAATGCAATTAAATATTTCACAGAAAAGAATAACAAAGATTATGTAATTAAATAAGTTAATAAGTTAAAACAAGCTGGCCTGGTAAAAAAAAAAAAATTAAAACTAGGCTACTAATGGCACGGTCGTTTTCCTCTTGGAATACGTACTGTTACTTTGGGTGACGTAGCTCAGGAATGAAACTCAGCACTCGCTTACAAAACCCAACTTTATTAATTACTCAAAACAACACAAAGAACACAGAGATAACTAACAATCAAAAAGGTAGAGTAGACTGGAACTGTATAAATGAGTTAGGAACTTAAACCCCAATTTGGAAAAGACTCTAAACCCCAATTTTGAAAACCCTTAACATTTTCTTACCTGGACCCAAGGCCAAGGGCCTTGGGCTCCAGCTCCCCCAGCAGGACCCCGTCCTCAGGTGCACCACACAAACCACTCCACACAAAACTGACCCCCTGATCAAGTGCACTGGCCTACTTAAAGCAACAGCTTTCAGTAGGTCAGCACAACAAGTTATTGTTTAACAACACTACCAGCCTACTCACACAACATTGCCAAACACTTCCTCTTTACAATATTTGACCCTCCTATTACATCCCCCCATTTCCTCCAGACGATGTCCCCAGCGTCTCAACTACATAGATACATCCACTCAGAGAGAGAGAAAAAAAAAAATAATGACAAAAACTGATTAAAATCTTTAAAATTGTACCTAAATAAAATTATAATGAGGTTTAGGAGGGGAAGAACTGACCAACTGTTTGCTGACTTCCTCAGCAGTTGCGTCGATAAAGCCTCCTCGAACAGTCGTTGGTCTTCAGATGTTTGACCACAGCCATGTCTTCTGCGATGTCTCCCACTTCGGTGTCTATAGTCTGTAGTCCATCCAGCGTTCCTTGACAGCATTGATGATGATCGACTTTGGTTGACGATGATGTTGGACTGCCTTTGCCATTGATTGAGTGTACTGCAGCCTGAAGTTCTCCTCTTCTTAAAAGCCCTTGCCCCCAGCTGCGTTTCCCCAGTTTTCATTGAATTTGACAAAGTCTCTTCCTCCGATCACAATGTTGAAGATAACACATGATAACACGGCAAATCATGAAGTTCTTGTAGCCTTGTCTACAGTTGGTCAGTGGGGATGGGTAAATAGGAAGCCTACACAAACATATAACTCACAAATACAACATATAATTTATAAAAAAAAAACCCTAGACTTTTTAAGAAATTCCCAAACTCACATGAAGAACAAAACAAAACAACCAACATTAAAACAAAAATTATTGAAACTAAGAGAAGTGTTTGGAATGTGTTACCTTAACAAATTTGATACGATTAAATAACAAAACCTTTAATAATTTCTGACTGATTTACTTCAGATTATTCAAATATGACCTTTTTAAAGAATTCTAAACAAATAATAGTTTAACAGTTGTCTCTCATATCTGGTACTTTGCAATTTAAGTCTGAATCAAAAATAAAATACTGTAAACAATTTGTCTCCCACTGAAGTCCCTGATAATTAAAAAACTAAAAACCAAAATATATCTCAATAAAATATTCTTTTAATACATAATCCGTCTTGTCTTCAAAATTTGCCAGACTGTTAATATTACTAGAGGAAACTATTGCAACATTTAAAACATTATTTCCCAATACAGTTGCCACCTTTGTGAAATATGATACAATTTATCTCTAAAATAGTATAAACAAAGAAAAAACAAAACAAAATCATCTTCCAATAAAATTAGACTTTCCAATAGCATTTTTTAAACACAAACACAATTTACAATTGTCAAAAATAATAGTTTAAAATGTTCAAACTACCCCATTCAATATAGCTTACATAATTTATGTTTAAAAGTTTACCAACATTTTGGTCATTTCTCCTCATAACATTGAGTGAAATTATGTTTGCTTCCATATTAAAAACAAGTTAAATTTTAGCTTCAATGTGTTATTTCAAAAATGCACTTAAAAATGGCATATATAATTTTCCAATAAAAATGCATAACAAAAGGTTGCTGGAAAAAATGATTTGGGCCCAAATCGTTACAATCTAACCCGTAAGCAAAACCAATTTCCCTTTTAAAATTTCTCCAACAATCTATCACCTGTAAAAACAAAAATTTGTTCCCAAAATAAAACATTCATGCATTGCTGATTTCCCAAAGCAAACTCTAGAGCATCAGTATTAAAAGGTAAACATTGTAACAAAACACGGTCAGCACTCAGCAAGGTCAGGTCACAGAGAGGCCATTTACACCACGCTCAGCATTCCTCAGCCTACAAACATGCTGACTACTGTCACCTCAACTTTGCTCATGCAATATTCTGAAATATCAACATATAAACACCTACTCTAGTCATTAACAGTATTAACCATTCGTAAAAATCCCCATCTGAAAAAAATATATTACTATCAAATTAAAGTTCAAGCTCAAATATATTTCTAAAACAGTACACCATAATACACTATGAATAATTATCCCTCAAACTACTTCTACAAAATATAATATATTGATCCACCATTCACTGCATCTACTGCGCATAAAGAGCTGAAACAGAATAGTTTGACAACATGTGTCCGCCACATTATTCGCACAATATACACTCTATATAGAAATAGCAGGTCTGCAACCACAGAATCACAACTTCGAGAAACCTGGGAACTACAAGATCCCAGATTCAACACAAATTTAACCAGGCAAATACACACACTTGTGCACAGCAACAACATCTGAAACACACATTACACATGTGCACCCAGCACAGGACCAATAAAAACCTTGTACAGCTAGCACATAGCATACAGCACAAAAATACCTCGTGCACTCAGCACATAACACAAATTCACCTTGTGCTCCCAGCACGTAACAAATGAAAACCCTGTGCATCCAGCACAACACATACCTCGTGCATCCAGCACGCAATGCTTAACAACCATGTGCACTCAGCACATAACACAATTTCTCTCGTGCTTCCAAACACGATACACAATAAACTCAACGAACACATATCGATCTCACGTGCAACCCGCACATGACGCATAGAACACTCGTGTAACCCAACACGAACACATATCGAACATCGAACTCACGTGCAACCCGCACATGACGCATAGAACACTCGTGTAACCGAACACGAACACATATCGAACTCACGTGCAACCCGCACACGACGCATAGACTCACACAAAATAACACTGTAAAACTTCACATTTACGGCATTCCAGCCCTTCACTGCTGTCCCAAAAAACACTGAACCCCCAAATAGAACTGATTAAAAACTGCACCAAAGTGGTGATTACAAATAATAAAAAAAAAATATATATTCAAAAACAAAATTTTTCTTCACCAAAAGAACCCCTAAAATTAAAGCCAATTATTTTTTCTAAGAGGTACCAAGATCGAAGTTTTGTAAAAAATTACAAAACTCCTGGCGCTTCCATCACCTTGTAACGGTCGTTTTCCTCTTGGAATACGTACTGTTACTTTGGGTGACGTAGCTCAGGAATGAAACTCAGCACTCGCTTACAAAACCCAACTTTATTAATTACTCAAAACAACACAAAGAACACAGAGATAACTAACAATCAAAAAGGTAGAGTAGACTGGAACTGTATAAATGAGTTAGGAACTTAAACCCCAATTTGGAAAAGACTCTAAACCCCAATTTTGAAAACCCTTAACATTTTCTTACCTGGACCCAAGGCCAAGGGCCTTGGGCTCCAGCTCCCCCAGCAGGACCCCGTCCTCAGGTGCACCACACAAACCACTCCACACAAAACTGACCCCCTGATCAAGTGCACTGGCCTACTTAAAGCAACAGCTTTCAGTAGGTCAGCACAACAAGTTATTGTTTAACAACACTACCAGCCTACTCACACAACATTGCCAAACACTTCCTCTTTACAATATTTGACCCTCCTATTACAGTACGTAATAAAACACTAGGTAAAATACAATTTAAAGTAGAACAAGTACATAGAATCAATACTAATATGGCTAGATGAACAAGTTAACTAAGGCTGCATTTATGCACGAAGATTCTGTGAATATTCTGCCAAATTTTGCAAGCAACAATAATTCTGACAACTCTTTCTGCTAAATAAAAATACTTCATAGACATTACTTCCATTATCCCAGATTAAAAAGCTAGGTCCAGGGTTGTTACCCGTCCTGATTCTGGTTCCTTATGCTTGTATTTAAGCCCATGCCATGTTAATCAGGGTGGAGGGGGGACATGTCCCAAATTTCCCCTAACCTAAGGTGGCAACCCTGGCCAGGTCATGGCCATGACAAAGGCATGACACTCTGGAATATAACAATGTAGGCTATACATTCTAACATAACTAATTTCAACACAATCTTTTAATTTCCTCAAGAGGCTGAAGACCATACTGAGTTTTTTGCAGACATTATTGATTTGTTGATTCCAAGAGAGTCTAGAATCAAGCGAACTGTACCTAGCTAGAAGGTTAATAACCTTATCCTTATTGTACTATAGTTTGGCTGCTTAGATAGCGACCTCCTATAGCTTAGGTTAGCATTAGCGCGCAGGTCGCTTTCTAAGCTGCCGAACTATAGAAAAGCTAAATAAAATACTATTTCTTGTGTTTTGCCTAAATTCAGTAAAAATAAACTATTCATTAGCTTTGTAAATCATGTTACTTAATTTAAAATCAGTTTCATTAACATTTGAACTTGAACAAAAAAAAGTGGTTTTGTCCACAAACATTTCAGAACTATAGCTAAAATTGTATTCCAGATCCATAAATCATAATTATTAAAAACAAGAGAGGCACAAAAACCGACCTCTGTGGTAATGTTGCCAAGTTTTTAATGCTTATCGGTAGTATGGTAATAATTAAAAAAATTATGGTTGTTAGCTTACAACACATACACCAAAGTGTAAAATCAGAGGTTTTTGGAACCAAACCCTTTTCATATTTCAGCTTTAAATTCTTGTATTTTTTTTTTTCTTGCCATTCATGTCATGAACAAAGGCAAGGAGCAATAATAGAGTAACCATCCAACCACGAAACTCTTAAAGCAACTTGTGAACTGCACATTTTGTTTTCCCACCCTTAGAGCCTTTCCTCATCCATCTACTTAGAAAAAGAACTCAAATATGTAAGCGTGACAGTGAAAGAAACTTGGATTTCACAGTAATGTTTGGGGACTCAGCATAAGGCTTTCCAAACAAATGCAAACATTGTTACTTGTATAGCGAACAAAATAAATAATAATAGTGCTATAAACGTATAATAAGCTATATAATAGCGTTGTTTTTTTAGCTGGACATCTTATTTAATCCAGATGTGAGTATTTCTGATGAAAAGCGTAGTTAGTTATGCTTTTTTCATGTCGTCTCTTAATTTCAACACCATTGCATGCATGACCCAATAACTTTATTACCCCTAGTGATTTTTAAATATCCTAAACCTCCATGGAATAGTTGTTAGTTTTATAAACCTAGTTGCTTCTATGTTGTTTTCTAAACCATTCGATAATATTAAACATTTGATCAACCTATTGTAATACATGTCTCAAATCCCTCACTGCATATAAATTTGTTTTGACTTAATTAAATTATAACTGCATGGTTATGCCTCATTCCTGGTGTTAGTGAACAAACTAAAACAATATTTATTTAGTTCATTTTCAATTGCATGCAAAGCTGCTGAAGTATATGAGATGCCTTTCAATTGGCAAAATGTTTGCCAAGTTTTGACCTATTCATTAATACTGAATACATAGGCCTTTGGTTGTTTGTATTTTTTGGAAGAAAAAGAGCTTAGGAGTACATAATCAAACACATAGACAATTTACTCACCCAAAAAAATAGATCCAGGCACTAAAATTCACGCCAAATTAGCTTTACATTTTTTACTTGGTATGGTTAGTATTCTATTGCGTTGATAGTAATTTGTAGTTTTTTATCTGTCGCATATAGGAAAATAATATTGACCTGTAGTATAGTGAAACTTAAAATTCTCTTTTGTGAATCTCCTGATAGACGTTATTGTGGCAAGAATTGATACTCTATTTCTGTAAAATTTGGTTTTGGATCATCACAGTTTCTAAGTCTTTTAACATTTGTAGCGAATTAAAATTAGTTATAAGTCTTACTAAATACATTCTGCATTTTTCTGACTGTAAAACATAGTTGTTCCTCTTGCCAAGTAAAGAACCTTTTAGTGTTAGGTAAATTTCGCCGGCATAGTTTCCATTTTCTAATAGGAATATTAAAAATAGTCTGTTTTCTTTGTTTAAAGTTCATTTTATGATTTAAGAAATTACTGCAGGCATTTTCCTTCCCAATTGTAAAAAAAATAATTATTCCTGAGAAGTTGTGATCTAGAATCTAGACCCAAATCTCACCAGGTGTGAAGTGCCTAAAACATATCAAGATTAGCTCACAAATCCAGTCAAAGCTGGAATATCACTAATCATTTTTACACTGTTTAGTTTAAGAACATCAGAATTTTTCATTTCTAAAATTTATTCCCATCATTATCATCAATTTCTTCATCAGGCGAGTCATTAATTTATTCATTCATTTTGCTAGTTTCTGTTAACAAATTACTTTCATATAACTACATAACTACAATTTTGATTTCCCTCCCTCCTAAATAGATTAGTTAAACTTAGTTTTGAAGGTATGAGTTCCTATATCAATAACTTTTCAATTTTAAATTCCAAGAAAAATTTTCTATCTGTTTCTAAGATTTAAAAGATAAATAAAAAAGTTCAGGGATTTTTTTAAAGCGTTAAGAGTTGAGCTAGCTGATAAAATTTGAGTTCACGAATTTGTAGATGTACCCTACTTATGACTGAAAAGAGGTCAAATAACTTGAGGAAATTTTCTTATTAATCCACAGCCTTACTTGAATAAAATATGAGTATTATTTTATCAGACCTTAATAGTAAATCTATAAGTTCCTGGAGGTAAGCTAAATCAATCAAATAAAAAAAAATAAATAAAAACGGCTCCATAATCAGCCGCATGCATTTAAAAAATCATTTAGATTGTTTCATTAATTTACACAAATTCTGTTATGCAGTCAGATGAAATTCAGAATTGTGACAAGTGTAAGAGGCCGATAAGCAACCCCAAAGGAGGAGTGCTATGCGCTGGCGGGTGTTACGGATACTATCACATAGAATGTACACGGTTAAAAACCCACAGTGCCTTTTCAAAACTTGGTGTCAGAAAAGCCCATTGGAAATGTGACTTTTGCAAAGCAATGCAATTGCAGCTACCACCTCAGGTGAGTAAACTATCAATACTCACTCTTTTATCCGAGACCTGATTGGACTAATTTATATAAAAAAACTGCAAACTTTGTCACCAGAAAATTAATAAAACTTAAATCTAACTAATAAAATAACTCTAGTAAGCGGTGATGATCCAAAACTAAGTTAACAGATAAAGTTGATTTGTCTTAATAATCCTGTTAACTTTTCAGACTTGTCTACTGGCCACTAAGGTGACAGAATTACTGAGGCCGCTATTAAGTTTATGAATACAATTTAAAGTCATTCTACTTCGTAAATTTTTATACACAAGTAGACCTAGTTAAATCAGTTTAATTTTGATTATTTAATTTTTCCTCAACATGAGAAACTTATATTGTTTATTATGTAGAAGAGTCCGGGAAAGGCATTTTATTTTTTAACCATCACTGAAAATGCAACAAAGCTTTCCGAATCAAGCACTATATACCTAATAAACTACTTTTTCAAGCATATATATGATTTTTTCCCATCATACTGGGCACGGCCCACAAGGAGTCAGAAGGATATCATAAGAGTATAGGTACCGTATGCACCGGTAATACATTAAATAAAAGGTTTTTATTAGGAAAACAGTGCCTTATATGGTGGATATTTTAAATTTGGAAACTGTTTTAGTCAAAACAAAATCTACAATTTGATTTATCACCAATTTGCCTCACCTCTATAGTTGTATTATAGTCTTATTTTATCCTGTTTCTCTGCTTTATTTCTTATGGGTAGTTTCTTCATTGATTGTCACATTCTTATCTTTCGTGTCTTACTCCAACAGACTACTAGGTATAACTCTTGAACTTGATAGGTTTTTCTTAAATCTGTTCTAACCAAACAAAAAACATATTATAACAATTAGTTTTGATCAATTTGCTGTAAAAGTATAATTAAAGCTGTTTCTAAAGTAGTTTTAACATGTTCCAGAGTCAAAGATCAGCTGCTAAACAAAAGCAGCCAGAAAAGTCACAGCCACAGGTACCTTCTTCAGCTGGAAATGAAGAAGAAGAATTTGTCGTTGAAAAGATTGTCTCCCGAAGATACAACATAAAAAAGAAGCACTATGAATATCTATTAAAATGGGAAGGATACCCATCGTAAGTAGTTTTTTGATTCGCAAAGATAAATTATAGCACTGAATGAACCAAAAATCATAGTCCCTTTAAATTACATATGAGCTAGAAATAAATCAATAACTTCTTGATCAGCATTGCATGTGTTATTAAATTTATGGAAAGTAAATAAAAGAAACGTCTTAAAACACTTACAACATATATTTAGCTTATACTGTTACTCACAAGACAGTAAATATACATAAAAGATGGTAAATGGTGATTGATTTTGATTGGACACTCCAATCAAATCATCATCAGACCCAATAGGCGAATGACCCAAGTAAGTGCACATTCACCTATTGAGTCTGATGATGATTGGAGTGTCCAATTGAAATCGATCACCACTTACCATCTTTTATCTATATTTACCGTCTTGTGAGTAACAGCATAGGCATTTAATTTCCGTAGAAATAAATAACATTACAATTGGGTTTGAAATACAGTAGTTGATTTGAGCCTGTGATAGAGTGTGAGACATAAATTACTGATTTCTGCCGAACACAATAACTCTATAACAAGGTCAAACCGATAGGACGAGTTATTGTAAGCTACATTGTCTTTTATGTTTCATCAAGTATCTCAGTAAAAAAAAAAACTCAGGGAAGAAATAGAATTTTAGACTACGGCTATTTCAACTAAGCTATTAGAAAAAAAAAATATGGGATGTCTACTTAATAACCAAAAGTCAATGAATGAGTGTGCGTACCCTTGTGTGTTGGTATCATAAAAATTTAATATGAATAAACTAAAAAAAACAATTGTTCTACAGAGAGCAAAACACATGGGAGCCAGCAGAGAACCTGGGCACTTGCCAGCACCTACTGAAGGCGTTTGAGGAAGCGTTGGCCAAGCAGCAAGCGGCCAAGCAGGCAGGGCTGGGCAAGCAGTCCAGCGGTGGAGGCAAGCAGGAAACCCCTTACAGGATCAAACCTCCAGTCGTCCCCAACAAGAGGCCACCCCCCACTCCAGTCACGACCAGTGCCGGGTACGGACACATTGCTTGTGTTTAACATACTGTAGTTCAATGCCAGACATCCGGCGAGCGTCTTGCCAAAACAAATTAACTTGTGGATTCTGGTATCATGTAGTCATTCAAGTAATAATATTTCATACTATGTCAGGCATATCATAATTATTTTTGTGATATAACCTTTATTATGAAAGGCTCAAAACATAATCTATTCTGATGTTCTGCTCGCAGGAGACCTCAACGTAGCAGCAAACAAAAGGCGATGGATCAGGTGAAGCAGTGGTGCGGCTCCATCGTCAAACCCACCGATGATGATGGCTGTGAGTATTGTAAAAACTAAATGACTTAAGGACTTCTTAAACTAATCTTGAGGACTACAACAATAATGCATAGTATACAAATTCATTCACTCCACTACCAGTCCACCTGGTGGATGTTACGTACCATCAGAGGTGTGCTGTCTAACTAACTTGCTGCTATTGTAATATAAGTATGAACAAGACAAAAGATAGAAAATACATCAATTAGTGGTTGTTAATAATATACTTAAATATAATGTTGTAACATATTAAGAGAATGTTTTTTAAGAATTGTTGAGATAGCAGGCCTACCTGAATGGGAATGAGTCCATCCTGGCACAAGTAACAACTTTAGGCTGTACTTACTAATTTGCATATTTCACTGTCTTTTATAACGTAAATAAAATATTTGAGTTTTTGTAGCTTTGCAATGAAATAAAAGAGGGAAATAACTAATAAGTGAATGTTAGGGGTATGGTCCTTAAATTAGGGATGGTCAAGTCTCGAAATTTTTTTTTTTAAATCTCGTTACATGAGACGAGATTTCTTTTTGGCCGAGATTTTTATCGAGATGAGAAAAAAAAAAAAAAAAAAAAAAAAAAAAAAAAAAATTAAAAACGCCTGCAGAAAGTCAATGCAATACCCGCAATACAGGAGCGTGTTGTAGTTGCGTTTCCTTTGTGAAGGCGTTTTTATTTAATTAACTCTTTTAATGTAAATATTACTTTAATTATTTTAATAATATTACTTTAATAACATTTGAGAAGTTTTGTTAAGTGTAAGCAGTGTGAGGAATGTTTTATTACTATAAAATTTTTTCATTTATAATCGTTGTCATAGACAACCTAATGCGGCCATGAGAGGGGAAAATTTTTAGAAAACACTAAAAAACAAGATAAGCTTTTTGAAAAAAGATAAGATATTTACAAAAGATATTGATTATATCTAACTGTTGTGTAGATTGTGAGTATTTCCATAATCTTTGAGTCGCCTGTAATGCTTCGCAATTGCTCGAATTCGAGCAACAGGTACACTAGTGTTTTATTACTATAAAAAGTCAAAACAAGTAACTATTTTATAAAAATTAATATTGCTTTTATTTTATTATTTATTTTATTTTAGGATAAGTTGAACTCTATCTTAACTGATATCACTATGTTTCCTAATCGTAGGCATTTTTAATAAGTTAGGCGTGATTAATAAAAAAATGTTATGCTGATGTTTTTTAATAAAATATTGTAAATATTCTTGCCTATTATCATTATTTTTGTATTTAAACAGTCATCTAACAATGTTACAAAATCAGGTAAAAATTTTGAACGTGCATTTCCCGTTGTGTATGAGAAGGGAAATCCCGTCTCGATCTCGTCTCGAAATTTTATGAGAAATAACAAATCTTGTCTCGAACTAAAAATCCAATCTCGTCCATCCCTACCTTAAATGTTACCAGTACCTATGAAAAAAATCTACAAAGTGAACTTAAATTCTTAACGGTTTAGATTCATTACTGTAAAACACATCAGTAGTTTTTTATGCTATTTTTAAATTACTGTCATGTTAAACTACATCTGTATGGGCTATACAAAACTGATGATGTCTTAAAATAACGGACAATTGTTTTTTTTTTTAATTTTATCTTTGTTACATGCTGGTGGCCACAATGAACGATTCCTGTTGCTTAGCTGATTTTCCATTTGATTAAATTTCAGCGAATTTCCCTACAGGGAAGTAGCTATTACCCTATTACCATAGGTCTCATGGTAAGACATGAGCCCGGGACAGATTTACTTTTTCATTTTTATGTCCCCAAAGGCTAAAAATAATTCTTTTTCGATTTTGATAAAATTTGCTTTTAAAGTGTAAGGCGGGATAAACTAGAATGAGTTCTTGAACCAGCATGATCACACGATGAAAACGGGGTTTTATGGGGTAAAAATTGGTTTTTCTCATTTTTGACCATCAAAAGACAAAAGTTTCCAATTTCTTTTAGACTATTTTTTTAAAGAGCTTAAAAAGACAAGTACCAGTAATTTAGTACATTTAAGTGTTTTTGTGCGGTTATTGTTTACGGAAAATTCAAAAAGTTTTAAATTTAAAATTCCCATGTTATTCTTATCGAGAATATTGTAAAATGTCGCAGTTTGATTGTTTATGGATATATTTTGATCAGACTTGGCAAATTAATTTATTTTATACTAAGCTATTAATATTTTACTATAAAACAAACTTTATTAGCCTCCCTGTGGCAGCAAACCTAGTTACTCCTTTAACCTAATGTTATTTAAAATAGATTTAATTGTATATCAATTCAGGCAAATGAAAATTTGCGTTATTACTTTGTCCAACCAATTAATAAACTTGCAGTCAGCTATTTATGCATGTGTTGTGTTTGACAGTGGGACTGAAGCGGAAGTTGTCAGAGTCAGACTCTGAGTATGAGGGAGAAGAAGACGATGTGGTAGTCAAGAAGGTGAAGGTGGAGAGGGACAGTGAGGACAGTGACTCGGACGGCTTCAAGCAGTCCCTCGGCCGACCCCGGAATCGACCTCCCCTAGGTAAGAATAAATGTGGTCCTTTATAGATGTTTATTGTTGTTAGTTGAACTTTAGAATACTAAGAAAGAATGGATGGGTCCCAACATTTCAGAGAATTTTTAGGGAAAATATATCTTGATTATCGGGACTGGATTTTATTAGATTCTGAATTTTCTCTGGGCAAGAGGAAATTTTTTTCATTTGTCAGTTTTTTGTTATTTTTAATCGGGTTTTTAGTTTTAAATAGATAAAATTACCACACATTTATATTTTAGCCTAAGCCACGCTAATAATAATTTTCTTTGTGGTTTATATTGTTACAGGGTTTATTGCAGGGAAAACTTAAACTTAAGTTTCCCTAATAACAGATGGAAAATGTATGCAATAATCATCTAAACAACAGTAAATATTCATTTTTATCTGTTCCTAAACACTCAATAAAACTTTAAAGGCTTGTCTTGTCTTGTTTAATGACAATAGAAAAGTAGTATTAGGTTTTTGTAATCATAAACTTAGTGTAGTGTCCATCATAATTTATTCAAGAAAAAAATCTCTGGTCACAGCACTATTGTCATCATCCCGATGGTAAAAAAGTCAAATTGTTGTCCATAATCAAGACATAAATTCTCAGTTTCAGTTTTTTCCTTAAAAGCTCACCACCATCATCCATCATCCATCACACCATCATCCCACTTTTATAACACCCATCCCTAGTTTTCAGAAACTTAAACATTTTCTGTAAAATCTGATTTACTGTTTCAGCCACTACTCCGAGGACTCCCAACACACAAGTGAACGGAGAGAACCTAGCTGCAGAGCTGGGATTGGAGTCTGAGGAAGAAGATAACACTGCTGCCAGCTCTCCTCAGAAGTCTCCTGTCGTGAGGAAGATGTCTACACTCAGCCCTTCCAAGCAGCAGGTAGGCCTTGCAGCTGTCACTATACTCAATCCCAAGTTCACCGCACAGTACATGTATTGAGGGGGGTGGTTTTGCTATAAACATTAGTGGAAACACTGGAAACATGTTTATTGTTATGCAGTTTTGGGTTTTGTTTTTAACATAGCAAAGTAGTCAATGTAAAACAGACGTAAAAAGTTAGTGAGGGTTATGCGGATCCTGATGTGTAGGGCAGTCATTGTCTCTGACAATACCGTTTGATCTACGGCTTGAGGATAATCCGTACTGCACAGTGAACTGGAATGGAACTGGTACAGTGGAATGGAGTATACACTTATCTTGCTGGTTTGTGAATTCAACCAGTAAGGTACAGGAGGAGGGTACAATTACAAGTTTAACCTGACTCAACACCACTGTCTTGGTGCTGGACACATAATGGCGCTGCATTGCATTTCAGCAGTGCGATAGAAACACAGTTCACTGCCTCACTACATGAAAATGTTTGTTCTTTACTCGATACACCTTGTTTATTACCACTTTGTTTCTACAATTTTGAAAATAAATCAACAATGTTTTTAACTAAAAATATATAAACAATTTAATTAAAAAAAAAAAACAATAAATACTCATCAACTTCTGCTTCTTACGTTTTATTTTTTAGAAAATACTTTGAGAAAGCATGTTTACAATATTTGTTTAACAGACCTACCTAAAACAATATGTTGATAATCTCCCAAAAAAATCGTTGATATGATTCATTTCAGATTCCTAAACAATTTTCTACTATTTCAGCTTACCTTTATTCTTCACTTAAATCAACACTTTCTACAAAAATCTTTTTGATAAAATAAATGACAGTACGGAGTTTGGTGTTATTCCACATGATGTAGAATGGTTCAAAATCCTTTAAGATAATTCATCCCTATTCCCTATTCCTTAATTTCCAACAAGTAGGTTGAGTGTTGAGTGCGTTTTGTGTGGTCAGGTGTTGGTGGCTAGTGCTAAAGGTGTTGTCACCATGGACCAGAAGCAGATACCAAACCTGTCATCCGGAGTCTACATCATGTCAAATAAGTCCGGCATTGTCAAAGTGGATAACAACAAAACACTCTCCACTCTTCAAAAATCCGTTAGTATTCCATTGCTTTTGTGAATCTCACCCAGTTTCCCGTTATTTCCTCCAACAAAATTTCCCAATTACTTTTGAAGCAATTCTTATTTAACATGTCAACTTGTATGAATGGATGCCTTTTTAAATTTTTTATTTTATCTTTGTTTTCTTCCATCCGATCTGTTTGGACTCAAGTTTGAAGTCTCCCAATATCATTTAAAAACATTAAACTCTAAAGAATGCCAATATTATTTAAAATACACACAAGCAAATTTTTGAAAAAAAAGTGCTTAAACTGTAACATTTTCAATGTAGCCAAATTGTAATAGAACTAGTTTAAAACACGTTCAAAATGCCAAGAAGATTTCAGTGAGATTTCCTAAATAACAAAAATTGAGGAAAATAAAAACATTTCTCTCCATAGTTGGCTTTTTAAGTTTCAATAGACATGTTATTGAAACATACATGTTTAATACATGTTTTTAAGTTTTCTAACATTAATAGTTTAAACATGTAAAATTCCAGAAATTAAGATAGTCTCTAAATTTATAAATGTTCAATTACTTAGGTCTAAAATTGATAAAAATTTAATCAAGAATAATCAAATTCCAACATCTTTTAAAATTATTAATACATTCCAACATCTTATTTTTAACTTATATATTAAATCAAACTGAAGTAGCTGGTCAGGATGAAAAGGCATGGGGAAATTTACTCAGCTAGCTTACCTAAGAAAATATTTGGACAGAATATAAGTTTCAGTGGTTATCACCTTGTATTGTGTGTCTGTCTCTGGACTCTTAATTTCTTCAATAATCTAGCTGAACTATCTTTGTAGTTTTTCAGTGGTACAATCTCAAATGCAAACTGTTATTTTTGTTTGTCTTTACAGGGTGTGTTGAAAAAACCATTTGTGAAGTCAGAAAAGAGTAGCGAGGACAGTTCAGCCTCACCTCAGAAGTCCAGTAGTGGCGTGGTTGTGTTGCCAAGATCTGAGGCTGGCACTCCACAGCAGAAGGTAGATTGGTCGAGCTGTGTGATATCACAGAGAAGTAAGATACAGAGGATACAAGCTTATGGGACAACCGTGTGCATATAGCTCTGGTATGTTGCGGCGGAAATGTACTAGTATCGAGAAAGGAAGAGCACGAACAGCAATGGTTACATAGCATATTTCTACAGCAGTTGTAGCGCACAGGGTCTTCCTACTGTGTGAGTGTTGTAGGGGGGAAAGGAGGGCGGAACTGGACGATGAATTGAATTCGCTCTACTAGACACCACTTAAAGCGTACCATTGAATGTATCCTCTGTTTCTTTCTTCTCTGTGGTGATATCTACTTTAATAGATATACCACAGGATTATGGATTAATCACTAGGAATGATGTCGATCCTCGAATGTACAAATTCTCGTACATTGCTATCGGTATTGAGAATTGATCTTCAGAGAATCGAGTCGATGCCGATACAGAGACCCAACACGTTTGCAAAGATAGGTGATCGAAACATTCACGCTTTTTCCGTTACCGCGTGGATGACGAAGATAAAATTTCTGTGACCGCAGGAGAAGATGGCGATGTCTGCACAGCCATGGGAGTTAATCAGAATGTTGGTGCAATTGTAGAAGGCGGTAATAATGTCTACACAACCACAGGAGTTGTTAATTATTTTGCTTTCCTTCAGTTATCTTCACCTTAAGAAAATACACATTCTGGTGTCTCAGCATTGCACAAACCTAATTTAATTTAGCTTCTTTTCTGGTTATTAACCGGTCTATGTGTCAACCTATGAGCCATCTCACTCCTCTCTCCACAGCCCTCTTTATCTCAGTCCAATCTTATCTAGGTCTCCCTCTCTGTCTCTTTCCCTCTTATAACCGTCACCTCATTGTTCTGCAAATACTGTCTTCTCACATCCTTCTGTCCAAACCACTTTATTATTGCTCGAAATCTTAAAATGTCATAATGATTAAATTGCTTATCAAAATCCTACAATAAGACTAAATATTTAGTTTTTTTTTTTTTTTTTTTTTTTAAAATAAGGATAGAATTCCACTAGCTTACCTGAGAGAATTTGAGTCCAGGGGTTAATAGATACAAAGTAAAAGATTACAAAACAATCAAAACATCATAATGATATTTCGTACTAATATCATTTCCTCAGAGAAGAGATTGAAGAAACTAATCTTACAAAATAATATATAATTTGAAGTTCCATTCTAAACCCACAAATAATTTTCCTTACGGATAGTACCATCAGGTTTTACTTTCTGACAATAGATTGATTTCGGTTTGGTTGTTGCCGAAGGTTCTCTCTCCAATACAAGTTTTTGTTTTGTAGGTTGGTGTGATTCGCAAGACAATTGCCTCCACTCCGACCACACAGACTACAACCACTTCACCTGGAACTCCTAAACCTACAGGACTGCTGAAACCTCTCAAATCAGGGCTGTCTCCCAGACCATCAGGATTGCTGAAACCCACCGGCTCCCCAATGATCAGGTAACAGATTGGATGTTAGATTGACAGGAGGTTTGTTTTCCCAGGTCCTAACGGACACATAACAGAAATTACAGTGAAACCTCTTTCGACAAAAACCGGACCTCTATAAAAAATTCAAAACAATAAAAAATGTAAATAGGGTATAGGAACCATCTACTGTGGGTAGTTGGCCCAGCTTGACCAACACCCCAGGAGCAGAAAACAATGATCTCATACCATGGCAAAGATAAGTTTTAAAAACAGTTTTTGATATTTTTAATGACTTTGTTATAAAATTGTAGATTTTAAGATGATTGTAATTAAAATAATGTACAAAAAGACTGTTGTAGATATCTTTGAAACAAAATAGCCTATGAATTCTTACCATTGATTAACTGGACAAATAGATTTTCCGAATTAGCCTTACCCCCTTCACTTTTGTTAGTCGGAATTTCACTGTATTGATAGATAAGTGCAGTTACTAGTGGTAATTCTGAAATTTATAATGTAGGTACACATTTTAGGTTTGCCTTTAAGGGATAAAACGATGTGGTGGAACCGACAGCATGAAACATAAAATGTCTAAAAAAAGATTAGTACAAAACAACATTGTAGCCTACATTTTAATCTGAATAATTGTAACAATAATAAGGAGTGCATTTCTTACAGTCGGGACCACAAAAGTTTGCAGTTGGCGGCAGCCAATCACAAGGCAAGGCTAGTGCGACGTTGCCATATCGCCCGTTGACAACACTTAAAACACTAAACAATATTTTGAAATCAGCTGGTATTATTAGATTTGGCAACACCGCACTGTCCTCATTGGCTCCTTCGAAATCACATGGTAAATAGGCTCCTCCCTCAACTGCAAACTTTCGTTGTCCCGACTTTAGATAATTATTCATACCCTAGTAATACATTGTACCCCATGTTTTATTTTGATTGCAGTTTTAAATACTATTTTCAATCTTAAAATAAAGGAGAAGGAACCAATACAACTAATTCATGTCAGAAAATAGTTCCAGACAGTTAATAGCTCACAAACAGTCCACAATCTTAATGTTTTGCCTTTCAAACGGGCTTGTTCAGATGGAATTGGTGGTAAACTTCTTTCAGAAGATCCTTAGGAGAGTTAAACAAAAATTAGAGTGCTGTAAAATTTTCTATCACCTGCCTGGACTGTTTTCTTAGGTAAATTGGATGGGTACATGTTCCTTTTGCTGTATTCCTAAGTCAAGTGTTTTTTCCTTTAAAAAAATAAACCTTGTATTTTTGACACTGTTCAGGATATCACCTTGTAAGCAATATAGGTAAATGAATGTTTACTGACACATGGTACCATAAACAACATATTTGCTTTTTGCTTATTCTTTTTCAAGAACTAGTTTCAGTGCAATACATGCAATTTGAGAATATTGTGTTACAGACCTCAGAATCAAACTCCCAATGCTAATGCTAAGATTCAGCCAATGTTGAAACCAAGACTGAGCAACCCTGGTAGAGGCCGACCACCCATCAGTCCTCTGATCAAGAGGCCACTGGCTAGTGAAGGCGGCCTCCATGCCACGCCGCAGGTTAGTGTCACTGTGTCATAGTCAAATTTATTATTTATCTTGTATATATATACATAAATTAAGGTAAAATAATGATAGTAAATTACATCAAAGCTATTTAAAAATTAATTGAAATAATCCGTTAATCAACTTACTAGATTTACCTTACGAAAACCATGCTGTTTGTAAAAGAGATTATTATTATGAAGATGATCAACCAATCTATTATACATTACATGTTCGTATATTTTTGATATAGAGGGCAAAATTGACACAGGGCGATAATTACAGATTTCATACTTTTCACCTTTTTTTTAAATGGGTATAACTTTAGAAATTTTTAAGCAGTCAGGGAAAATACGGGTTATTTATCAACTCTTTATTAAATGCACCAGTGGTTTTAACAGTGATTTCCCTACGAATTTGATTAGTTTCAAGGGTACTTCGTCATGACCACTAGATGATTAATTTTTTTAAGTTGAAATTATTTTTCCTATCTCATCTTCATCTACTGGTCTACACTCGTAGAAGTTTAAAAGGCACTGACCAAGACTCGTACCTTAAATTTTCTACTTGTGTCGTTTAGACTATCCTTCCTTACGCAAATGTAAACTAACTTGTGTAAACTACTATAGTGTTTTTCCATTTTTTGTATTCAGTCATGAGATATTTTATTTTACATTAATAGTAGTAATACCCAAAAACCTTGTGGTCATTAATGGCTTATTGTGAAAAAAATAGCAAATTATAAAGGTGTAATTTAATTTTGGTTTACTCTTGAATTATGTTCTACTAGGCCTATTGAATGTTGTTTCAGAAATTTGTATACCTTGTCTTGGCTATAACTTACCAGTTATTTCAAATAGATTATTCTTAGGTTTTAAATTATATAGGATTTATCTGAGAATAAAACAGTTTACAGTATATTATTATATCATTATTTAATTTTTTACTTTTTATTTTTTCAAACTCTTATTTTCAAAACTACCTTCCAGCAAAAACTATTGATTGCAAAGAAGAAGGCGGAGATTGAGAGTGAGGTTCGGCCAGAAGTGACTGCCTCTCCGATGCCGAGGCCTCTGGTGAAACCCAAACTAGAGCCAGGATTGCCTACTCCTCCCATCAAGAGTACCAACAAGATACTGACAAATCCACTGCTGGCTAGAGGCAGGGGCCGTCCTGGCCTCCGCGGCAGAGGAAGAGGTATGTCGCACAGTTAAATGCAACAACTTGCGTTTCGGTAATTTCAAAAAAGTTAAAATAAATAATTGGAGTGATAACATCTAATTTTTTGTTGTCTATATATCACAACTTATAGGTTGGTTGCTGGTTTGATCTCTAGAAAATTTGATACCTAGCATTAAGATGGAAACGATTCTTGGGTTTTTAATCAATTATCCAGGGAAAAAAGTTTGTCTTGGTGAGAACAAAATCACTCAAGGCATCACCCTCAATTTTTTACTTATATTCAACTCCCGCAACTGTGTCGGGTTTATTACTATCTCTTGTGATCACTCATCATCTCGAGATAAGCCCAAAAACCGTGATTATTTACCGTGATCATGTAGACAACATAGTTCTGCAAAATCGTGAACATCTGCAATTGAACAGACATTGACATCATTACCGGTAAAATCCAAAACATCTTCTGGGTTCGTTGGGATATCATATCATCATCGTCTATCACTGCAAAATTGCTGCCAGTTAGAACAAATCTGGTCATAAGAATTTTCTAAATTAAATTTAAGACCACAACATTTTCCTACAAGTTTGGGAACCCTTCAATCCGACCCTCTAGCTAGGCTATCCTACCCTCTAGGTGGGCTTAAGAATATAAAACCAGTTCACCAAAAATTTTAATTGGGTTGAACGTTCTTATTTACTCCGTGTGTTGTAGGCAGCAGTCTCAGCCAGATAATGCACGTGAGAGAAAGAGAGCCGGAGCCTGAGCCTGTTAAAGAGAGTCGATTGGTGGACAGTGACAATTTACTGATGGAGTTCCAAGAGCCATCAGACTCTGAGGAATCTGACGACGGACTAGAGGACATCTTCCCTAACCTTGGTGAGTATCTGGCATTCGATAATCCAGATAGAAAGTAAAGGGAAACTAGCATATTTTTTTTTATTCAAGGAAACTTAAAGACAGTACTTAAAGAAAAATAAGCTGTAAGCTTATTATGGAACAATATTTAGGAAACACAAGGTCACCATAGACTAGTAACTCCCGGTCCTTTAATTTAAAAAATTTTCTGGGAAACCCTGAAACATCATGAACATTGTCCACGGTCACAGCAAAATCGTGAACGTCTTCTGAGGTCACAACAAAATTGTGAACATCCTCCACAGTTACTAAGAAATTATTAACATCTTCCGAGGCCACAGTAAAGTTGAGAACATCGTCTGCAGTCAAATTGATATTATTGTCTCCCAAGATTGCAGAAAACCCTTGTACATCAATCAATCAAAAAGTTTTTATTCCAAAGACAACAATAATACAAAAGATACAAAATTCATCACACACACTCGTGACGAAACCGTCAATCTTAGATCACACTTTTGCAAAATCTTTCAGCAATCGCGGAAATAGACGCTTGGCTCGAGTTTTTTTTACTCAAGCCTTCAGCCCGAATCTACTCCCAAGGCCAATTGTTGGTCCAACCGTACTCAAAATATCGACCATGAAGACCCCTAAAAGGTACACTTGGCTACCTAAAATCACAACCAGGAAAAGCATGTTTTGCTGCTGGGAAAACTGGATATGCCAGAATCAGAGATCCCAGAAATGCGTGGATTTAGTTATTTTTAATACCCCCTTTTACCGTTTTTGTTATTACTAAATTTTTGTTCAAAAAGCATTCAAAAACTTATAGACATAAGCTTCATAAATTTACTGGTTTTGGTTTTTTGTTGCATTTTTGCACTATTGTTGGGGTAAGTTAAAGACAACTTTTTTCACAATTTTATTTATTTCACTTTTACACTTTTTCGGACCACAAATATTGACAATCTTCAACGTTACAGATGAATTGCCACCAATTGAGCCAAACAGTCCTCCTCGACCACTCTCCCTATGTCCGGAGACAGGCAAGGTGTTGTGTAAGGCCGAGGGAGAGAAGACACCCGAGCCCACACCCCCGCCCTCCCCTCCACCACCCACCCCGCCACCAGCACCTCCCAAAGTAGAGGAGCCCACACACATACTGCCGGAGATAGAGCAGGAGCCCGAGCCTGAGCCTGAGCCTGTGCCTGTGCCTGCGCCTGTGCCTGTGGTTACTGCGCCACCTGTCACAGCCCCAGTGTCAGTGTCTGTTACATCTGGTACACCTCGGGGCAAGACCACCTCCACGGCTATTGTCAAGGTAAATATCAATTGAAATTGACTTTATCACCATTTAAGGGGAGGCAAAGTGGTTGATTGAGGAGTTTTTTTTTTTTTTAGAAATCTGCTAGTTTATGTGAGAATGTTAAAGAGATACAAGTAGTCTACAGCTAGTAGACTACATTGCTGCCCTTATCAATTTAGGCCCAACCCCATTTTAATGGTAAAAAAACAACAAAAAAAAAAAAAACGAAAAACTATACCTATCAGTTAAGTTGTGTTTAAAGGTATAGGTATATAAGACAGTGGCTATAGACAGATGACTCATTATTCCCCCCCCCCCCCCAAATAGATAAGTCACTACAATTTATTGTACAATAGACTCGCAGCATGATGAACTCAATTATTCAAATGTGCTACAAACTGGCAAAAGTGGGGTACCGGATGATTTGGTTTCTACTGTAGGCTATATAAAAAAGGACACACATCACACTTTTAGTGAGTGTAGATTGAAATTTATTTATTCCAACATAATATCATTATTTTTAAAGTCATTTTGTTAAGCAACTTTCCTTTGGAGTCCTATGGCTTATAGAATTTGTATCACAATAAATAGATAAATACCAAAAAACATAACACTGTTATTGCGTCCTAACATATAACTTCCTCAGAGAGTTGATTGATGTAAGAATTAGGGTGTTACTAAAAGCTCTAAAGTCTAATCATAGCATATTAGGTAAGCTAATTGAATTCTAGTTCCACTCTCGCCCATAAAAAAAATCATCCTTTCATCATGAATGTATTTTCTCGGCTAGTCATCAACAGTTTCATTTTTCAGTTTCATTTTCTTGGCATGTCCAATCCATCTGATTGAATATTTATTCCTCAAAGTATTATCTACCGACTTGTTAACATCTGATGTTTCTCTGGTTGTAATTACTATGTATTTTTATCTGTGATGTGCAGCAAGACGGCATGATCTGCAAGGTAGAGATGTCGCCGGGTGGCACTACAGGCACGTTGGTGGAGGCAATCAGTGAAGCAGCAGCCCCCTCACCTCACGTTACTGAGGGAACTGTCACCATCAAGAAGCCACGTAACCGCAACCTCAAGTAAGTCAAGTTATGACAAGTACTAGGGATGAGTCGATTCTTCATATTAGATTGATTATTACAAGTTAATATTTATTGAGGTGTGGAAAATATTGGTAGGCCTATGGAGTATGGACACATCACTAGAAAGTACCATCGAAGCTGTGTTCAGAATTTGTGTTCTAACAAAAGTTTGGACACATCACTAGAAGGTACCATCGAAGCAGCGTTCAGAATTTGTGTTCTAACAAAAGTTAACAATAACCCAAAAGAAAGCAAGTTTTGTCAGAATGTGTCACAGTTTTTCAGTATTACAGAAACAGAAAATGTTTTAAACATTTTATTGAAAGTTTAGTACAACCACGGTTTTGAAGTAGTACCTCTAAATTACAGTGAATTTTGTATCAATCTATTGTTAGGCTGTCCCGCCATAAATTGGAAATAATGAATTTCTTATGATTCTGTAACCTTTTTTTTTTTTTAATAATTTTTATATTTAAGGTTAATTGAACTAAGCCCAGGTTAACTCAGAGAAGGGGGGGGGTTTGGTACTCAAAACTTTTAAAGAGTCACAATGACATAAGGGATCCTCTTCGGGAAGGCGCCACCTTGTTTACTGCAGAACGTCCACCGGCCAACAAGGAAGTCCAATGGCAGTACAGGGTTGAGATTAAAAGGTTTACCCTCGAGGACCACTTAACTTATCATTCAGACCCACTTACTCATTTACTTAGGCCTAGACAATTTAATGTGTTAATATGGCTAATAGTAATTGCATGAGCGTGAGGAGCAAGATTAATTTGTAAGGAAGCGTCTAAAGTTGTTTTTAAACACAGTAGGAAATATTAATATAGTGAAAACACAACAATTAAATTTAAGTTACAATAGTTTAATAAGAAAAGTGAAATTTAAGAGGATTACACATCTGCAGATCTTAAAACAAAATTTAATGATTGTCAAACCTATTATAACAGTATGATAGGAAACAATAACTCAACGCTCAACAATGATGATTTAAAAAAACTTAATATTGGTGGCCACCTTAACTTGAGTCGAATAACTCTAAAATATAAATTAGGTAACTTACGGTTTCATAAAAAAATAAAACATGAATTCAACTAGAGACCTAGGCCTAACATGTCTACGCATAAATTAAAACAAATATCACAATTAAACAGAAAGAAAAGAAATACAAGTTAAAATATCAGTTATCAGGGGATCAAATTGTCCGAAGAAAGAGAAATACAGAATAATGATTTATGATAGGTAACTTATTGATTGTCTACTTAGCGGTAAGGCGTATCAGGTCCTTCACAAAACTGTAAATGACGAGACGAACAGAATTCCATTTTGGTTTGACTAGTAGGCTTAGTAGGTAGGCCTAGTCATCGGACGGTGAGCATGTCTCATCCAGCAGGTACGGACATCTCCCGAGCCAGCATTCCCCGTACATATCCCTAGAAAAGGGCCTCATGAATAGTAACATTATTATAACACAACGGTATAGCAGTCTCACACACTGTCTTTGGTAAGTTAATATTTCACATCAGTCGATGACTGTCCATGTAACAATTATTAAATTCATTAACAGCTTTAAAATAACACAGCAAAAGTTCAGTCTTTTGAAATCACAAGCTATAAGGCACTAGAGTTTTGAACAATACTGTCTGTCTGAATGGCCTAAACTAACCTATCAAACTTGTTCTCAAGTCTTTGGTCCATAGTACATAATTATGCATAGCACCACACAATACATTACATACATTAAATAAGATTCGTTAACAAATTAAATCCTAACATTCGACAATATTATACTTACAACATGGACCCAGCTCGTATAACCTAGAAACTAAACATTTTACACATAGTCTATTTAAACACTTTGAACGATAACACAGAATAATCCATAGGCCCTACATTTTAACAATTTCAGTGACTTTGTAGGCTACTTTGCCAAATTTAAGACAACTGAACTTAGGCCTAGCACAAGTTAAAGTCAAAAGGTTCGTTAAGCATCTTTAGCCTAGGCTTTAAGGCAAAATTACAAAATAGGCTAGTAACAGAATCAAATCTCAGAGTGAACGGGAAAGCCGTACTATCAGAACACATTTAAAAACAGACGTTACCAAATTTAAGTATAGACTTTAATAACAAACAATATGAGAACAAATTTAATTTACTAACCTAAAGAGCTGGACCCAAAATGAGTCTGAATGACTGAGGTGGATTTTTGTAAGACAATGTGGGACATAGTATTAGCATACCCATCTCAAGAAAACCCTAAATAACAAAATGTTACAACATAATCCCCCAAAATATGTAATAAAAAGAAACCTTACCTCGAGGGTGATTTGATTTAAGTAAATTTAGTTGACACTTTAGTTGAAAACATCTTGAATTACAAAAAAATCAACTTCTCATTTTTTTTGTCTTCGTCACAAAATCATGGCTAGAGGAGAAGAGGGAGGAAGCGTCGGTTTCAGTCCACAAATCCATCGAGTTTCATTATTGAGTCCAACCACCAATCAGAGGTCTACAACTTTATCGATTGAGTGAAGATGGGATGTAGCAACCGTTGGAGCGAAGAGTATGAAGTGGTAGAGGCGTACTATATAAAATATTTTACAGTGACGAAATGAAATTCAGAATGCGGTCAGGCAGTCGATGCGCGCTTAAAGACTGAGATGAAATATTTAGCGGGTGATCAGTCCGCTAGTCTGTATGTAGGCGTTGCTGAATTTCAGAGCGTTACAAATACCCCCCCACTTTCCAGAAAATTTCTCAAATTTTCTCAACTTAGGCTACATACAACTTTAAATCAGACACATGCCAATTGCCTATGTTCTGGCCTTCGGAGTCCACTAAAGTATACACATTGTCTGATTTCTTCTCTGAAATGGTGTATGGTCCAACGAAGCGTGGCGTTAATTTTGAAGAGTAGAAGTTGGCGGCATTCGATTGTGTGAAGTTCCGCTTCCACACCAGTTGACCAACATTAAATCTCTCTGGACGTCTGCGGAGGTTGTAAGTCCTTTCATTTTGTTGATGGGCCTTCTCCAGACGTCTTTTTACATCCTCATAGATTTGTTTGAGTTTAGATATCTTCTCAGCATAGTCAGACTGATCTGTAGGTTCCAGTGGCAACTCAGAAAGTAGTTTGGAGTCCTCACACCCTGTTACTGACAACTCACGTCCAAAATTTAAGAAAGCTGGTGTGTAACCTGTGGTCTCATGCTTAGCTGTACGAAGAGCAAAACCTAAAGCAGGAATATTCTTATCCCATTCTCGGTGATTATCCTTCATGTAGGCTCTGATCATCGTAATGATGGTTCTGTTAGCTCTCTCTGTTGGATTTGCCTGTGGGTGCCTACTGGGGTTAAAAAGCATTTTAACTTGATATTGTGACATCAACTTCCGCATTTGTGCCCCGGTAAATTCTGACCCATTATCACATTTAAAATAGGAGGGGACACCATAAATCATAAATACTTGTTCCTCCAACACTTTGGATACTATAGTGGCGGTAGCAGCTCGAATCGGAAACAAAAGAGTATACTTAGAAAAGTTATCCACGACAACCAAAAGATATTTAAAGCCTTTTGTTGACCTTGGAAAAGGTCCCATTAAATCAGCGCTTATGGTGCACCAAGGTCGGGTTCCACCACGGCTCTGTCCAAGTAAACCAGCTGGTTTGGTTTGGTCATATTTTGTTTGTTGACAAACTTTACACTGCCGCAGATATTTCATGACATCTGGTCGGAGTTTGGGCCAATAATAACGTTGTTGTATACGGCTCAGAGTTTTATAACTACCTAAATGCCCTGCTGTTTCGGCATCATGATTCTCATGGAAAATTTTAAGGCGTTGGCCTTTCGGGACAACTAATTTCCAATCTTCAGCATCATGGTCCAAAGTGAATTTTCCAGGAATATGTTTCCACAGCTTACGGTTTTCTACCCTCCAAAGCGGATATTGATCTGGGTGGTTGGTAACTTCTTCAATCATACGGTCATACCATTTATCTACGCTAGGAGTGAGTTCTGCAATTGTTCCTTCGAGTTGTTCTGGCAAGGCACGGCTGAGGAGGTCTGGGACGACATGTTCCTTTCCTTTACGATGGATTAATTTAAAGTCGAAAGGTTGTAACCGTAATGCCCATCGAGCTAGGCGGCCTTGAGGATCCTTTAAATTATTCAACCAGAGGAGGCTGTAGTGATCAGTCACCACGGTAAAGTGGGTTCCTTCGATATATGGACGGAAACGCTCAATAGCCCAGATGACGGCCAGACACTCTCTTTCTGTCGCTGAAAATTTCATCTCACCTTTTGACAATGTACGACTAGCGTAGGCTATGACGGCTTCACCTTCCTCAGTAGGCTGTGAGAGTACTGCTCCGATTCCAACGCCACTAGCATCGCATGAAATTGTAAATTCTCTGGAGAAATCAGGACATGTCAAGATAGGAGATTTTATTAGGCAGCTGCGGATATCTAGAAAAGCCGCTTGAGCTTCTGGGGTCCAAATGAATTTCGAAGTCTTCTTTAACAGGCTGGTGAGTGGGTGTAGACGAGTAGCAAAGTTGGGTATGAACCGGCGATACCAGGAAGCCATTCCGCAGAATCTTCTCACTTCTTTTGTGGTCTTAGGTGTGGGGATATCCAGTATTGATTTCACCTTGTCGGGGTCCACTCTTAGTCCATTCTCGTCCACAACATACCCTAAGTACTTCAGTTCCGGTCGGCAGAATTTACATTTGTCCCGATTTACTGTTATTTTGGCTGCACTTAACCGTTTAAATATTTCTTCTAAAATTTCTAAATGTTTGTCGAAAGTTTGAGTCACAATCACAATGTCATCCAAATACACAAAAACGTGGGGTTCCAAGTCAGCACCCAATACATTATCAATAAAACGTTGCCAAGTCGCTGGAGCGTTGTGCAAGCCAAATGGCATGGTGATAAACTGGAAGAGACCTCGACCTGGAACAGTAAAAGCGGTCTTCTCCTTACTGTCAGCCGCCA